GATGTTTTGAAAATGTTGGCATGAAGATGTTATTTTGAGACGTAATATGCAGTGACCAAAGAGGTCTTTGAAGGATATTGAAGTATTGTTTTTGTTCTTCTGTGGCATTTCTTTGTTTGCCTACTGAGAGGTATCCCTGGGATGTTTTGGGATGTTTTAGAAATGTAGGCATGAGGATGTTTTTCTGAGGCGTGATATGCACTTCCCAAAGATGTCTTAGAAGGGTATTGAAAGTATTGTTTTTGTTCTTTTGTGCCATTTCTTTGTTTGCCCCACCACAACGTCTCATGCTTACGTCACAATACGATGAATTCTGATTTGTGTTCGATTTTGTTCTTCTTGTTCGCAATAATTGGCATTCGCGTTTGCAGCGTGTCACGCTTACATCACGCTGCTAACGAACAGAAAGGAATTTGGTGCAGTTTTATTATTGTGTTAGAAGACTTATTTAGTTTGTAATAATGACCATCAGATGCAAGATGTGTTGTTCGGTGCCTCAGTGTAATCAATATATTAAAAGTACGAATTCATCAATACACAGCTTCTCCTCAGTTGCAAAATTATGCATAGTGGAGAACATTTCAAAAATTGGGAAACCTATTTCCAATTATATGTCTGTGTGTAGTAAGCACTACTCAGAAACCGATTAAGAAGGTAATTTCATATCAAGAAAATATTTTTATGTTCAATTTATTTTTAATGCATTTTTTCATCATTCAAGGGAAATGGAATCCTAACGCAAAAGTTCATTTTGACAAAAGGCTTCAGAAAAGTACCTCGAAAATGTTTTTTTTACAGCGATTTAATGTGCGCAAGACGCGTTGAAAATGTTCTGTTGTGTCCATGAAAAGGCTTTAAAAAGAACTAGGGAGAAGGTAGTTTTGTGACATATCAAGGACATCTCGATAATTGCCGCCTGCGGCGGACATTGGCTGTTCTATAATAGTTCTATTCATGTGTGAACAGAACATCGCAGTGGAGGTTCAATGTCTCGAAATCTCGTACTTTTAACATCTCTGAGATGTTTTTGTGCTCGCTGGGGAAAATTAGAAATCGCTTTAATTTGAAAATGAAATCGTCTTGGACTTTATCGCGGTCGTCATTCTGTACAGCGTGGACATAAAACTGGAGAGTTCCGAACTTATTATATTTAATGAAAATTCATCTTTCAGGCTCCTCTTTGGACCCGCAGTACAGGCATTTCGCAGGCACCATCCAAGTGCTGAAAGCCGTCGGCAACCACATGGTGCTGACGTTCTGCCACCAGCTGCCCGACAGGCAACTCTATTCGATCATCCTCTCCAGGGAGTTGGATTTGCACCAGGCGGAGGTACACGGCGTGCACAACATGCTCAACAGGCGTGGGTTGAGGGTGAGCGCCGTGAAGAGGGCTTGTAATAGTGGTTTCAGCGGCGCAGGGGCCGTTAGTTTTGTTTTGCTGGTTGTTTCGGTGGGGTGGCATTTATTTGAATTGGTAGGGGTTTTATAGTTTCTTTTTTGAATCAATATGTTATTTTTTCCTCTCTGTACGAGTTGATTTGCAACAGATTTCTGTGACAGTTTTGGAAAAAAATTAAATCGCATGGGATTTCCTTCTCCGTTTGACTCGAATTGTCAAAAAGATCTAAGTGACATTATTAAATTACGAAGGGTTCGCTCTAGATAATAATAATTATAATAATAATAATAATGATAAATTTTTTTCAGAATGTTTTCATACATTATATAAATTAAAAGTATACATAATGGAATAGAATAAACAAAGAGGAAACCTCACGAAGTATAACTTGTTTGTCAGTTAAATAAAATAAAAATTATAATTATATATTATTGCATTTATGTCTTCTAGGTTTTCTTCTCTGTTTGGCTCGATTTGTTAAATAGACCTAAGTGACAATTTCATTATACAGTGTCTTTCAAAAGTATCGGAAGTATCGGAACGGCTTGAGGAAAATTCACGAAATTTTCTACAGGGTGATTATTGATGATGCCCGATTCAATGGTGGCATCGGCAATGTTGCCAAGTTTACAGTTTTTCAGATATTAGGAGTAACTTTATTTTTTCAAATGGAATTCCCCATTTATTTCTATTGCGATTAATTAAGCGCCTCCTAATTACTTGAGTCCCTGAATATCAGATTCGTAATTAACGTGATTTTCGAAATATGACAATATAGTATTTTCGTTCAAAAGTCTGGGAACCTTCTAATATTTTCAATACGGTTCAAGGAAAATTCATGAAATTTTATACTAGATGGTTTCTCATGATGCCCGATTCAATGGTGATATCGGCAATGTTGCCAAATCAATAGTTTTTCAGATATTGAGGGTAATTGAATTTTTTCAAATAGAAAAAGTTGTTTTATCAAAAACCATTTTGTATAACATTTCATGATATTTTCTCGAGCCTTTATGAAAATATTGGTCCGTTTGCAGACATTTCAACGGAGCATGTTCTCATATTTAAAAATCACACTTATTTAATATTTGAAGACATAAGTAATGAGGCGTCGCTGAATGTATTGCAATGAAAACAAATAGGGTATTCCATTTGGAAAAATTGGGTTACCCTCAATATCTGAAAAGCTGTTGATTTGGCAACATTGCCGATATCACCATTGAATCGGGCATCATCAACAACCATCCTGTCGAAATTTTAATAAATTTTCTCTGAGCCGTTTCTGAAATATGGGACCGTTCCAGAACTTTTTAACGAAAATGCTATGTTGTAATATTTCGAAAATCACGTTAATTACGAATCTGATATTCAGGGACTCAAGTAATTAGGAGGCGCTTAATTAATCGCAATAGAAATAAATGGGGAATTCCATTTGAAAAAATAAAGTTACTCCTAATATCTGAAAAACTGTAAACTTGGCAACATTGCCGATGCCACCATTGAATCGGGCATCATCAATAATCACCCTGTAGAAAATTTCGTGAATTTTCCTCAAGCCGTTCCTGAAATATGAGACCGTTCCGATACTTTTGAAAGACACTGTATATAATTTATGTTTCGCATAGGCTAATTGAGATATAGGTTTCCTTTTCTATTTGACTTTGGTTTGTAAGTGACAATTTCGAGAAAAATTATTAAACTACGAGGGGTTTTCTAGATACTATTGCAAATATGTTTCTTGGGTCTTCTTGTCTGTTCGACTCGAATTGTAAGAAAGATTCAAGTGACAATTTAGGGAAATACTAATAAATTCTTTTGTCGAACTTGATTCGAAAAAAAGGCTTAAGTGCTAGAGGAAAGAGAAAATACTCAATCTTACCGATCAGCTAGGGCATATGTATATCTAATTTGTAAATTGTAGGAATGTACTTCGCATATCTATCATAATAAGTGTAAACTTCATGACTTCTTATTCTTCAAAGTCGTCACTTTTTGAATCTCCAGAATTAAAAATTCTTATGGTATTCTCTTGTATATATATTTTATATTTTTGAAACTTGATTCAATGTATTTATATTTTTTAAACTGTATTTCGGAATGAAAAATAAAGAAAATGAATTCCAGTGGTAAACCTTTTTTTATTTCACCTTGTGTCTTCGTCCTCCATCAATTGAACCGAATTTTTCTTTCGACCAAGAAAATTTCGATTTTTAAGACAACACTCTAAATGTAAGTATCAGGAGAGCAGAAGTGTGTGAGAGGTATCCGATTTCATTATTTAGAACCGAAATTCGCTTCAAGAAAATTTCGATTTTTGAGGCGAAATCTAAAAGTAAGTATCAGGAGAGCAGAAGTGTGTATAGGAGGTATTATTCATTTCCATCAATTGAACCGGAATTTGCTTTATATAACACAAATTTACATTTTTAAGCCAACATCCTAAATATGTAGATATCTTCATTATTTAGTACCGAAATTCGCTTCAAGGAATTTCCGATTTTCGAAGCGAAATCTAAAAGTAGGTATCAGGAGAGCGGAAATATGAGGAGGTATTCAATTCCATCAATTGAACCATTTGCTTTATTCGATCTCGAAAATTACAATTTCTAAGCCAACAATCTGAATGTAGGTATCAGGGGAGCAGAAGTGTATAGAGGAGGTATCTGATTTTATTAATTAGAACCGACATTTCATCAAAATTCACATTTTTAAGGCAAAATCTGAATGTAGGTATCAGGAGAGCAGAAGTGTATAGGAGGTATCCGATTTTATTAATTAGAACCGACATTTCAACGAAATTCACATTATTAAGGCAAAATCTGAATGTAGGTATCAGGAGAGCAGAAGTGTATAGGAGGTATCCGATTTTATTAATTAGAACCGACATTTTCTCGAAATCCACATTTCTATGGCAAATTCCGAATGTAGGTATCAGGAGAGCAGAAGTGTATAGGAGGTATCCGATTTTATTAATAATTAGAACCGACACTTCATCGAAATTTCACATTTTCAAGCCAAAAATCTAAATGTAGGTATCAGGAGAGCAGAAGTGTATAGGAGGTATCCGATTTTATTAATAATTAGAACCGACACTTCATCGAAATTTCACATTTTCAAGCCAAAAATCTAAATGTAGGTATCAGGAGAGCAGAAGTGTATAGGAGGTATCCGATTTTATTAATTAGAACCGACATTTCAACGAAATTCACATTATTAAGGCAAAATCTGAATGTAGGTATCAGGAGAGCAGAAGTGTATAGGAGGTATCCGATTTTATTAATTAGAACCGACATTTCAACGAAATTCACATTTTTAAGGCAAAATCTGAATGTAGGTATCAGGAGAGCAGAAGTGTATAGGAGGTATCTGATTTTATTAATTAGAACCGACAATTCCTCGAAATTTCACATTTTTAAGCCAAAAATCTAAATGTTGGTATCAGGAGAGCAGAAATGTGTAGGAGGTATTCAATTTTTTTCGGAGAACCGCGTTTTTCATTTTTGGGATGTAGAGTATGTTTCAAATGAAATTCATGAACACGTTAACAAATGCTTTATTTTACACTAAAAACATGACAAAATTATAAAAAATAGAAACGATATCATTGTTTATTGGCAAACTTTGTAACAAACTCCTTGGCCCTTTCTTTGACAGCTTCCAGACTCTCAGGGCTGCCGTGCTGCTCTTCGAACATCCTAAATTTCGCGAAAAGGGTTCTCATACTCTTCAGGGGCAACCGTTGGGATACAGCTCGTTCCAAAACCCTCCTGAAAAGAAAATATTGAATGTGAAAAACTCAAGAAACATTAAGATTTACACAAAAATTCTCAATAACACAACTTCAAGGCCCAACATTGACTTGTCCTAAGTCATATATTGGTCAGACAGGTAAAACGTTCATCAACCACATCTAGGAACATCAAATTAGTTTTATGAACGTGGCAATTTGAAAGTTTGACAAATCAATGTTAGGTTAATTTATTGTGGGAGTATTTAACTTGGACCAAAAGTGAAATCTTTGACCTGAAAGACAGAATTTCAATAGCATATTATGCAACAAGTGTGGAAAATTCGAGTGTGATCAGATTTTGAACCACAAGGCAAAGATTAATCTAACCTGGCATTTTCTATCCTGTTCTTTTTGATCAGTTGATCGACGTAGGTGGTCCAGATGTTGACTTTTCTCGGATCAGAACTCAGAATCGTCTCGAAAACTGCAGCCCCTTGCTCTTCCTCGCCAAACCTAAACTCCATTATCGCAAAACGAACGATTATCTCCAATTCTGCAAAAGAAAAAACGATGAAATGTTATAGAAACAACAGTGAAATAAAAAAAACTTACGTGTTTTCTTGTCCTGTATGGATTTAAGAGCGGCATCTTTCAAATTTCTGGCGTCCTTGAATCTGCCGATGGAATAGTAGGTTTTAGCCAATTCCAACCACATGGTCGGCTCCTGTTTGTGCTTATTCCTGCATTTTTTCGCTTTCTCCTCCATGTCCAACAATTTTCCACCATCCGCCAACATCTGAACCACTTTCAAATACACCTAAAAAAAATCAGGTTAATTGTGTGTGGATTTCCGCCAATTTCCGGCACATTGCAATACATTCAGCGACGCCTCATTACTTATGTCTCCAAATATCAGATTTTAAATTGAAGTGGTTTTCGAAATATGACAACATGGCATTTTCGTTCAAAAGTCTGGGAAACTTCTAGTATTTTCAATACGGTTCAAGGAAAATTCATGAAATTTTATACAAGATGGTTTCTGATGATGCCCGATTCAATGAAAACAAATAGGGTATTCCATTTGAAAAAATTGAGTTACCCTGAATATCTGAAAAACTGTTGTTTTGGCAACATTGCCGATATCACCATTTAATCGGGCATCATCAACAACCATCCTGTCAAAGTTTTCATAAATTTTCTCTGAGCCGTTTCTGAGATATGGGACCGTTCCAGAACTTTTTAACGAACATGCTATGTTGTCATATTTCGAAAATCACGTTAATTACGAATCTGATATTCAGTGACTCAAGTAATAAGGAGGCGCTTAATTAATTGCAATAAAAATTAATGGGGTATTCCATTTGAAAAAATAAAGTTACTCCTAATATCTGAAAAACTGTAAACTTGGCAACATTGCCGATGCCACCATTGAATCGGACATCATCAATAATCATCCTGTAGAAAATTTCGTGAATTTTTCTCAAGCCGTTCCTGAAATATGAGACCGTTCCGATACTTTTGATGGCTTTTGTTGTGCTATAGTTCCGAAAAATGAGTCAATAATACCGTCTCCGAGAAAGAACTGCAAGTCCTTTTATCTTCCATTCGACTTCACGGTTACGTATATTACGAAATAACCACTAAATTCGCAATTTTTTGAAATCAAATCACAGAATTAGAAGTGACATCAGATATTTGATTACTTCAAACGAACGATAAAGATGCCTACAACGCAGGTGTCCCTACTGTTAAAAACTTAAAATTTCACGTCGATAATCTTCAGATTTCAAAATAATGTAATATCTTCTCAATATTGATTCGTCCTTTCTTCTGTCACAGAAAAAAATAGTGTATTATACACGGGAAAAATATTAGATTTTAGCACACGGTTTTTTGTGTTTCCTCTCACCTGAAGAGAATCGTTGTGTCTGACTGCTTCTTCAAATATCTGGTCGAAGCTCTCTTTAGTGCCGAACATGTTTTCCAAGTTGAGGAGGGCCAGCCAAATGTTGAAACGTTCGTCGACGAGCGTCAACTTTATCGATTCCAACGCCCTTTTGGCCACCGTTTTGGCTTTCTCGAATTCGGTAGCCTGGAAAAGAATGCCCATTGAAATGATTCAAATCATTTCTGTTTTCGACCTAGAGCAATCGGGAATTTTTTGGGCAGCAATGGTGAATCTAGTATGAATATAGGCATGATAAGTATTGCTGTTCGTGACTAACAAGCCCGAACAGAGAACGAACGAAAAATCAGAAGAAGAATGCATAACCTTCTGGGTGAGAAACATAAAAAATCAAATAATTCCAATTACTTACCTAAAAATCATAATCAAAAAATGAACTAACGAATACAACAGCGCATGCATACTATACCATGAACAATAGTATATTGTCAATAAGTTCAAATGCCTATGGAATAACATCACGTCCATTTCAAGATCTTCAATTATTATAAATTAACTTTTCCAAATTAAAACATCTAGAGTTGCGATCAGGTCAGCGGAGTTTATTGACTTCAGTTCCAGTAGAATTTGCAAAAAACGCTTACCGTGCGATAATACCTAGGTAAGTAATATCGAAGGGTAATGGCCATTCCCATCGCGGGAAAATGCAAATCTAGAATCGATTTCGAATATAAATAGTTACCCGAGTCGATAAGGCATTATCATTATTAGTACAAGTCCTAGTCCTAGTCCTAGTAACTATCAATTAAAAATGTTCGCTGTCTCCCCGACTTCAATCCTGATGGTCAACCCAATGCTAGACGTTGTAATGTAAGCACTGTTTTTTGCAAGTGTTGTTTTGCGTTGTGTTTCATTTGGCAAGCCATTATATTCTTTTTCTTTGCTGACCTGCCATGTGGCAAGCATTTATCCACGATTTTTCCATTTAATCAATAAATGTCAAATTTTATATGGAAACTGTATTAAATCTTTATTTGGGGATGAATGTGGTTGGGTGGTGAAATGGTAAAAACCTCTCGTCAAAAACCAAACGAGTAGCTAAGTTACGACCTATAGGAGGGTCAACATCAGAGTTGCAACAATATTATTATACAAGTCTCATAGAACGTGTGTGATATACTATTTCTACTGCATTCATTTGCACTGTTTCATTCAAAAATTTTTCATCAATGAAAACATAAAATATTAACAATACATGAAGTAGTGGGGAACAATTGAATCGCTAAGGAGAAGAAGGGAATAACTACCATTTTGGGTCAAACTGAACTAGGATAGCCATTTTGTTTATTGGATATGTCCACATGAATCTAGCCGAATATGGGAACCATGATGAAAATAGACTGGTGTAACCACAAACGTGTAGACCGCGAAACACCGTAGCAAGGCCACACCGGATTGACTGTAGATGGCGTAGGGAACATCGTGCCACATATAATTCACAGATATAATGAAAATTTCACGTCTTTTTCATTAAATCAATCACTTTTTCTCAATGATTTTAAATTACGAATCAATATACGTAAATGTAAACAACAAAACAAAACAACCATTGTGTAGCAAGATCACTTCGGGAACAGCGCCATCTAGCGTTAGTTTTGCGTGGCCTTACTACGGTGATAGAATTCGACATAATCAAGTAGGCCAGAGGTCTACAAAAATGTCTAGGGTTTTGTAAGAGGGAGCTATTTCACCATACATATATCCACCTTTATGGGAACTATCGCGCTATTTTTGAATGCACTGCGTCGCTAACAAAATATCGTAAAGTGAAAGAAGGGAATTATATTTCAAATAATTCCTTTTCTCCACTTTATGCTCATAACGGCCAACAGGCATTCGATGTCTGCCATCTCTGTAGTTCCAATCTATTGTTTACCGCAAATTTTCGGTATTTACCCGAGAAAGTGGTTTGATTGTCATGGTTATTTCATTGAAAAATTGACGTTTGAAGCATTGTCAGTTATTACAGTCCAGGTGAATATAAAGAGTTTCATAATGAAGTTATATCATGGATTGTCGACATCCATGTTTTTCATTGAAAAGTAATACAGGGATTATTATTTTTCTTTATAGGCATCAGATCATGAAAGAAATTTAGTGGTCCTGAGTCATTTTCATTGATAAATGTGTGAAAAATGGAAATTACATGAAAATATAGAGGAATACGGGAATAACTTTTCAAAATCTCATCCCTAATATCCCTAATGCATGACTGAAATTGAGAAAAACTAGACATTCAATGAATCCATGATACCATATCCTAAAACTTTTGTGTGAATGGACTTCTTGTAGAATAAACTGTCTAAGAGTTATACAGTTTTTTCTGTTTTCCCAAAATTTCAGATTTTGTAATTATTCCCTTCTTCTTCTGAGCGATTCAAATAAGGAACATTTGAATGTTAATTTTGTATTTCGCGGTCGCCAAGGTTATTAGATGACATTAGGATGACATGTAAAACTACAGGAAAACATCGGAACTCCTGGCATAGATTGAAAGTTAGAAATGTTTTTCCGTAGTTTTTAACGTCATCGCAGAGTCGTCTAATGACCTTGACGACCGCGGATCACACAAAAGTTCGTGTCAATAGGTCGCGTGCACAATGACCGACCCTAGAGATAAAATATTGTAACACAACCTCACTCTTTTTATTTGTTCACAGAGAAATCAAAGGATTGAAATAGTTTTTCAAAATATTTTGGCATACGAATCATGTTTTTTGCTTTATTCATTCATTCAAGCATGCCTTCTCATTGTGCTGTTGTACAATACACAAAAAATGCAGCGAGAGACGAAGGAATATAATTTTTCAGGTAAATAATGATCTCACATAGTTTTTATTATGGAAGTTTGTCTTTTCTCATTAGAATTCCTTCTGCCACTTCTGCAATAGAAGCTAATACTGCTAATAGATTGAAAATGTCTACACACGATCATATTTCGTCAGCATGTCAGACCAGTCCTCCCGTTTGATTGCATGAATCCAATCTTCTTGTATTCTGTTAGAAATTTCACGAGCATTTCTATAAGATCCTATTGGAGAAGGAATTCCGATGAGAAATCAGATAAATTACCAAATTTCAGAATAAAAACTATATGTGAGTGACTAGTAGGTAGGTACTCACTTTTAAATCATAATGTACCAACCGGATTCCTTCGTCTCTCGCCGCATTTTTTGTGCATTGTATTAGAGCACAATGTGATGGTATGCGCGAATTAATGAATAGCCGGAAAACTCGATTCGTGTGCCAAAATAATTGTGAAAAACTATTTCAATTATTTGTAAACAAATAAGAAAAGTGATGTTGTGTTTCATTGTTTCACCTCCAGGGTCGGTCATCTGACAGTTCTTGCACGCGACCCATAGTGTCTGACAGTTATACCATTACCAACTTTGAAAGAAAAAATTCAGCGTATCCCTATAGAAGCTGTTTCGATGCGCATTTGGGTGTCATAATGACTTCATTAAAGACGCAAAATAGATGAATAAATAGATAACAATGCCCCGCCCCGTATGAAAAATAACAAAGATTTTTTTCGACTTACCGCCGTATGGAAGGCGATGTACTTTGTCCACAATTCCGAGCTGTTCGGATTGGCCAACAACAATCTATCGAACTGATCGGCGCTTTGGGGGGTCGAGTTCAAATCTGCCAATTCTTTTTCGATTTTTGAAATCCTCTCCTCTTCCAGTCTTGCCAACTCTGCCCGTTCTTTCGCAGACAGCTTCTTCTTCTTCTTTTTCACCACCTCCGTCTACGAGAATGAAAAACACGAAAAAAGGAAAATTAGGCTACTTCACTGCTATTTGGGGACACAGCGCAAACATGGTGATAGCTCACTATGACTTAGTTACAAATAACTTTTTTTTCTCTTACAGATGATATGTCGCAGTAATAGTTTTGTGTTGATAACAACGGAGTTATCGTCATTTATACAAAAATAAAAAATGATTTGGAAGCCGCCATCTTGAATTTATGAATTTTAACAAAAAAAATCATGATCTCCGACCTCAAAAACCCCCACTTACCAATTTTGAACGAAATCGGACCAAATCTTGTCCGCCATCTTGGAGCAGCCTTTTTTTTTATTTCAACAAAAATTCCATAATGTATTGTCACCGAAATTATGAACACCTGCCGAATTTCAAGTTAATCGGAGTTATGGAATTTTTGTTGAAATTAAAAAAAAAATGGCTGCTCCAAGATGGCGGACAAGATTTGGTCCGATTCAATTCAAAATTGATAAGTGGGGGTTTTTGAGGTCGGAGATCATGATTTTTTTGTTAAAATGTATAAATTCAAGATGGCGGCTTAAATAGTTATTTTTGTATCTAGAGCGCGAAATGCTACTTTGGTGATCGAGATCTGATTTTTTTGACGAGGCGTAGCCGAGTTGAAAAAATAGTCGAGATGACCAAAGTAATTCGCGCTCGAGTTGCAAACAAAATTTTTTCTACAAACGTCAAAAAATATAGTTCTGAAGTAAAAATATGCTTCACTTGATATAAAAAATAGTGTTGAACTGGCTTGAAATGTTTTTCCCTATCCTCCCTAGGTACGCACGATGTTCCACGAACATAATAGGAACTTCCTTTCGTGCGCTCCACGAGAAAAAACAAAGTTATTGTTGAACATTCAGAAATAAATGATTTTGTATATGTCTGCTCGATTGAGGACCATGAAGTTGAAATATAAATATCTCATTTATTTTACATAACAATGCGCGAAGTAGGTACTTCGCGCACTGTTTTACTTCGCGCATTGTTTCGAGCAAGGAATCATGGTAACGTAGGAAACTGAAAAAAAGTGTCACTTCGCAATTTGTTATCAATGCGCGAACCTTGTCATTTTTTGACGTTTGTAGAAAAAATAATTTTTTGTTTTTGTATAAATGACGATAACTCCGTTGCTATCAACACAAAAATATTACTGCGACACATCATCTGTAAGAGAGAAAAAAGTTATTTGTAACTAAGTCATAGTGTATGACCTACATTTGAAAAACTAAAGTTGGTGCTGATATCTCAAATTCTAGAAGAGTTGGTTATTTGAATATTTTCATGAATAAAGAAGTTACGGAGGAGACATGAAACTGATCAAAATCTGTTTTTTGCATATAAAACAAAAACGAATAGATTTTATCAAAATATTTTTCCACATTATAGTTGGCCTTGAAAAACTCCACATTTGGTGTCATTTAACCGACCTCGTATCTCTCACCGTTAAAAAGATACCCATGGTGAGCATGGTAAGTGGGACACACTGTATATATTGACGAGTGTGGGTGTTCCATTCAAAAAATCAAAGTTGTTGCTACTATTCAATATAAGCGGCAACGTCGCAACGCTGAGAATATTTTAGGTCGATAGAACACAAGTTATTATCTAAGGCACCAACTTTTCAGAATAATGACGATATATAAATTTTCATAGCCATACATTTCCGGATGTACTGTGACATCTGGCAACTATGCATTCCACTGACTTCATTCGTGGTTTAGAGAACTGAAACCGTTCAGAAAATTTTCGAAAAATAATAAAAGTGAACGCATTAGTATGAAGATAAAAAATTAACAGAAATATCAGTTCCCATCGAGGAATAATCCCGTCAAATACCTCATCTTCTTCGTCCGAGGACGTGTCAGCTTCGGTTCTCGATTCAGGCTGGAAGAAACTGGAAGTTATTCCGGTGAAACCAAGTGAAGTTTCACTGTCTGAGTTTGATTGTTTCTTTGCAGGAGTTTCAGAGTCTATCTCTGATTTTCTTTTTGCAGGTCGTGTTTCGTCCTTCTTTGATTTTATTGTGGCGCCCGTGTTGATTTTACTGTCTGATTCGGCTTCTTCTTCACTTTCAGTAATTCCTGGATCGCTGTTGAAATCGTCGAGTAGTTCTACTGCACTGTCATTTGAACTACTCTCGTTTTCTGAATGTTCCGGTTCAGAGTCGTTGCTGGTTTGATTAGGATTATTTTTTGTATCGATGTTAGCCAATTTCGAGGAATGCTTTTCTTGTCTCAAAGCTTTTTCTTTGGAAATCAGTGCTTTGGTTTTATCTAAAGTGAGGAACAATTTTTTGCTAATGCCGATAAGATAGTCGCCGACTTTCCTAAAATGAAGTGGTGATTCAAGAACTCAGCGAATGCATATCGATAAAAACTGTGTTTTCTTACCCGCAGATACAAATTTTCAATTTGCTTTTTTCGTAATATGCCTTGCAGCCTTCAAAGTCATTTTCATGCAAGAACATTGGGATGTAAACGAGCTGTTTGTTACCATTTTCTTGTTTCAACACTACCAAAGCCGAATACGATTTTATAATAATGTTTTCTACTATACAGGATGATAGGTTATCAATACGAATTCTGCCATCTCAAAAAAATACATAAACAAATTAGTATTCCTTTATTTAATTTTAATAAGTGAATAACTACCTTGAGCTTTGTTTATTTTTTGTGAGACGTCTTTCTTGAGACATATTTCGACAAAATTGTCCTTGAAATCCTCAGACAAAAAAACACCCGTCATAGTTTCCCCTATTTTTATATTACCTACAACAAAAATTGAAAAACTGTCAGTATAACCTTCACATTAATTTTTTTAAACGAAATTTCACATATTTTACTGACTTGGACATAATCTAGGAGCGACCAATCCATTGGAATTGTTGGGCAGTTTAACCAGGCAACCCCCTTGGTCGCCTAGTTTTTCGATCTTACAAGAAATTCTCTCTCCAGGACCGTACTGGCACAATGGCCAATCGTTTTCGCGCCCGAATCGTCGCAAATGCGCCAACTCTGTCAAGTGCTGACTAAACAGTCCGAGAGTCGTCTTGAAAACAAATTAAAAAATGGATTGATTATATTGACCTCAACTACACACTTGAGATGTGGTTAAATAATCAAAAATATACCCAAAATTGTTTCATCGAGTCGATTACTTATGGAGTGAGCAATATGTTCTTTAAAACTTGTACAGATGAATCGACGTGTTTGCCCAATATATTTCGTATATCAACCATGAGAATATACCCAAATTTGTTTTATCGAGCCGATTATTTCTGGGGTGAGCAATATGTTCTTTGAAACTTGTACAGATGAATCGCCGTGTTTGCCCAATATATTTCGTATATCAAACATGAGAATATACCTAAAATTGTTCAATCGATCCGATTATTTCTGGGGTGAGCAATATATTCTCTAAAACTTGTACCGATGAATCGGCGTGTTTGCCCAATATATAATATATTTCGTATCACAGTAATTGCAATTCATTTTGTGGGTACCAGACTCATCAAGTATTGACTTTATCCTTATGGTAACACTGAAGGGTATATGAATGTTATTTTTAGATTGATTATATTGACCTCAACTACACAGTTGAGTGATGTTGTTAAATAATCAAACACAAGAATATACCCAAAATTGTTTCATCGATCCGATTATTTATGGAGTGAGCAATATGTTCTTTGAAACATGTACAGACGAATCAACGTGTTTGCCCAATATATTTCGTATATCAATCATGAGATTATACCTTGAATTGTCAATTGAGCCGATTGTTTCTGGCGTGAGCAATATATTCTTTAAAACTTGTACCGATGAATCGGCGTGTTTGCCCAATATATAATATATTTCCTATCACAGTAATTGCAATTCATTTCTGGAGTACCAGGCTCATCAAGTATTTACTTTATCCTTAGGGTAACCTTGAAGGCTATATGAATGCTATTTCTTGCAGTCAAAGCTACGTCCAGCTCAAGCAATTCAAAAATACCACTCTAGCATCAAAAAGAAATTTTCACAAACCTTGAAGATAAAATTGATAATAGTGACGAGTCAGGTGAATTTGAATTACCGTAAAATGAAATACACTGGGCAAACATGTCGAAGCATCGGCACAAGACTTAAAGAACATATTTTCATTTCCTTTTCAGTTTTACTGAGTTGTTAAAATAAATATTTAGACTCATCTCAATATTATTGTGGTATTTTGGGTATTCGAGTATACAGGGTGGAATTTTTTTGACATACCTCCACGGAATTGTCGAAAACATCGGTGAACTTGATACTCAACCTGATTTTTTTCTGCTCATGATCTATTTCGAGAATTTTTCCCACAATACTTTGATACTTCTGGAATTTGGGCATTTGTTTCCCACTTTCCATAATATCCTACAAGACAAAGAACATTTCAAAATCTCTTTTCCCAACTCTTGAGATATTTCCCAACCTTTTTTCTTATCAGAATATTTTCTGCATGGTCCAATATCAAAGGAAGAACATTTATTCCTGATTCACAATCCGAGATGTATGAACACCTGACAATGTTTCCGGGAATGAGCTTCTCCAGCTTTCTCAGTCTCAGTCTGGAATTTCTCTCCAACGCCAAAAATTCCCTTCTCGATAAAATGTTAGGCGTAGATTTGGTGTCAATGCAGATTAGATCGTTTATTTCGTCACCGGGTTTGTAAGTCTCTGAAAATTTCAATCAACTGACACAAGAAACTCCAGGTTGTTTCAAAAAAGTTCATGGACCCTTTTTTAAATTCTTTTGCATTTTGTATCAAGCTCTGATTTCAAGATTTGACAGATTCATCTTGCAAATACACTAATGGCAGGATTAAACTGTCAATTAATCCATAATTGAATGATGTATCGGCAAATTAAGCCCTAATTGTGAGATTATTATGTCAATTAAACACTAATTGCAAAATTCATTAGTCAATTAAGCCCTAATTTGACAGATTCATCTTGCAAATACACTAATGGCAGGATTGACCTGTCAATTAATCCATAATTGAATAATGTATCGGCAAATTAAGCCCTAATTGCAAGATTATTATGTCAATTAAACACTAATTGCAAAATTTATTAGTCAATTGAGCCCTAATTTGACAGATTCATCTTGCAAATACACTAATGGCAGGATTGACCTGTCAATTAATCCATAATTGAATAATGTATCGGCAAATTAAGCCCTAATTGCAAGATTATTATGTCAATTAAACACTAATTGCAAAATTCATTAGTCAATTAAGCCCTAATTTGACAGATTCATCTTGCAAATACACTAATGGCAAGATTGACCTGTCAATTAATCCATAATTGAATAATGTTTCGGCAAATTAAGTCCTAATTGCAAGATTATTATGTCAATTAAACACTAATTGCAAAATTCATTAGTCAAAGTCAATTAAGCCCTAATTTGACAGATTCATCTTGCAAAACCACTAATTGTAGGACCAACATGTCAAATAAGTTGATAAATATTGTCAATTAATTAATTGTCAATTAATTACAAGATCAATTTTCACAAGACACAAAAAAGATTTTTGTTGTTATGTCCGTCCAGTGCTTTTGTATTAAGTTTTGGTTTTAAATTTTAATAAACTCACTGAGTAGAGATGGGCACAGCGATAAAGTACTTCCGAGATGATTCACAGGTACTATCCCGATAGCCTTGCCCCTTTTCGACTTAACCTCCATTCTGTCCTTGTATATTTTACCGACTATTCCTTGCACTTTCTGACCGACTCTGATCTCAGCCAGAGCTCTGAACTCCCCAGGCTGTTTCAGCGACAAAATCACCCTGTCATTTTTCACACCAAGTACCCACAAATTGACCTTGAAAAAAAAATTGGTATTTGATGAACACTTTTCTGCAAATGTAGTATTTTTGTACCCCCCTGTATGACACTTACCACTTGTCCTTTGTAAAAATATTGAGTGGGATCAGGCGTTTCTTGACTCTCTTGATCTTCGAGGAACTTATTGCTGATCCAACCCTTGATATTGCCGTAGAATGTAACGAGAGCTCCTGTAGGTCTGGTCAAAACTACCACCCCGGTATATTTGTCGCCACGATTGGCGTTGTTTATGTCGATGAGAGCGTTATCGGCCTCTACTTGGCTCTGTTTTAGGGTCAGCAATAAGTTGTTTTCGTCAATGCTCAAAACCCTAAGAGATAAACGAGCTTGTATTAAAAACGTTTTACAGACAAGCTTCAATGAAAACGTACAAAAAAAGGATAATTTGTAATTGAATTTTGCAATTTTTGCAAGAATGCAGAGTTACAGTATGCAGATAGTTGAAGTTGAAGTCAAGGTTTCCTATTCTGCCTGTTGTTATACATTATCCTGCTTCAAAGTCGTCTTCATAATTTCCGACCTCAAAAACCCCCAGATGACAATTTTGAATAGAATCGGGTCATAATTAGAAAACTTTTTCGCCATATTGGATCCGCCATCTTGAATTTCCTAATTTTGACGAAGGAATCATAATTTTCGATCCAGAAAACCCCCATATACAAATTTTGAATAGAATCGGATCATAATTACAAAACTTGTCCGCCATATTGGATCCGCCATCTTGAATCTTACAATCTTGACAGGAGAATCATAATAGCTGACCCCAAAAACCCCCGGATAACAATTTTGTATACCATCGGATCATAAATAGACAACACAACCTTGAGCTGAAATCTACTGCTTTCTTCCCTTGTATAATAAATGATTATATATTTTTGACCATTTATTTTAAAACGAATCACTTATAATTTAGTATACCATATCGAGATCGATGAAAAAAGGTTTTACAGTCTTGGCACACAAAAATATAGATTTCACAGACGTATTTTGTACGTATTTTGAAGACTTCTTGTTAGTGGAATTTAATAAAAAATCAACAGATGATAAAACTGACCTTGCTTTACATTTGTATCCTTCCTTGAACTTTTTCTTGATGGTTTCACTATATTTGACATTGGAAATATACAAATTGGGGACGAAACCCCTTGTATGCCCAGTAGTCACCACCAGGCCGTCAGATTTCACAGATTCCACCACGACATTCACGAGCTGTCCTGAACAAACACAGAAAGATTTTAAAATCTGGGACTCAAAATTTATTATTGGCAATTTAAAACAGAATTTGGAATAAAAAAATGCAATTATTTTGCAACCGACTAAAAAGTTGTTCATTTTTGTTCCAGAATTAGCTCTTGAAGCTGCTATTTTCCTTATAGTAGGCTAAATAGGTATTTACTCGAGCGTCGTGGGGACGTATCAGATTGTGAAGATTAGATGCGAAACGGAAAAAAAAAGTTTATCTGATGGCATGTCATAATGACAACGTTATGTCACTCAATTTTGATGACATAAGGAAGCTCATTATGGGACTAAGTACCATAATGAATTCATTATGGTACTATGTACCATAATGAAATTCTATAAGGAAAACATGTAATGGTTTGATCAGAAAAGTTTATTCAAAATGCATAACTATGTACAAAACTATTTATTATAAATGGTAAAAGAACAATTACTACAATTTGTAATATTAATATAATGGCAAAGCACAGCTCACTCACCTACTAATATTTGAAACTACACAATACTTACTCCTTTAAAAATAGTTGTCATTGTGACATGTCGAAAATGCAGTTTTTAATTTTTCGAAAATGTATTGATATAAATGCCATCAGATAAAATTTTGTATGTAATACGAATCATAAACAATCATTATGGCACACGCCGTGTTATCGGACTCGGCTACGCCTCGCCCGATAACATTCACGACTTGTACCATAATGATCGTCTTTATGATCCTTATTACATAAATAACTATTATATGATATATGACCTTTTACTGGTGGGGAATTTATAGAAAAATGTTCGTTATTAATAATAATATCTAATTTGTTGAAATTAGGACGACCACGCGAGTGACAACTGAATGGTAAGTAGTTCGTTTTATCTTTGTTAATTGTGAGTAATTTGTATTCGAACCATTTTTTTATTGAACGGAAGTCTGATTCGGTTTCGTACTTTAGATTTTCCCAGTTATCAGACCTATAGAAAATTGCTGAATCATCAGCAAATCCGAAAATTTCCCCGCGGCTGTTGAGTGAAAACAGTTCATTGATGTAAATGTTGAATAAAATGGGTCCGAGCACTGTTCCTTGTGGTACTCCATAGTCAATTGCTTCGACACCGCTAAATACACCATCAACACTCACAGTTTGGGTTCTCCCGCTTAAATAGCTATTGAAAAGTTCATATAAAGGGCCAGGTATAGTGGGAGTACTTCACAAGGTCCAAGGATACCCCCTTATAATAATCTGCCGCGCTTGAGTAAATCCCGAAATCCCCGCTTGGGCTTCCCCACTACACTCAGTTCCAAAAAAAGTGACGCACTTGATATTTGACCTATCTTCTTGAAAAAAAAAAAAATAGTAGGCCGATTTTTATTTTTTGGTAGGTGATGCATTTGTCTTTGAAAAAAAAAATAAAGAGCCTCCTTGATGGTGGTGGAATAACTCGAACCATGATTTATTCTTAATTTTTGACTCACCCTGTGTGTTAATTGAGTAATGGTATACAAAGTCCTTACACCCTATACGAAAGAGGCTTCATTTGCGAGCATTCTGTTTTTTTATTCATTGATTTATCTCCAAAATTTTCCGAATTACAGCTTCTTTGCTGATACCTTACGCTTATCCCACAAATTAAATTTATTGAAGGATCAGAGTACTCAAAATTGGGTTGTACTCTGGTAGGATCACATTGTCTTTAAAAAAACTTGTTTTATTGACTAAAATTACATAAAATGTCTCAAATAAATCCTGAACAAGTAGCAAGATTAGTTGCGTTAGTAAACGATGGGCGTAGTAAACGTTACGCCGCTCGTGCAGTGGGAGTTCATGAAGCAACTGCTCGTAGAGCAATCCGCAAGTATGAACAAACAGGAAGCACCGCTCGGAGGGTCGGTTCTGGTCGCCCCCGAAAAACTTCTCCAAGAGATGATCGCTTCTTGAGATTGCGGATTTTACGAAATCGATCAAATACTGCGGTAAATGTTCAGCAAGATCTTCGCCAAATTCGTGATGTTGCAGTAAGTAAGCAGACGGTTTGTAAACGTCTAAAAGAAGTTAATTCAAAAGCTAGGAGACCTGCAAAGGTCGCAAATTATTGCCCGAACATCGTGCTGCTAGAAGAAATTTTGTTGAAAATTATGGACAGTGGAATATTCCTGAATGGTCGAATATCTTGTTTACGGATGAGTCAAGGTTTTGCCTTAACATGGTGGATGGAAGAAAAAGAGTGTGAAGAAGAACTGGTGAACAGTTCAATGAATGGAAAGACACCCCTTCATGTTATTCCGGTGAGGCAGTCGATGAATGCCCAAATTTACATTGACATTTTAGAGCAGTATGTCTTACCTTATGCAGAGTTGGTGGGCAATAATTTTATATTGATGCAGGATAATGCCCGACCACACACCGCAGCAATAGTGTTAGAAGCTACTGGTATTACCATATTACAATGGCCTGCGAGATGCCCCGATATGAATCCTATAGAACATTTGTGGGATGAATTAGGGAGAAGGGTACGTTCTCGCGAGAGGTCTCCGGAAAGTCTCGCAGAAATGGCAGATGCATTAGTGGAAGAATGGGATCGTATACCAATGGAAACGATAAGCAACCTAATTTCCAGTTTGCCTCGTAGATTAGAAGTTCTTAGAGTTGCTAGAGGAGGCATCTCGATAAATTCAGAAAGTTGGTAATCTGCAAGGATTCAGCAAAAAGAGGTGTAATTCGGAAAATTTTAGAGATAAATCAATGAATAAAAAAACAAAATGCTCGCAAAAGGAACCTCTTTCGTATAGGGTGTAAGCACTTCCTATGCCATTACTCGATTAACACACAGGGTGAGTCAAAAATTAAGAATAAATCATGGTTCGAGTTATTCCACCATCAAGGAGGCTTTGACAAAATTTTCACCGACTTATTTTTTTTAAAGAGAAATGCATTACCTACCAACAAATAAAAAAAAAAGAATCGGCCTACAATTTTTTTTTTTTAAGAAGAGAGGTCAAATATCAAGTGCGTCACTTTTTTTGGAACTGAGTGTATTAATGAAACGATAACAGCCACACTTTTAGTATCTCAGAGCTGAAAGATCTGAGATCTTTGAGAAACATAGTGAACAATAAAATTTATGAGAGCCAGAAGGAAAAATTCGTACCTAATTTCAGATCAGAAGGACTGAAAATCTTCTCTCTGATCAGCGACTGCTCAACAGTGGATATGTACACGCGAGACAGGCGATTGTAGTCCAATATACGGCACGTGTGCTTAGTGCCCACATCGAATTTCGATCGGATTGTTTCCGACAGGTCCAGGTTCGGGTTTTTGCCCAGAGAATTGATGAGTCTACGATTGGTCACGAAAGATTTTTCTTTAGAGGAGAGTTTCAGGTAGACACCATTGTGAGCTCTTGAGATAACCTAAACAAGAACTTCTACTATGAAAGTCATTCGATTTTTTGTATTCTAGCAAAACAAAAGCAATCTTAAAAATGAGGAAACCGTTACAATAAATGTTCGAATTGGTCACCTTCTGCAATGATACAATGTGAATGACGATTGTTCAAGAACGTTTTCACCCTTCTTTTTGTCTAGTTTTAGTTTGTATAATATTCATATAGTTATTTGATATATATACATATATACATATTTGGTGCACAAAGAATCACTTTTTAAATTTAACCGCCGTTTCGCGTTCATGAAAGTTACTTCCAATCCTGTGGACAGCGACCCCTGCGGGAGAAGAGAGAACGACACAGACGCAACGAGCGGGATCGAGCGCGCAGTTGACTCCTAAAATAAAAATCGATAAAAAGCCTATTCTAGTGATTAAAACCCGCGTTTTACGGTGCACCGCGTCCGCATATTAAATTCCACTTCTGGAGCAGCCCTGGAACCTGGATTCCCTGGAATGGTGCAGATTTCAACTGTTTAAGGTAGGAAGTACTTTCCCGCGATTGATTCAGCGTGATTAAAATAAAAATAAAAAGAAAACTACAGTCCACTACAAATCAACGATAAACATTGTTTCTGATGCATACAGGTCGAATTTTTCATTTATTGTAATTGTTTCCGTTGTAAATATAAAATAATTAATAATTTTTGCTCACCCTGTATTACTTTATTTTGCTAATATCAGTATATGGTTGGATAGACAATGAATATACCTTCCAAAAAATAAAATGAAAAGGAGATGTTTCCATTTAAAAAAATAATCGATGACGAGAGGATATTTTTCCATTTATCTATTTATTTTAAAAATAACATACATGTGAGCATAATATAGGTATTAATAGTAATAAAAAGTTTTTTAATGAGAACATGATCAAATAAGTTGAGAACTTGCCCTTGATCATGTAAACTAACTGAAATTAATTTTTTCATTGAGAACAATTCACATAATAAATACATCTTGAAATACATGCATACGGGGTTTTTCATGATTAGTGATTCTGGCAAACCAACCCTCAGATGAATCTGGAAATTCAATGGTATGTATAAATTGACATGATCTACACATGTGAAATATTTTAAACAATGCGGCTTTACCGCTTTTACTAGAAAACATCAGCAACTTTGATATTTCAAATGAAACACCCTGTATTTCATTGCATTTTCAGATTCTTCCTGGAGATTTTTCAACCTTTGGAATTTTTTTGTGTTGAAACTATTCATTATTGGTCAACTAAGCTTTCATGTACCTATTTCCACTTTTGATTTCCTATCTACTGACATTTATTTGGAACAAATACAGGGTGGTTCAAGATTCAGAATTCTGATCACCATGTATCTGATCCAATTAAATTTCAATAGATAGCAAATGAAAAGTTAAGTTAATGATATGCAAGCCGTTTTCACAGATAATGAATAGTTTGGACAAAAAAACCTGAAGTTGAAATAACTAGAATTTGAACACCCTGTATCTCTGTAATCATTCTGCTAGGCACCAAGTGAGATGCATTAATAAAATGAGCTCTTCAGGGAGAATCTGAAAATCCAATAATATATAGGGTGTTCCATTTGAAAAATCAAAGTTGCTGCTACTTTTGAGTAGATGCGGCAACGCCGCATCGTTTGAAATATTTTAGACATGCAGATCATGCCAATTTTTGCATACCATCAGATTTCCAGACTCATCTTCTGCTTAGTTTGACAGAAATGTCTAATGAATGCTCATTGTTGATCAATTGTTTTAGAAAACATTAACAATATACATTAGAAAACATTTACAAAAAGATAATCATGTAAAACATAAATATGACACCAAAAGTAGAATTTATGGTTGGATATCAACTAGGAAATTCTCTTCAACTTCAATGCAATAACATGCCATTCATATAGGTAAAAAAAATTACAATAAATTGCCTCCCTCTTTGAGAAAAAATCACGTTTTTTTAAATTCAAGAAAAAAATTGAATCTTGGTTCATTGAGAATTCAGAAATTTTGGAGATTTGTTTGAATACAAAATAATACTTATGCAATATATCATGTTTTTATAGTTATTTTTAGATATTGTGAATATGTATTTATTATGTGAATTGTATTCAATGAGAAAATTAATTTTAGTTAATTATTGGAAGGAAATGAAATATTACATGATCATAGATAAGTTTTCAACTTTTTTGATCATTTTTATTCAAAAAAAAAGTATAAAGAAAAAAAAATAAATTATGAAGAAGCTGTATAAGATATGAAGAAGAAGTTCATCATATATTTTGTATTACCAACATAAGATTTTTTCCATTATACCCTGCAAAGGACAGAAGAGAAAAATTTTGTTTTCTCTCTCAAATATATTAGCTGAATGCTGAACTTCTCAATTCAAATCATGTCACTTTGAATCAAAAGCCCAAAAAAATCAACAAACTTACAAAACTACATGTAAAACCCAGTAAAATTATTTTCATGGAAACTTACCTCACCAGAAATTATTTCACCATTTTTATGACTTGGGGTTGGAACAATATCCATATTCCTCATGGTTAAATGAGTGACTTTGGTAGGATGGTCAACATACATCACAAAAGCTGTGATCAATTTTCCTTCCTGATAATTTTCCAAATTTTTGGAAGGTGTTTTCAGCTGGCTTTCATCTATAAAGCCAAAGTAATCATTCAGGAATTTTCCTTCAATGCCATTAGCAGTAATCTACAAAACAAAGAACACTGATGAAGAAATCATATTTCCATTTTTGGAAAGTTCACCTTTTCTATCAGGATTTCTACCTGCATACCAGGCATCAAGTGGTCAAGACTACTTATTTCTTCAATTTTGCCAGCCTTCAAATGCTGTTCTTTACAACTGACCCTCATTGTAGTAGCAGCAGATGAACTATCACATTTGTGTATGGTACACCACAGTGGAACCCCTATAGCTACAAAAAAATCAGTTCAAAGTAATTTGTTGATACAATTAGTTTGGTCTTACCTAGTTTTTGCTCTGCATCAACATTTTTTGAAGGCAAAAATACCCTACAATTTTTCACTCCAACATTGAGCTCATATCCATGATCCAAAACAGATTGTACTGAAGCCCACACCAGCAAGCCTTTCTTGAAATCACTGTGAGATCTCTCACTGTAAATCTCCCTAGGGTTCATAGTACATTCTACAAGGACATTCTTCTCCCCATGTTCAACATTCACCACTTTCACCATGATGAATTGTCCAATTTGGAACATTTTTGTCAGGATTGATTCAGTCTAAAATAGGACAACAAATAAAAAAATTCAAGCATGACACTGATATCTTGACTGATATGCTTACATCCTCATCATTTCTTTCTAGACATGCACTTAGATATTTTGTAAAGGGGTCAGAGATGTTAGTTATATTAATGGTACCAAATGTGAGTCCAGGTAATTCAACTTCCAGAGAAAAATTTGAAATATGGCGAATACAACCCAGAATCATCATATTACTTCTTAAACTCTGAAAAATAAATGAGCTAGATTTGTTCAGGGTGATTTACAGTTAAAAGTATTACATTATATGATAGATTTCCTTGAATTCTCAAGGAGGAATGGAAAGCTTCTTCTGTCAGGGTTTCTGTGGGGCCTTTTCTCTTATCCTTCTTAGGTTTCTTTGCTTTCTTTTGTACCCTGTCTGAGAATAGCTGAAATGTGAAGGTAAGTCGGCAAGTTTTTTGAGACATGAAAACATGAAATACTTACATTATCATCTTCTTTTGGTCTTTTTAAAGTGGTATTTACTCTCCTGCCTCCTCTCGGGAAACAGTCCTCTTCAGTTTCCGTCATTTTGCAAATTGTGTCGAGTAAAATAACAAAATATTAAAAAGTTTTTGAAATACTGAAGAAAGACATGCTTGGTAAACGTACGAGGTTATTTTCTCGATTCTCGTTTATTCTGTAATGTAAATACGTCAAAGATGATACGAAATTTAACTGGCTGGATACAAGTAGATCTTCAGTCCAACACTGATAAGGGGCTAGGAAAATAGGAAGAAGAATGATAAGAAGCTTATGGGTAATAATGACTGAAAACATATGATACTCAAATTACCGGTTATATACCATTCGATGTTCGTTTCTTTGAGCAAATTAGAAGACAAGGATTGAACGAAAATAACCTACAAATTTAAAAATATATTTCAAAATTTAAAAACACAAAAATATGGATAAATTGCTGAATACGAACATTAAAACAGTACTTACAATGCTTTTTACTAATATACAGACTTTATAAACTCGAAATTTGCAGGTCTCTAGACTTCTACTCGACGGTGCTGTTAAAACCAAAGATTTAACAGAACTGGCATTAAATAGAGTATCAGAAATACATAAACTCAATGCATTCATAACGCTCACTCAAAATGAGGCACAAATCCAATGTGGACAATCCCAAGAACGATACAAAACGCAAAAACCTCTTTCCGAACTAGACGGTGTCCCGATCGCAATCAAAGACAACTTTTGCACTGAAAACATCAAAACAACCTGCGCCTCCAAAATGCTAGAAAACTTCACACCCACCTACAACGCCACAGTATACCAAAGGCTTTTAGATGCAGGTGCAGTCCTTGTGGGAAAAACAAACCTAGACCAGTTCGCCATGGGTTCTGGTACAATAGATTCCATCTTTGGGCCTACCAAAAATGTCTGGGGCTACTCTGAGGGAGATAATTTTCGCATATCTGGGGGTAGCAGTGGGGGCAGTGCTGTTGCAGTTGCTACAGGAGCATGTTATGCGCAAGTACCAAAGTTTAAACAGCTGTGCTAAATGTATAAAATGTGTTTTTAGTGCTCTTGGTTCTGATACTGGTGGTTCCACAAGAAATCCTGCATCTTACTGTGGAGTAGTAGGGTTGAAACCTACTTATGGGTTGGTTTCCAGATCAGGACTGATACCTTTAGTGAATTCAATGGATGTACCTGGGATTTTAGCTAGAACTGTGGATGATACAGTTTCAGTTTTGAATGTTTTGGCTGGATTTGATCCAAAAGATTCTACATCTTTGACCAAGCCATACAAAAAAATTAGGTAGCTAAATAGCTACTCATATTGACAAATTTGAGTAGGTAATTTGTATTTTAGATTACCCCCAGCTGGAAAAATGAGTATAAAAGGCCTGAAAGTAGGAATTCCTATAGAATACAACTGTGAACAGCTTAGTGAGGAAGTTTGTGATGTCTGGAATGAAATAGCAATACTTTTGAAAAATGAAGGAGCCATAGTCAAACAAGTAATAAAACCTCAGAGAATTGGAATATTCAACTAAAACTCAAGTTACTACAAATTCGGAAATTCACAGTTATAATACAAGACAACATGCAGTTGCAAAATTCAATGCACAACCACAAGACATTAAAAATTGTGGGAATATTACTGAATTCAAAATAAAAATAAAAAAATATTTTCTTCAAAAAACAGATCTAAATCAAGTGGTCTATCTCTTTGTTATTTTTTTCTCTCTTTTAGTAATGTTCAATCAAACATAAAATATATTTTTTCAAATTATTCTGATAGTTTCATATAATGGAATGATATACACTGTGTTCAAGATAAGGATGTCTTTGATTTTTTAATGGGACACCCTGTACCCATAATCGGTTAGAGATTATCATGACATCATGACGAATTCAACAATATCAAACCCGGTATCGATGACTTCGTTATGACAATCCCTAACCGATTATGGAATACAATACAGGGTGTCCCATTTGAAAATGAAAAGTTGGGGTCGTTTCCAGTAAAAGAGGAAGTGATAGAACAAAAATTGTTCGGTCAAATGATGAGCAATTTGGTATACTAGCTGCCCACCAATTTTCAAAACCCTATCTGGAATAATTCAAAAGTTATGGTCCTGGACGTTTTTTGTGCACCTCTCTGTATATTTACCCTTCATTATTATACGTTTTCTTAGGTTTCAATGCCAAATACCGAATACAGTATTGTCTGCTACTCCATACTGAACCAATGTGAAGTTGCCAGTAATATGGCTAGATATGATGGAATAGAATACGGTTTTCGAGCTGATGAACATTATTCCACAGAAAAATTGTATGCAACTACAAGACGGTTAGGTTTCAATGATGTTGTGAAAAATCGTATACTAACCGGCAATTACTTTCTACTATCTAGGTAGGTATTCTTCTTTTACCACTCTGAAACATTTGCAGTAACCTTCTTTTTTATTCACAGGAACTACACAAAGTATTTTGAACAAGCTTTAAAAGTAAGAAGGCTAATTTTAAATGACTTTGACAATGTTTGGGATGATGTCACTATTTTACTAACACCCACTACATTGACAGATGCCCCTCTATACAGGGATTTTGTGTCGAAAACCAATAGAGACCAATGTGCGGCTCAAGATTTTTGTACACAACCAGCAAATATGGCAGGTAAATATTATTCCAGGGGCGTCCGCAGAAATAATCTCAGGGAGGGGCAAGTCACAATAAATAATGTATATTATTCAGAACATATAAAAAATAACTGTTTTTGCACGACCTATAAGCGATTTTACACCGACAAAAGCGGGAATACAGGGTATACAGAGTAGGCACTCTCTAGGCTAAAAATTTTTCCGGGATTTTTTTGGCAATAAATCTACCACTATGTTTGCAGCAGCTTCTTCAATAGTTTTTTCACGAATTCCTGCAATATTTATTGAAAAAACTTTGGAAAGCAATTAAGAAAATATGCTACCATACTTTTTCGATGTTCACAAAAAGCAATATGGCTACTCTTCTTTATCGGTAGTTCAGATTTTCATTATCATATTGACAATAATTGATTTTATCATAAGATTCTTTCAATTAAAATCGTGGAGTCGTGCAAAAAATGGTAAATAAACCTCGGAAGTGAGTTATTTCTTCCCTCAGTGCATTTTCGCTTTAGCACCCTCTGGCTACAAAACCACCTCTGGAAAAATCATGCACTTTACTCTCTCGATATACAGGGTGATTCAGGTTTTAAGGCACAAACTGAAATGGGAGATAGATCTCATCATATTAATCACAAAAGTTCATATAAACATTAGTCCGATCTCGTTCAGTAGTAATTGAAATATCTCGCTTACTTTTCAAGATATCATTTTGAAATTTGGTGTAGTCAATACTCCCTAGAAGATCATCATTTCAAGCATTTTAAACATTTTCAAAATCTACAGGGTGATACGTTTTTGGAGGTGGAGGCTTCTTTATCCCCTCCAAACTTCTTCGTAGTACGCCTCTGGCATCTTTCAGTGATCAAATTGTGTAGATCGTTCAATTTAGAGGCTTTTTTTGCTCCTCAATTTTTTTCGAGAAACGAACCGTTTTAGAGATAAACATGCATATACGTTCTCCCCCTCCGGACGCCCCTGTATTATTCTACACCAATAGATTTTTTCGCAAAATTAGAAAATTGTATTTTTCAGGTGTTCCTGCTGTATCAATACCCATAAAATTATCGAAAAATGGTCTTCCTTTAGGCCTGCAATTGATTGGGAAAAATCTTAGTGAGCCACTTTTGCTAGCTGTGGCAAAGTATATTGAAAATATTGTCAAATTTCCGCATTTTTCTTACAAGATGTGATATGGTTAATAAATTTGTTTAATAATTTTTTCATCGATTTATTTCAACTAAAAGATAAATGACTGTGGAAAATATACTAGGAATAAAAAAGGTAACCAACAGAACAGAAAAAAATACACAAGTTTTGAAAATTAGGTGTAGTTTGAATTGAGAAAAAAAGGCATAGTGAAAGGGAAACAAGAAGTCATCTTTCTTCTCATTAGATAAAATCTTTTTTGGGGGAAATTTACAATGCAAATTCTCAAGTTAATATATTTAAACAATTACAAAAATTACACCTAGTATACTAAACAAGTCAAATTGAAAAGATAAAATTGGCATAATATTTCTCCACATAGTAAGAAAATCGAAACAAACGCCACTAAATATAAAAATAAAAAATACTGAATGATTCCTTTGAAATATACATCTAAGGAATGCTATACTTGATAAACTCGCGAAATTTCAGAAAATATTATAACAATTGTGTAGGTACCACTAGCCTCCAGTGTTCAGAAGATTTTTTTTATATTTTTCGTTCCTCAACTGAGCTTTCATTCATTTTCACAGAAAGATCAGTCGAATTACCATTCATTTTTTTTTTCAGACATAAATACGGGTGGGAAATATAGAAAGTCTAAAAACCATTATCAACTATAGGTACCTAGGAGGAGGGGATATACTCCTTGAGGGCCTCCAGTTTCTGTTTTTGTTCGGGGGTATCGTCTGCCGCTATCATCATGGTGAAGCACATTCCCATAGCCAGACCATTACATTTTACCCCACTTAATTTGTTTACCTGAAAAAAATAACATATTCTTACAAATCACGAAAATGTTGATGAATGTGACCAACCGGAAAAGGAAATAAAAAACCGCAAACTTGCACGTGTTTCTAGACTTATACTGGATACGTTCTCAGATGACACTCGTCAAAAAGCAGAAGAATAAGAAGAGTATAATGTAATGTTGGCAACATTGCAAACGACAATTTTGTGTTCCATGATCATCTCACAATTTGTGTTCTGTGCTCGACGTCACTTTGACCTAACCTAAAATAATGTTTACGTGAATTTCACAATGATAAAAACCTGCGAAATTTGCTCCAAGGAAGGTAAATACAAATGCCCGACGTGTCTGATTCATTAGTGAGTACATCTTTTCGCATAGCCACAAGAAATTTTCAACATTTTTGCTTGTTTCTAGTTGTTCGATCAACTGTTTCAAAAATGTTGATAAATGTGACCAACAACCGGAAAAGAAAATAAAAACTAATTCAGAAACACCTCATACTTCCACGAATGTGAATGAACGAAATAAAGTAGCTTTGTTATTGAATTTTCTTTCTAGGCATATACTGGTTACGTTCTTAGATAGCACTCGTCAAAAAGCAGAAGAATAAGAAGAGTATAATGTAATGTTGGCAACATTGCACCCGACCATTTTGTGTTCCATGCTTCCATGATCATCTCACAATTTGTGTTCTGTGCTCAACGCCACTTTGACCTAACCTAAAATAATGTTTACGTGAATTTCACAATGATAAAAACATGCGAAATTTGCTCCAAGGAAGGTAAATACAAATGCCCGACGTGTCTGATTCATTAGTGAGTACATCTTTTCGCATAGCCACAAGAAATTTTCAATATTTTTGCTTGTTTCTAGTTGTTCAGTCAACTGTTTCAAAACGCACAAAGAGAACAACAAATGTGAAGTAGCCACCGTTTCAAAAAAAGTTGATCAAGATGGAGATCAACCCAAGAAGGAAAATCCAACCAGGAGAGAAGTAAAAATCGACGAAACAGACTCCACAATACCACAATCTACTCTGGAAATGCTGAAGACCAACAAAGAGGTGAAAGACCTCTTAGACAACCCCCATTTGAGGAATCTCCTAGTTACCATAGACGAATCTGAAAATGCAGAGGAAATAATGCAAAAGGCAATGCAAGAGCCCATTTTTGTAGAATTTGCAGATGCTTGTTTGAAAGTTGTTGAACCAAAAGAAGAAAATGGGGATTTTTGAGATAAGTCTATACATTAACTTTGTTTACCAAACTGTGTTCTTTTTTATGTAAATCATAAATCTACAATTATAATGTTTTTTAGAATTTTCCCTTGTTTTTTTTTCAATAGAAAAAATATTGAAGCTTTAATTGTGGAAAAATGTAAGTGAATATACAAACAAATAAAAATGCCCCCAACACAATTTTTCCTGAGTAGAAGCAAATTTTCAGTTTCAAAATTGTTTAAAAAATAGATAAATAGAGAATCCAAATCACATTTTCAATGGCACACCCAAAATTTGGTGGTTAAAGGGAATAGGAACAAAATGATCTTGATTTTCAAAACTAAAACACTGAAAGGAGAATCCACATTTTTTTGGTTAAAAGTCTGACTTCAAGAAGTAGATTCTTGAGTGTTGAAACATGAAAAAATGTCGGACATGATATGTTTGCAATACCAAATGAGATAAACAAAGATAAAGGGCAAAAATTTCTCTAAGTGCCTAAAAATCTTCCCCAAAAAAAGATAGATTCACCTCTCCAAGTGCCGAAAAATCTCCCCAAAAAAAGCCAGACTCACTTACAAAACCTCCATTTTCTTAGAAGTTTTTCAACAACGATAGAAGGCAGAAACTTCTTCAAGTGCCTGAAAATCGCCTGAAAATCTCCTTAAAAAAGGCAGATTTGCCCACAAAACCAAGAACGAAAAGGAACGATCGCCAGTTAAAAACATTTAAAAAATAGAAAACACCTATGAAATATTATAAAATTTAACCATACAAATACGGTCCACTATCTATCAAGCATGGTTGTTGGTCCTTCGAACCGGATCTATTCAAATAAAACCTTCAAGACTGCCAAGTTCTTTACAAAGGATACAGAGCAGCATTCAAGACTACCTGGAGTAACAGTGAATGCCAAGCAGATGGAGCTTTCACAGATAGCAACGAGCAGTTCAAAAAAGATCGAAGGCAGAAACTTCTTCAAGTGCCCAAAAACCTCCCCAAAAAAGACACCTACACCGACAAAACCTTATCCATTCACTCAGACTTCTTTCAACGAAGATAGAAGGCAAATTAACATCTCCAAGTGCCTAAATATCTCCCCAAATGGCAGATTAACCAAAAAAAACCTTCCCCGTCTGCTTAGAAACGTTCCAAAATCGAAAAATCAAGAACCAACAACTTTCTGAAACGAAAATTCACAAAACTCACCTCTTTAGGGGTAGTGCTAGTCTTCTGTATCTCCCCGATCCCCAATTCCCCGTAACAGGGTGACCCGCCCCACGCTATAACAGTCTCATCGTCCTTCACGTTCCACCCGGCCAAATCGTGAATGGGCTTCGGGTACATGTTCACTTCCACAAAACCGTCTTCATGTGTTTAGAAATGTTTCAACAAGAATACGAATTGCAATTCTTATATCAACCTATCTATCAAGCATCGGAACATATTGGTCCTTCGAACCGGATCTATTCAAATCAAACCAAGACTGCCAAGTTCCTCGCAAAGTATACAGAACAGCACTCAAGACTACCTGGAGCAGCACTGAACGCCAAGCAGCAGATGCAGATTGACCTCTCCGAGTGTCTAAATATCTCCCCATAAAAGGCAGATTCACCAAGAAAACCTTCCTCGTCTGCTCAGAGAAGAACCAACAACTTTCTGAAACGAAAATTTACAATACTCACCTCCTTAGGGGTAGTGCTAGTCTTCTGTATCTCCCCGATCCCCAATTCCCCGTAACAGGGTGACCCGCCCCACGCTATAACAGTCTCATCGGCCGCCACCACTATAGAAGTCTGGCCCGTGCCCACGTGCTTTACGTTCCATCCGGCCAAATCTTGGATGGGCTTCGGGTACATGTTCGCTTCGCCCGTTTTTTTGGTCTGGCCGAACATGAAGAGGCCGTTGTACTCGGTGATGGCCAAGGAATAGGTGGAGCCACAATGGACGGAGCGGATGCCGCGCGACTGGCTGTCGAAGTACTTGATCAGACGGGGTACCTGGAAGACAATGATTATCTTTTGTCGACCTCTACAGAAAAATCACATTTTACGTTCTAATTTCCTAACAAAAAATCGTTCTACTGAATTTTCAGTAAATCTCCTGATATGCATATTGATCTACTGAAACATTTCATAACATACTGACAAATATTTTGACACTTATTAATTATTATAAATAACCTATATTATTATTAGTTGAACACATACACTTGTGTAAATTGCATGATATTTCGGCACACTCTGTTTGAATTAATTTTACAAAATAAGTAATAAATTTACATATAGGCACTAATGATATCTATAAACCAAAAGATCGACACTACTTCATCTGATTCAGATCAAATTCAATTGTTTATATCCCTCTGTTATAACAGTTTGTTTCTTACGTTCAATTTTTTTATTTGTTTTGTTGTTTATTTTTGTTCCCTTTCAATATTCATTGGTGTTTTTTATATACTAAAATCTAAGTACCTATTGAAACTGTATTTTGTGATGTGAGTATTTTTAAATTGAGAATTAGGAATATGATTATTATTTTGTGAGAATGTTTGTTTTGTTTGTTTCTATTTTGTTGGAAATAGGTTACTTTTCTGTTCACTAAAAGTACATAATCATTCGACGTCGAAGAAGAATTTTAATAATTTTAAATTATAAAGTTAGCGAACTGACAGTGGAAAAATAGACAGTGATCAATGATGACAATCACAAACAACGCCAAAGACAAACATAAATTCGAAGTAAATGTTCAACCAAAGCTAAAAAAGAATGAAAATGAAATATTTCTCTGAACACTCTGTATCTGCAACATTTCTATAAAGCATGTTGGGTTAAATCTTGATATTTTGATGTTTCCTATATGTAGTTCAGAGATTTACCATTCCGAATGAATCACCCTGTATATACAGAAGAAAAATATCTTCCCAGCGTAAAAAAGGAGACTACTTTTTCTAAAAAATCTAACCGAACTCAGGTTCAGCCTAATATACAGGGTGACAGGTGATATTGAAATAAATACATATATTTCAAACCCTAAATGATTTCGACGATTGAATGGCACCTATAGAAAAAATATAGGGATCAAATAAAATCCAGGGTGAGACTCTCTCCACCCAAACTTCTACACTAGCAATTCTGACCTCACGTCTGTACAAATTTCCGTGCAGAAGGCACATTCACGCGGAGTTCAATCATTTAAATTGCCTCTAGGTGGCAAATTTTCTTTTTTTTTATTTTTATTCAATTTACAGGCTGAAATTTCTTGTTAATTAGTCTGATATCATATGGGAATATTCGTTAGCCTCTATTTTATTGATTTGCTGAATATATTATGAACTCATTTCAAAGACACCTCGTATAGATAAGAAAATGAACGAAAATAACCCTAAATTTCTGTTCATTACACCCCACCCCGTATACCTACTATCGATATCGGAATTAGTCGTACTCGTTCGGGAATTGATATCGGTTGAAAGGATGACGTAACTGGTTAGTCATTTGTATGATATGAATCAAACCAATCAGCAGTCTCGTTCTAGACTTCATCGCGTGCGGTGGATTAAAGTGATTATAAAAAAAGACCTCTGAAGTGTTTAAGAGTGGAAAATTGGAATTCATATTCGGTTTAGTGATTAGTGTATTTTCATTTGAGTGTGTGAAAGTTTATTTATTCAAGATGGTAAGTGTTTTTGAATAATATACATATATGGAACATTCATCACGTGGTTGGTATTTGGCTTCGGTATACACAATGTCCCATAACAACTTACCATAAATTCTACAGGGTGAACTAGAGATGAACATAGACTGCTTGAAATCAACTTACCTCTATACGAAAATTCAACGTTGAGCCGTCAGAGGGCGATGAAGAATAATTTTATTTACCGATTTTCCTGAATATTTCAAAATCCTTGAAAGGTTTTTTAAATGTATGATAAATTGACATTCATCATACAGGACGTGGAAAAAAATTCTGAATTGAGAAAAACCTAATCACGAATCTGCGACTGAGGTCTATAAAAATAACAAGTTTCCGAGAAAGAATTGATATTTTCATCACATGGAGAATGCGAATTCTCAATGTATTTCTTTATATATATATATCCTTTTTTTGTGTTCATAAATATATCTGAGAATGTTCCTTTTCAATCCTTGAAAGGTACTGCTTTAGAATTCGCATGGCTATTTACTATCATAAATGTGCATGAAAAGCAAGTCTTACCAATTTAATCAATATACAGGAAGATAGAGATTTCACATTCTCTTTGATGAAAATTGATGTATCACCATATACTAAAATTGACCCTGTAATTTTTTATTGTACGTATACGGGGTGTTTCCTAACTGCAGGGGGTGATTTGTTAGGTCATTTTAAGAAGTTCCTATGAACATATGTCCGGAGTTGTTTCGTTTTTGAGATACATACATGGCGTTGAAATTAAAGAAAAAAAAATACGGTAATTATAAAATATCATGAATATCCTGGAGCCGATTTGGTTGAAATTTGGTACTTTTCAAAAAGGTCGAAATTCAATAGAATGGCAGACGTGAGTCATATGGATATGTAATTTCCTGACTGAAAATGAATTTTTCTTATCGAATTCTATCACAGTCACAATGTTCCAGTTCCATGACATCTCATCAAAAACACATGTTCAAATCACATCACTCTCACCTTCAATTAAATTTAACAATGAAGTGAACATAAAAAGTATGAAAATTCACGAGATTGCAAGATCAGCAATAGATTCTTCAGCAACTTGATGGTGATGACAACCTCTCCTACACGCTTTGATCGCCAAAAAACTTTTCAATCGGTTTCCTGCTTCGAAATTTTCTTGCTCGTCAAAACAAGATTTTTTTTATTACATGATGTCATAATTGTTGTTTGAGGACCACCCTGTATATAGGAATAGGTTGATCATGCATCATTTCAAGATTTTTGACCACCGTTCGAACCAGATTGACAGGAACACAAAGCCAATAGAAACCAGAGCATCAAATTATGCATTATCTTAATAAAACATACATATTTCAGTAACGCCTGTGACAGAAAACATATGAAGCAATATGTTTTTGACCCCCCAAAAAAAATGAAAAAAATGTTCTTCCAAACGGGAGGCGTTTGAAATTTGTGGAAAAATGCACATATTTGATTATCATCCTGTAGAATCTCATCCGGAAAAGATGAAATAGTCATATCCATAGGTTCGATAGTCAATGAAACGAGCTTTCAGAAACTGAAAAATAATTGAAAATCGGTTGAGGAAATCGAAAGTTATGATGATTCAAATGTGATCGAAAAAATGCGATTTTACGTTTCATGTGTTGAGCAGTTTAGAAAAAATGTTATTGGTCGGGAATTAACCGGTTAGAAGGATGACGTAACTAATTAGTCATCAGGATAATGAATCAAGCCAGCCATTCCTCAGTCGCATATTAGATTTCGTTGTTTACGGTCGATTCAATTGGTGGAGAAACCTCTGATAGCATTTAAAAATATTAAGAATAATTTCATATTGGTCCTAATGTCAATTTGACATTTCGTATCGACACTATGTAGTGATCATCATACTGATACTGAAAATGTGAACAAAATGTATTTCTGCAATTTATTTTCAGTTTACATTTCGGACATATGAACATTAATTTCAATGATATTCATATTCACACTAGTGTCGTTATGAAAAAACTATTATTTTGCTGAATTACAGTTTTTTGTGGCCGTTATTCATGTATAATGGTACATCACAACAAAATTCGGAGGGCTAATAGGAGATGATGCGTCAGCCCTATGTTGGAATATTTTTTCAACTGAAACACCTCGTATACTATTTCATTTTCGAAATCTCATAATTCATAACAATCATGCAATACACTTTACTCCTAAATTCGATAGTTTTCGAAATATCAACGTTTGAAAAAACTGACATATTGTCTTGTACTCGGTCTTGTATGAATAATTCAATTCTTTTGTTACAGGACTGTTCATGAAAACTAATTCATGATGAGAGAAGAAATTGTATCATCCACAATGGTGAGTTTCTTTACGTATTCCCATTTCATATCTCATCATGTTGTTTCTTCTCATATTCATTGTATCACATTTCTTCAAAATTCATATCTCTTATGGAAGTTGTTGGCAGCAGGACTTTGGTTGATAGTCATTCGAACATTGTTGTTTAATAGTAGTAAAAGTAATATCTATCTAAGTCAAGTATAGACAGTGTTTCTCATTTAGCAATCTATCTGTTCCGTTCATTTTTTGAGCAATAGAAGAATATGTCGCGTTTGAGCAACGGAATTTGAAAACGTTCTCCTATATTTTCCGGTTTCTCATTCCATATAACTTTCATGATTTGATTCAATATATTTCAAATTCGAGATATAATACCAACTATGTTTTAGATCGAAGAAGCAACAGAAGAGGAAACCAAACCAGAAACCAGCGACCGGTGATAAGTTGTTCATTCCTTTTTATGAATTATATTCAATTCATTTCGAATATTTCTTCCAAATTTTATATATTTGTTATGGAAGGCGATATATTATAGAACATTTTTCAATAGTCACCTTTATGTCTCAATGGAGACACGACAGGTACCCTTACGAGGGGAGAGTATCAACCCTTGGCATCGGTAAACCCTCGTTGCAACCGGGGTAGGCGCCTGATGGGTTAGGTATATACAGTGTTTCTCATTTAGGAGAAAATTGTTGGCTATCTGTCCCGCTCATTTTTTGAGCAATAGAAGAATATGTCGCGTTTCAGCAACGGAATTTGAAAAAGTTTTCATCAATATTTCAGTTTCTTATTCCATGTAACTTTCATGATTTCAAATCTTAATATATTTTGAATTCGAGATATTGATACCAACTATGTTTTAGATCAACGAAGCGACGTGTTATTAATCGACGAAAAAATTGCACAAAAGAGGAAACCAGACCAGAAACCATCGACCAGTGATAAGTTTTTCATTACTATTTACGAATTTTATTCAATTCATTTCGAATATTTCTTCCAAATTTATTATTTGTTATGGAAGGCGATATATCATAGAACATTTTTTGATAGTCACCTTTATGTCTCAATGGAGACACGACAGGTACCCTTACGAGGGGAGAGTATCAACCCTTGGCATCGGTAAACCCTCGTTGCAACCGGGGTAGGCGCCTGATGGGTTAGGTATATACAGTGTTTCTCATTTAGGAGAAAATTGTTGGCTATCTGTTCCGCTCATTTTTCGAGCAATAGAAGAATATGTCGCGTTTCAGCAACGGAATTTGAAAAAGTTTTCATATATATTTCAGTTTCTTATTCCATGTAACTTTCATGATTTCAATTCTCAATATAATTTGTATTCGAGATATTAATACCAACTATGTTTTAGATGGAAGAAGCAAAGAAGAGATTTAATTCCAATTTTGTTTGATCGAAGAAGAACCGTAAACCATCATTGACACTACCGACAGTTCATCATTATTTACCTAGGTTTGAAAAGAGTTACCTCTCATTAGAAAAAAACCCCGAATAATGGCGATTTCTCAGGTAAGTGGTCGAAAAATAATGTTTCACCGGACGTTGCTTAAACAGTTTGAAGCTGACTGGATAAAAATCAGACAAAAGAGATGACCGTCTCTCACCATTTCGTCTTTTTGTTCGGCGTGCCCCAAACGACCGAACCCGCCGAAGCCCCACGAGAAGGCCCTCTTCTTGCTGTCGATGGCGACCGTGTGATTTTGGCCGCAGCTGAAATCGACTATTTCGGTGACGTCGACCGGCGACACGTGACCGTCCTTGCTCTTCTCTATGTAGAGGACGACGCGCTTCGGGCTCGTCTGGTAGTCGAAGCAAAGCTTGGTGGTCGTCTTCATAGAAAAAAAAAAGATCAGTTGATTTTCGTATGAGAACAAACCACAAAACATTTTTTTACTAACACCTTTTCATTATTGAAAAGGAATTTTCTCAGATATATTTATGAACACAAAAAAAGGAATATATATATATACAAAGAAATACGTCTAGAAAAAGGGACTAACCAACACTTTTCTGCGCGGATTCCACAAATAACAAATTTGACATACCTTGAAGTACTTGCCGTCCGTATTGTGGCCGAGCTGGCCATATTCGGGTAGGCCGAAGGAATGCAGGCCGCCTTTGACATCAAGGATGACGGAAAAGTCAGCTCCAGCGCCCACCTATCAACAATGATATTCCAAAATTCAGTCAAAACAGATAGAAAATTTTCGTTTCAGGACTATGTTTGAGATATACCTTGATGATTGGAGGCCCCCTATAGTTGATCCTCGTCGGCGTCAGTAACTGCGGCTGTAGATTCCCAACACCACACTGGCCAGATCTGTCACCAAGCAAAACACTTTCAGTCAACAGTAAACATTCGAAAATTTCAAGATTACATTTATTTGTCCGTGTACATTTCATGGCTAATATTGTTCACCCTTTATATACACAGTTGGTGATGGTGTCATGATTACTTCAGAGTCTTGTGATACAATCGAGAAATTAATAAAGAGCCATCAATGTCAGTCCAAACTAACACAAATATATAATTTTGCGTAATTAAACTACTTCACTAGCTGTATCAAGTGGGAACCAGCCCTATATTTCTGTAGGCAAAATCCTGCATGGTCCTTCGAGCCGGATCGTTCTCACCTGTTGTCATCGAAAGCGTACACCCTGCCGGTATCAGTAAGCATGCGACACTAGAGTCCCTGTATATTCCTTAGATAAGAGTCCAGACACAGCTATACTTCTGTCCTTTTCTGTTTTCAAAAAATGCATTGATGATCGAATAAAGGAATAATACATATATATCGAGCTCTGTCTTTTCAATTCCCCTAGTATCAATGATTGTCAGAAACAATTTTGAGGGTTAGATTATTTGTCAAACCGTTCATAGCCGTAGGTAGAAGTGGGAAATAGGGCTATTTCAACTATAAAAACTATTAAATAATAATAATAACTTGAATCCCTTTTCTAATGAATTGTCGCAATAATGTACGCAGCAGGAAATTGAAATAATTTAAAATGCTAAATTTTGGCGGTCATAGAATTTCAAAGTGACAGTGACAGAAATTCGAAATAATTCAAAAAAGCGGGCGGGACGACTATGGTGTTTCGTCACATTGTCAGGTGGACAAACCAAATGAAACAAAATATTGAAAACCCCAACAGCTGTCAGTTTTGTGTCCGGACTCTTATCTAAGGAATATCCAGGGACTCTATGCGACACTAACCCCGTTCATACTTTCCATGGCAGGTACCACGGTGTGGTCGGAAATTATATCTACTAGAACTTTCTAAATTATGGTATTTTTAATAAAATGTATAGTTTCTCGGAACGCCCGAGAAAAATAGGTTTTGCAAACTTCAGATTCGGATCCAGTACCCTCAAATACATATTAAATCACTGAGAACCCCACTGCTTTTACTCTGTCAATGATTCGCCAGTGTTACCGAAACCATACGCAATTTCACTTATTTATCGTCCTATAATGTATTTACACCACGGTTTACCCTTTATATACACAGTTGGTGATGTCATGAATGATACATTTTGTTTTACAATTGAGAAATTAATAAAGCACCTTGAATTTCAATCTATAGTATCAAAAATATATTATTTCGTAGTCAAACTGCTTCACTAGCTGTATCAAGTGGGAACCAGATCCATATTTCTGTAAGCAAAATCCTACATGGTCCTTCGAGCCGGATATTTAGTCTGACATCATTCTCACCTGTTGTCGCCGAAAGCGTACACTGTCCCGGTGTCAGTAAGCATGCGGCACTGACCACGTTCATACTTTCCATGAAAGGTACCGCAGTGTGGTCGGAAATTATATATACTACAACATTCTACAAGACGGTATTTTTGATAAAATGTATAGTTTCCGAGTAACGGGCAAAAAACTGAAATGAGAACGCTGTTTTTTGCAGATATCTCGGGACGACCCAGGAAATTAGGTTTGCAAACTTCAGATTCGGATTCAGTACCCTCAAAACAGAGAACCCCACTACTTTTACTCTGTCACCTCGGTTTACCCTTGATATACACAGTTGGTGATGTTGCCATGAATACTACCTTTAGTTTTACAATTCAGAAATCAACCTTGAATTTCAGTCTATAATATCAACAATATATAATTTCATAATCAAACTGCTTCACTAGCTATATCAAGTGGGAACAAGACCCATATTCCTGTAGGCAAAATCCTACATGGTCCTTCGAGCCGGATATGACACTATCCTCACCTATTATCTCCGAAAGCGTACACCGTCCCGGTATCAGTGAGCAGCAACGTGTGATGTCTCCCGCACGCGGCACCGATCACGTTCATGTTCTCCATGGCTGGTACCAAAGTGGGCACGTTGACGGTGTCTGTGTGGTCGAGACCCAGTTGGCCCTGCGTGTTGCGGCCCATCGTCATCGCCTTGCCCTCCTCGGTGACGATGACGCAATGGCCGGCCACGCAGCCGCTGGCCACCAGCCGGACCTGCAAAAGAAGAATCAAATAAAAATCAAATGAAAGAATATACTTTATTATCAGAAGAAATGAAATTGTTATTGACATCATACTCAAAAATAAGAATTGTAGAACATGAAAAAAATACAAATTACAATTTTGAATAATTCACAACAAAGGAAGGTTAGTAAGGTTACACTAATGAAACAAATGATAACATAATGTAGAACACACAGGGACATACCAAAACATCAATAAAAATATATAAAATAGTTGAATGTATACAGAGGTAGGCATCAAAATGACTGGTACAATTCAAAGTTGAAATTTTTCATATTCCTGTTGAGAAAAATGACTAGATTCATTGAGGCTACATGAACTCAAGTAAGAACTCTGTGCTGCAATGAAACATAACTGTTTACTCACTCAACTTGAAAAAAAATAATTGAGGGGGTTATTGTCACATTGAGGGGGGTGAAGGAGGTTTTTTTTTAAGGTCACAAAGTGTCTTTTCAAAAACATAAATTAACTTGTTTAAGGGTTTTTCTTGAAAGTAGAAAATCAATGTATCCCTTACATATGGTGCACATTGTATAATAAAAAGTTAACAAATGAATTCCACTTAGTGGAAACATATTCATATTTTTCTCAAGATAAAAGTTATACCATTTCAATTCAAAGTAATCAAATCATGCCGCATATTTTTCAATCTATATGTCCTGAGCAGTTATTTTTCAAGATTGATTTTGAATCTTCTTGAACCATGTATGTTTATCAACTCATTTGGTAATGAATTGTATACAATTATTCCATTGTGAAATACAGACTGCTTTCTAATTTTCAACTTGAATGTTTTTGCTATCATTTCATTGAAAACTAAGCTTGATATTTTCAATGTATTCCTGACAAAATGAATAAACCAACATATTTTGAGTTGATTTATTTATATCAGATTCAGAAAATATCTAGGTTTTATAAATTTACCATTGGTTCTTGAAAATGTAGATGAAAAATGCATTCAATTGATTTATTTCATTAGTTGTTTTAGGCATGACATTTTTGTACTCCCCCAAATAGAAATTAAATATTGTAAATTTGAATAATAAATGCTAGGTGGATGATCGAAACTATTAAAACACAAGCAGGAAGGTAAGACTCAGTTTGGTTCTTGATCATGAAAGTTCTGCTTCTCACATAAAATAATTATTCATGGAGGTATGGTCTTTCCAAAGTCACTTGGAAAGTTAGAAACATTTTTGATCTATGGTTGGGTTCAGCAATAAATCTTGAGACATTCAAATGACCCCACAAATATTGCTAGGAATTTTAAAATTCAAAGAATGTCATTAGGCATATATTAAAAACAACCAGTCTGATTTTCCCATCATGAGCTTGAACTTCCTAGAAAATATTGAGGATTTCCAAATAAAAGTTTAAGATTTCTTGAAGATTCCTAGGAATTCCAAGTAGAGCCTATTTTTCAACACTGAGCTTAAAATTTCACGTTTTTTTAATCTGTTCAATTTCCATAGGACCGTTCCAATGGATAGTATGAATTAATCAAGCAATTCTGAATAATTCTTCTAAGAAATTTCAAACTTCTGAAGAAATGCGAGAAATTAGTTGAATTACAAACATTTCCATGACATTCTATCTCAATAGTTGACACAAATCAACCAGGATACATTTTTTCACAGCTAGCTCAAATTTACCAAGAAATTTTAAAGAATTCACAGAAATACTCACAAATTTCAAAAGAATTGAAAAACAAGCTTGAATTCATAAATCAGTTCTGAGTAATTACAAGGAATTCTAGAGAATTCCACTTGTACCATTGTTAAAAAAAAATCAAGGCATTGGAGAATTCTCAACAGACAAAATATTGGGCAAGCTCACCAAAAAAAAAGCACACCACACACAAATAACAGTTTTTTCAGCTTCAAAGGGTAATATAGCTAAGCTTCATAACTTTATTGTTTCTGAATGAATTGAAAAAGCCCAACCATTTTGCATTTTCCAAAGAATCCATACTGTATTAGAGAAAAGAATTTGAAAAATCTAGATATAGAATGACAGATTTCATGACAGATCATACCCAGCATGAATACATGTTAAAATTGGGTCAGATGAAACATTTTCTGATAATAAAAGCAGTTCAAAAAGCTAATAAACACCTACCCACAAAAATTCATCTTGTGAGAAAACATGATCAGTAAGTATTCTAATAGTTTACTCACCCGTAAATTCATAAACCTGTGGGGCAAATACAAATTGGGAAACACCTTTTGTCCCTTCACCTCCCTTTTCCCCATAGAGTCCCAGTTGACATTCCCAAAGTAGATAAACAGCCCTGCAGGCTTGATCAGCGTATTGAGCAGTTCCTTAGGCAGTGGAGTAGGCTCATCCAAAACATCCCCATGGCCAGCAATCAGCACCTCGTCTGGCTGCACCCCATTCTCGTTTACACCCCCATCGCTCATGTCCGAATCCATGTCTTCCTTTCTCTTGCCTTTCTTGTTGGCTACCTTCTTGGTAGGGGCCTTCTTTCGTTTATTTGAGGTAGACACTGAAATGGGGTTGAGTGATTGTCGGAGGACGCAAACACTTTGTGTACTTACTTTTTTATTGGGATTTATCTGCTTTATCTACGTTTGTATCACTGTTCAGGTGCTTTGGTCAGTGGTATTTAGTTAGATTATCACAAAAACTGAGCTATTTAGCGGTCCGGCTTGTTATATTTATGATCAGCACAAAGAAAAAGCAAAATGGCTGATCATATCATATCGAGTGGAAAGCCAAGAGAACTTCCAAACAATTTTGTTTGACTAGTGTTTTTTATTAACGGTATTTTCATTACGCTTTCACCAGCACGAATCATTTGAAGTAGTGCCAACACATAAATAACGATTTTAAAATGTTAATCGTTTGATTTTGATAGAATTGTTGCAAACGTATGTCTTAGCTTCAACCGCTTAGTTACATCGAATGTCATGAACCTACATAGAATGCCATTAATGTCATACAATGTGATTCATCGAAACGACCTTTGACCATAAATTGCAAACGTCAAATGTATATCCGTTATGTGCGTGTGACGTCATAAAATATTTGACAACTCCTGGTTGGTACATTATTAATCAGAGGACAGTGCCGTGCGTTTATTGAACCAATAAAGGGTCGTTCCTTCGTAAAATCATATATTAGGCGTTTTACAGGAACACTAGCGTCACAAGTATTCCTCATGCTTTTGAACCATAATTTGGATTCTATTTGAATAATATGAATTAGAATGAGTTGCAGAATTTGGGACATTGAAGAAAATAATGATGATTTGAAGGGAAAACAGGATATATTTCCTGTTTCAATGCAAGTAAATGATCATTATTCTGTGACGTGAAAAAAGTTTGACATTTCATCATTTTAAAATTCCGAGATATAAGTCGGAATTTTGATGTAAAATTCCAAGTTTAACTCGGAATTTTAAACTTGCGAGTTATAAGTCGAAACTTTGATGTAAAATTCCGAGTTATAACTCGGAATTTTAAAATTCCGAGATATGTCGGAATTTTACATCCAATATTACGAGTTATAACATGGAATTTTAAAATTCCGAGTTATAAGTCGGATTTTTTGAATTATAACACGGAATTTTAAAATTCCGAGATATAAGTCGGAATTTTGATGTAAAATTCCGAGTTATAACTCGGAATTTTACATCAGGCCTTCGTAGTTGACAGGTTATAAATGAAACTTTTCATAAATTACTTTAAAAACCCACGGGACAAAAGTGAGTACTTTTTTTCCTGATATACAGGGTAGGGTGTCCCGATTTAAAACAACTCACCTCAGTCCGAAATTGCCCCGTTTCCGAGATACAGAGGGTGATAAAGTTAAAGAATAAAATTCAAAATTCTCATAATTTATGGATATTTTCAAACGTATTACTTCAAAAATTGATATTTGGGTTTTTTTAGAATGCCAAACACGAATACGGGCACCTTTTCACTGTGGTCATCTGAGGACGCTTACCAATGCACTTCTTATGGGTTAGAATGGCCATAATTCTTTTCTCAGTGTAGTTTCTTTATTCGTCAAGCAAATGATGTTCTGAACATATTTTGAGCAAAAAAGATACACTCTTGTAATAATCCGCTAAAGTAGGGCGATTTAGAGATATTTCGGTTTTTAATATTTTATCCAGCACCGGAATATTTAAATGTTTGCTGTTATCTTTCTCTCTAGGATCTCTCTAGGTCTTTTATCCTGTCACAGAAAAAAATACACGGGAAAAATATTATATTTTATTTCAAGGTTTTTTGTCTCCTTCTGCTACGCCTCGGGAGACAACATAACCTCAAGCTCGAATCTACTACTTTTTTAGTTCTACTTATTTTTTAGTTCGTAGATTGCAGTTTCGAGATACCCGTACTTATAGCTCAATAGAAATTATTCGAAATTCTACAAATTACACTCTGATGGAATGTGTCAAAAAGACTTCACTAGATGGTCTATAGATTATTGAGTTCGGTTTATCATTTTATGACCTGTGATCAAAATTATATCACGAAAATTTGAGGCATTCATGATGATTTTGAAATAAAAAAAACTATATGAAATTTTCCATTTAACTCGAAAATACCAGGGAAGATACTTTTATTAAAGCAAAAGATGATGTAGCTAGTGTCGGTAGAAGAGGATGAAATCAAATTTCCTTGAATGAATGTCTTATTTATTCACGCGAAGCAACTGAATATTACTTTGAAAACCCGACTCATTTTTGCAGGTTTCTCAAAATATTATTCAAATCGAAAGCATTCAGACTCCTACTTTGGAAAATATTTTTATTGACATCAATGGCGGTGTTGGCGTCCCTATTCAAAATATTGGTCCCTCTTAGTATACTGGCAGTTTGAGTTTCCCAATTATCACTTGCTATTTTGTTTTTGAGATGGAGTTCCTGGTAGAGGCCCAAATGGTTCCTTGTCTCGCTGCTGCATCTACTGCTCTTCCTAATGTTTTCTTTTACGCTTCGCTTTCTGTTGACAGAACAATGAGAAAAATCATTAGTTTTCGGCCTCCCTTCACCCGAGCAACTTTTCGCTACCCTCTCGCTCTTAGCTTCGTATTTTTTCTTCACAGTCTCCACTTTTAGGGCAGGGATGAAATCCACCCCGCTGTCTTTGTCCCCGTTGACGTTATTGTGCAAGTCCTCGATGAAATCCGCTATTACAGGGCCTTTATAATTATCGGGCGATGTTATTTTGGGCAGTATCCTGGTTATTTCGCTGTCTCTTAAGAATTCGCTCTTTATGAAATCCTGTTTCCTCAGCCGGATCAGCGTTTTCTGCTTGTCCGCTTTCTCTTTTTCCGTTTTTACGCGGGCCCTGTTCCTGAACAGCCGCCTACCCCTCACCGAGAGGTTCATCCCCAAGTAGGGGGGAGTTCTGGGGAAAATTTGTTTGTACACCATCTCGAACAGGCCGGTGTCAGCGTTCGGATCCCTCCGTCTGTCGACCACCACTAGAAAGCATATTCGGGCGAACATTTGAATAAAATGTTTTGGGCAAACACGTCAAGTCATAGGCAGAAGATTCAAAGAACATATAGCTCGGTCTGTTCAAATATACAGTCTGATCCACTTGAAAGCGGGACACCTCAATTATTAGCGACGAACTTTTCATTGAATTATGGAGCTTGAGAAAATGTACTTCAGGACGAAACATATTTTGTTTTGTACAAAAACAAACCCCCACTGCGTATACTTTCATAGGGAAAAATTCAAGAAATCATATTAGCGATTTTTTTACGAAAATTTTAAAGTCACTATTGGATTCAGCACGACCTCTCCAAAAGGTTTTGTACATATACCAAATTTCATAAAAAAATATTCGATGTTAATATTTTTGTGACCAAATATATCAAAATTCACATTGCGGTGAGAGAGTGTGGTTGAATGATAATTATATATAAATCGGTGGATTGGTCGGGATAGGCCTCTCATTCAATGGCCGCCAAGATTTCCAACCTGACACCGCTGGATTTTTTCTTTAGGGTATTGCGAAGCAAGAATCAGCAAAGTCCAGACCGCAGTCAGTATAGAAAAACTCTGCATCATCGTAATTATTGATATCGAATATTTTTATATTATGAAATTTGGTATACAACCAATTCAGGGGGTGCTGAATATACGCAATGGTGATTTATAATTTTTCGTAAGAAAAATCGCTTATATGGTTTCTTGAATGTTAGTCTTAAAAAATATACGCAGTATGCCTTGGATATTGTATAAAAATGTTTCTCAGGCTCCACAATTCAAGAAGAAGTTTGTTGAAATCGGTGAATAAATACAAATTTGATTGAGGTGTTCTGCTTTCAAGTGGGTCACATTGTAAATGGTTCGATATTTGATAATTATTGTTAAGGCGCTTCACCCTATAGAAGAATTCACCCTGTGAAGATTTCGACGAATGTCCTATTACATTGCTCGTTATTTATTGTTGTCAAGAATTCAGTTATTAATATTACAGTCCATTACTAATAATAATATATTGGTCCTTCGAGCCAGATAATAACCCGTAGAAGAAAATATTGAAATTTGGAAATCTCATCTACTTATGAACAAAAATTGAAGTTCTACATATGAAAAGCTAAAAGATTGTGTAGGACAAGGAGGATATATTATGGTAGAGCTGAGCAGGTGTCGGTTTCATAAATAAAATGAATGCTCCGATTTTTGTATTCGAGATAACACACTAATACGACTTTAAAGTTCAAAAGACTGGTTAGTAAAAGAGAGATAATTAACTGTCAAAATGGTCGTATCAAGATATTTCATGCTGGTGAAATTGATGATAGAGCTTTAGTTCGTCTCAACTCTAGATTAGAACAGTTGCAACTAACTGTGGCATGACTTTCAAGAAATACAATCAGATATTGAATTATTGAGTGACAATTTGGTTGCAGATAATTTAGAAAAAGAGGACATTTCGAATCTATAACTTACCTTGATGTCAAAGCAGATTTCCAATTCACCATCAATCATTGTAATAAATCGAAAGAAAGACAATTGAACAATTTCGAACAAAACACCGCCGATAGCCAGTTGGATCAGAATATATCTATATATAAACACGACTCAAAATAATCTAGGATCACATTCTTCTGGAAGTCAACATTATTTGTTGAATGTGGAGCTTCCAGATATTAAAACTAGCAAATTTAAACGGAGATTATGATAAACTGATTGAATTTTCTAGAAGGATGTGAACCTACAATAATGATAAATTCACCTTTGATTATATCCTCCATACACTGAGGACACATTCTGCTAGTGACGCTAGTGGAATAGGACAGATCCGGACTGCAATTTATCTCGATCAACCACGGCTTAAAATCCTCGGCCAACATGAAATCGGCGCCGTATATCTCGAAAGTATTCGGCCGTCTATCCATAGTATCCTGACTTGCCAGCATTGCGCACACTATACTTTGTTGCATACCTTAAAAAATCACCGAAAAAAAAACCGTATTGAACCGCTGATCTTTCGTACGAAAGCATAGAAAAGCCATATGACAATATTTTCATATAATTGACTACCAAGTATCAACTAGCCTAATTAACAGATATTATTATAATTGATAGATACTAATAAGTGTCAACTAGCCTGATTTATAAATAACTAAGTGTCAATAACCAGCCTAATTGACGGATAATATATAAGTGTTAACTAGCCTAATTGACAGATAACTTGACAGATACTGTCAATTAATTATTGCAGTCAACAACTGATACAAAGTTAATTTGATTGCGACAGTATTCTTAAAAACTCCGTAATACATATACGTCAATTAGGCTAATTGACACTTAGTTATCTGTAACTTAGGCTAGTTGGCACAGCAATTCAAGAAGTTCATCCTACCATCAATAACAAATAATCATAGTTAACACTTTGAATCTGGCAATCAAGCTAGTTAACACTTCGGCAAGTTGATATATGATTATTGTTAACTAGACACCTAGTTATATCTCAATCAAGCTAGTTAATTAACACCAAGTATCTGTCAAGTTGGTTAGTTAACACTTGAGTATCTGTCAATTAGGCTAGTTCACACTTAGCTGTCAATTAGGATAGTAAACACTTAGTATCTGTCAATGTAGGCTATAGTAAACACTCAAGTTATCTCTTAATTAGGCTGGTTGACACTTACTATCTGATAATTATAAGAAAATACATCATAATGGCGCTCCTAGGCTTTCGTACGTTCGCATTTGGATTATTCTCGAGGTTACCCGGAAAGATGACGTCACTCCATTTCTCCATGCAACCTATTTGTTTCAAGTAGGCCTTGAACGTGTGACAGTCCCACATGTTGTCCTCGGGTAGGGCCTTGTCGCGTTGCTCGACATTCGTGTACTTACACTGGATGGAGTAATTTGTCAAGTGCAAAGATTCGTGGTAATTGTTCAGGGTGAACAGTTGGCTGCTGAATCTTAAATAGCTGTCCCTGAAATCGACGACCATATTTTGCACTTGAAATGAGTGAGGTATTTCGTGTTGGCAGCAATTATCGTATCGATTGAGTGTCACTTGTCGAATGTCGTGTCAATGTCAATTATACATTTGTTTTCTCTAATTTCCTCAGAATAACTCATGACAGTTGACAACTTTGCACTTTGCAGCCAATCTCACGATAGGAAATGCCAATTTTGTAACTTTTGCAGCCAACATAACAAAACGAAATGCCCCTTCGATTCCTAAACTGAATACCAAAAATACCTAAACAGAGATGAGAAGACTGAAAATACGTGATATTTGCGCCAGTGCCATAAAAATATGAAGGCTGCGAAACGCCGAAGCGGTTAAAATTTGTACTAAGCACTCCATATGATTACGAAAGCGTAGAAGCACCGTATGATATATTTTTGTTTATAATTGACAGATACTAGGTGTCAAATAGCCTGATTGATAGATATAACTAAGTGTCAACCAGCCTAATGGACAGATACTAAGTGTTTTAACTAAGCTAATTGGCAGATACTAAGTGCTAACTAGCCTAATTGACAGATACTAGGTGTTAATAACTAGCTTGTCAAATACTGAGTGTTAGCTCTAGTTAGTCAAATGTCTGGTTGACACTTAGTTTTCTGTCCATTAGGCTAGTTGACACTTATAGTTATCTGTCAATTAGTCTAGTTATTATTTGTTATTCGTCAATTAGGCTAGTTGACACTTATAGTTAACTGTTAACAATTAGTATCTGTCAATTAGGCTACTTGACGCTTAGTTTTCTGTTGACACCATAATATGTCAATAGTAGGATACTTTTAACACTTACCATATGTCAATAGTAGGATAGTTAACACTTAGTGTCTATCTTTTAGGCTAGTTGACAGTTAGTTATCTGTCAATTAGGCTATTTTACACTTATTATCTGTCAATTATATATAAAAAAAACATATTATATATGGTGCTTCCACGCTTTCGTCATATACATGGACGATTCTGCTGGATTTGTCAGATTTGTCAAGGTAGAAAGGAAATATGCAAACAAAGATTAGTATAGGCGAAATGAACTTCTATTATAGTACCTACCTGTACATCCATATGGTTAGTGGTTGGACGCACGTGACCATGAACCATTGCCTGATGTCGAACTTGGTTTTGTGAATGGTTAGAGGCCTTTCTGAAAAGTACTGACGATTTTTTAAGTTTAAAAATCGAATGAACCTCATTTTTTACCTATGTATTTTTGAACAACGTATTTCATTTTCAAACCGATGACTTTGTCGACCTCGGCAATATCGTTGACGAGTTGTATACCGCGCCCTCTGCATTTGTTACCCGGTTTCAGTATCCAGATGTTTTTCATGCCGTCGATTTCGTACTGCGGCCAGAACCTCTGTATTTCCTTCAAAGCTGACTTGACATTCGCTAAAAAAGTCGAAATTCTCGGATATAAGTCAGAAATCTTATTTCTTTTTTTTTATCTCTTGGAGGACGAAAGGAAATTCCTATGATATATGTCAAAATTCTGACAAACATGTCAAAGATGAAGGTTCTAACATATATATGTTGAAATTATATCAGACCCAAGTTTTAAAACTCGAAAATTTCCGAATACTCTCGGAGATATACGGAGAGAACCGCAATTTAGTAAAATCATTTTCAAGTATTTGTTATTCCTGTTAGTTGAAGAAATCATTCGAAATAGATGACACTATCAAAGCCCCCTTTTTTCTACAAGTTGACGTTTTCAAATTCAAAATCCAACGTTTCGTCTTCTAGAATCCATCATCACGGACCAGGATTTTTCATTTCATTTTCAAACACCTTTGCATATCCCAAAAGCTATGAGCTAGAGAACTAACCCAACGTAGGAAGCTAACCCAACGTAGAGATCAAACCCAACCTCACTAAGTGAAAAATCGAGCTAGGAGGTTGAAACTCATAGGGTAATGGGGTACATTGAACACGAATTTGAAGAGAAATCGAAGATCGGACCAACGGTTCGCTACTTTCTGAGCCGTTGAAGATAAAACGAAAATCTAAGATTTCGTCCGAGTAAATCGATTTGAAGATGTTACTAGATCTGGTCACCTATCCATTGGTTCGGTTAGAAGATATGTTATGTGGGGCCAGGTAGAACAGCGAACAGCGAGTGTCAATATTCTAATCCGCATTCGCTTGCCGGTCGTGGGTTCGATTCTCATCGACTGCAGAAATTTTTCTGATGGCCCAAGAAAGTGTTTGGGATCACACCTTAAAAGGTCATTCCTTGCTCGCACAAGTCTCTCGAAGACTTCTGAGGATTGCTCGTTAGAGGGCAACCGAATGACGGATAGAACAATTTTAGAACAATATGTTACTCGATCTGGTAATCTATATAGTGGTTGGTTAGGAGGTACCTATGTTACTAGATCTAGTATTCAATCCAGTGGTTGGGTTTGATGATATATCACTAGATCTAGTAACCTATTCTAAGATATGTTACTAGATATGGTAAGCCATCCAGTGATTGGATTTGATGATATGTCACTAGATCAAGTAAACTATCCGAAGATATGTTAATAGATCTGGTAACATATATCCAGTGGTTGGGTTTGAAGATATGTTACTAGATCTACAAACATATCCAGTGGTTGGGTATGAAGATGTGTTACTAGATCTGGTAACATATATCCAGTGGTTGGGTTTGAAGATATGTTGCTAGATCTAGAAACATATCCAGTGGTTGGGTATGAAGATGTGTTACTAGATCTGGTAAGCCATCTATAGTGGTTGGAAAGTATCCGAAATTTTCCAAGTTTCGAAACTGCACTTTCAAAAGACATATAATTGAGCAAATTTGCTATATTTTAAACGAAACAGTGTATATCTCACGGTTTGCGAGATCCCAATTAATGATATGAGGCTCGACTTCACTTCTCAAAAATCCGACGAACATATACAAAATCTCGCATCGATATTTTTGTACATACTGTAAACTGTAGTCATAGATTCCGCGAAGTCCAAGAACAATCCATTTTCGTGTAAAATAATACGATAATTGGACAAAAACTGCTCCCATTCGTGGTCCCATATTTGCGTGAATTCCTTATCGATGTCCAAATGTTTTTGCCCGGAAACATACTCGTTACATCTGCAAAAAGCACGTCATGATTTTCAGGATGTTACACGACCAAAAAATATAAGAAAGTAGTCAAGAAAAACATTCAGAAAACATTACAAATCCAAAAATACAATTACATTTTTCATTTCGGGATCTCTTATTTAACAAATCAAAGATTACGCTACAATTTGGAATAAGCGGAAACTCTGTATAAGTGGAAGTATATATTTTCAAATCGTTGGATCACGAACGATGATTTGACATTGCCGAAAATAGTCTGCTTCGGAATTATTGCTAAATCAGTTACTGAAATCAATAACAACAACAAATGCGTCAATTATTATGAATTATGACTACGAGTCTAAAACGCAGTCGACACAGGAAGGATGGAACGTGGCCTCAGTTAGCTGACGTCACGAGCTGTTCACTACGAGCCTTTAGGCCTTGTTGTATCGGCGGTAACGGTATATAGCGGTCTGATACTGAACTTTGCGGTGCTGCCACATTTACGTTCTACATTTTGTTTTGTAACTCACAATATCTGACACTTATTATGTTGACAAGGCATATGTTTGTTATATTAATTATATTACAAACGTGTTCCACTTTTTGGCCGAATTGAATAAGAAGATGATCTATCCGAATGATCCTATTGAATGTGATGTATTTTCCGCAGAGGAAATTAGAAAAAATAAATCATTCCATTTTGACTAGTACGTTTGCTCCGAGCAGAACACCACAAAAAAATTCATACCGGTCGATGGCGAACAGCAGGGCAGTATACGGCACTTTCCCTTCGGGACATTGTATGTCGTGCTTGTCCCCAGTTTCGTACCTTTCCACGAACCACTTCATCAGTCCCATGCAAGCGGTCATCCGGAAATCGTCCACGAAGAGATTGTAATGATCCGGGAAGCCTGGAAGATTGATTGTCAGCATTTTTTGCACATGCAAAAGGAGAGAGTGTACAAGAGGTATGTCACGACGAGTGTGACATATCGATGAAATCAGCTCTTCAGGAAGAATCTGAAAATGCAATGAAATACTGGGTATTCCGTTCGAAATAACAAAGTTCTTGCTACTTTCCGATATAAGCGGCAACACTGCAATGTCGAAAATATTTTAAACAAAGAGAGAGTAATCTCAAATTATGAGGATGCACATTTTCATGAATTTCTTCCGACTGATTCTCGATATAGATATAGTGTAAGCTCGTATAGTGACAGACCCTGTATAGGTAGGTACCTACCGAGAACATAGACTCGCGGATAGTTGATATTCGCTACTCCAGGTTCGATGTACCAATAAGATTGTTGCAGTAGAAGGGCTAGGCCTTCTTTCGATGCGAACAGCGATCTGCTAAATCTGTAGAGAAAAATAATATACAGTGTGTGTTAACCTCATTCAAGGACTTATTATCCGTTCGAAACCTCTATTACACATTTTTTTCTTCAAAAATAATGACAGATTCACTTGAAATATAACTGTACCGACTTGCATCATTCTAAAACAATCAATGTGAGTGTTCTAAGAAAATTATTTTATATTGACATTTCAGATCCATCTAGCGTTCCATGACTTTACCGCGACGCCTCATGCAACCTTATCATGCAACAGGTGCCCACCTAACAAACGTCTCTCGCCAGTCATTCAATTAGTAGCATGCTGCCGTACTGCGGAAAATCTCTCTCAAGGTTATCAGAAGGTTATAAGGAATTTTGAGGAAGGATAATATCGTTCCTGTATGATGAGGGACTATACTTTTGGCATAGATTAAAGTCGTTAATCTATGCTTTTGACCTAACTAGTAGTCCTGAAAGAACATTTCTCCTGATAAGTATATTCTTCGAAAAATTACCTAGGTGGAAACCAGAGATTAGTCAACCCTGTGGCAGATATTTAACTAATGCCCTAGTTCTCACTACGTGATCGTTTACAGTTATATTATTATCATTATTATTATTATTATGAGGAAAGTAGAAATAACATGTTATTGGCTTGTTTATCACAACAAACAGCACAGCAGCATGCTACAAATTGAATTACTTGCGTGAGACGTATTCATCCCACCTGTTGATCAGCTTGAAGGAGTTCGTTCTGTGCTGCATGTCGCTCGGCTCTTTGCGCATGCTCCAATACAGGTCGACATCGTAGTTTTGGAGCATGCGCGACACCACCGTTTTCTCGCACTTCTCCACGTAGCTCTGCGGGGATTCCCAGTCCTGCTTGGCCGGCAGATTGCTGGTGACGTCGTCCATCGAGGAGTACTTGTGCTTGACGGTCGCCTCGATCTTCTCCAGCCAGTTGCGTTTCAGCAGCTCCCTACGAATCACCGCCCAACCACCTGAAAACACTCAGTATATTATTATCTATATACAGGGTGTTCCTTAAGTACGTGTAGAAAATTCAGGAGTATGTTGCTGACGTCAAAAATAAGGAAAAATATCTCCCTGGGAAGTCCCTACTTGTGTTAGGGATTCCTTATGATCTATGAGGCACAGATCCGACCTGTCCTGGAATACTGTTCCCATATTTGGAGTGCAGCAACCAAAAATACCCTGAAACTGTTGGATTCTGTCCAAAAAAGGGCAATTCATCTCGTGGGTGATGCCTCGCTCACAAACTCACTCACTTCTCTGGAACACCGTAGAAAAGTTGGCGAGCTGGCTCTATTTTATAGATATTTTCATGGACGATGCTCTTCTGAAATATCAACAATTGTTCCTCCATTGGCAGTCCCCGCGAGATTAACTCGTCGAGTTGAGGCTTCGCACCCCTTCGTGGTCACTTTGGAGACCTGCAGAACATCTCTTTCCAAAGACTCGTTCATCCAACGAACAGCGAGACTATGGAACACATTGCCAAGGGAGTTGTTCCCCGAGGCATATAACCTCCAGAAATTCAAGGAGAACTCCAATTCCTACCTTATTTTCCTTGGTTCTCACGATGTTCTCTGAACATTACAGGATATCCCTTTTCGTGGGCACCAGAACATAAAAAAAAATACTAATAATTTGCTAATTGGTAAAAAAAAAGATTTTGTGTGAAAAAACGACCTACCCTTACCTTTGATGCTGAAAACCTTGTGGTCCCTCGTAGCCGTCTCCATGATCTTCCTCAGCTGCCCCAACCTGTCCGAGGTGATGGTGCACTTGTACTTCGTCTCCACATAGCTGTTCGACCTCCGGCTGATGCTGTTCAGGGTCTTCTGGATTTCCGGGGTGACGGTCCTCAGCAGCTTCGAGGAGGAGGGGGCGCTGGCCACCAGCTTTTCCGGGGTGGGCTTTTCCGGGGTGAGCTTTTCCGGGGTGGGCCCCGAAGCGCTGTTCTCTACGTCCATTTTTTTCCGAGCGACATTGGCATGTGACTGTGCCCAGAGGGTTTCCTAGGAAACTGACTGCTCTGTCAGACGGACTGAAAGAAAGTTTCCTGGAAACGTGATTTGATGGTTGATGTTTTTGGCCTTGCCACAAGACAGCGCGTTAGAAAATAGTGTGTACAAAACAGCGCGTAAAAAAATAGCGAAGTTCAGTATAATGGAATTGCCTTTCGGAACAACTTTGGACCACAAAATATTGTAAATTATATTTGGTAATACTTCACTACACTGTTTTACCACTAACCTAGTTAACTTGACGGTTAGTATTTTTCACAGTTGCGTGAACATATACTTAGTATATAAGCAGCACACTAGAATTGGATATTTAGTTTAATCTTCTCCTGAAGATGCTAACATAGTTAGCGAAACACGTGTCGAGGCGTTAAAAAATCGGTTTGGTTAGTGGTAAAACAGTGTAGTGTATTATATCGTGCCAAAGGTTCCAGTCTTCGATATATTGCGGTAATACGACTTCTTCAGCAGTTGGATTGTTATGCAGATTCCCAGCGGTACATTTTTGGAACGGAATTTTTCCGATAGTAGTAGAGATATGTGTGTATTCTTCTATCTGGTCTTGATACTTTTTACAGTGCGTCTTAACTTTTGTTGAATATTTCAAATATGAATATGAAAATTTGATTTTTTATAGATATCGAAAAACATCTCAGCATCCATTTGTCAAAGTAGTTGTTTTCTGTTGAATAAACAAAGAAAGAATTAATATTTTTATCACATGGATAATGCGAATTCTCAATGTATTTCTTCATATATACCGGGTGTTTTCTAACTACGATTCCTAACTGCTGGTGGTGATTCGTTAGGTCATTTTAGGAAGACAATTTCCTATCAACATATGCCCGGAGTTGCTTCGTTTCTGAGATACAAGGCGATGAAATTGAAGAAAAAATTCGGTAATAACAAGATATCATGAATATCCTGGAACCGATTTGGTTGAAATTTGGTACTTTTATTTGTCAAATTCTCTAAAAACGAAACAACTCCGGACATAATATGTTCATGTAGGATTTCGAATTTTTTTTTCAAAACAACCTGACAAATCACCCTCCGAAGTTTGGTACCGTTATTAGGAAACACCCTGTACAGGCCCACCCTAATACTTACGTTATTTCTTATCGAGAAAATAATTACAATATGCGGAAGTTGAATGCCGCAATAAAGGCCTTTACACAGCCCTTGTCAGAAGTTTTACAGGGTGACCACTAAAAGCGTGATGAATCACGATAATGCATTTTTTTCTAATGGAATACCCTGTTGTTTATATTTTATTCGAAATCTGTGATTTTTTGTGATCACGAAAACATATATATATATCACTAAATCAGTTTGTACGCATTCAATAATGATGCAATATACAGGGTGTCCCGAAATTAGCCTGCCAAACCACCACCAGAGCGGCTTCTACGACCAAAAATAGAGGAAGAAAAGTTTTAATGAACATAAGTCGAGAAATGTTTTTGTGAACATTTCCTTTGTATCAGTAATATATGTTTCCATAGGTTTCTTTTTTTGTGACAATAAGCTGGACAAAATGTGAATGTTATTTATTTTGTACACACTATTAACACTTCAATCTGGTAATAAACTTATTATTTTGATTTGATTTATTAATCATCACAAAGTACGTCGGATTGCTTTTGAATCTCTAAAATGGAAGATTAACACGCCATTTTTTCATTTTTGCGCTGTAGCTAAGTCGGTCTGGTAATTAATTAAATGAACAACAAAATTTTCTGATCCACGATGAGTATCCATCACACCCTGTATTACTTACTTACATATCTATACTTACTTTTCTATATTGATTATTAAACTCACCTAGCATGACGAAACACATCTTATTCACTAAAAAAAAAAAAGAAAAAAAAAATGACAATAAACCCAATATGCATGTACGGACTGTGAATGTTTCGTCAGAGAATCATTTCGCTTTTGTTTTATTTCTACCCTCATCGAACAATCTCAAGTGAAATCAACAATTTACAACACGACATAATACGAGCTTATAATAGAGTTGTGGTGCATACGAGATAAAGGAAATGAATGCAAAACTGATTTCCCATTAACCCAGATTTGTGGTCTAATTCGGTATCTAGTGCCCTACACCCATCGATACCAAGGCAATCCAGCGTTGACCTAGGGCTGATGACGTGAATCGCGTGTACAGGGTGAGCAACAGGTAATTGAAGACCACAGGGGAAAAAGGGGGAATGTCACAATGGGTGACATAGGAGACATGTAGCAGCCTGTAGTTTTTTTATTTGAAGAGATAAAATTTCGAAATTCACAGGGGGTATATAATAAATGGTAGCGCACTTTACGAACTTAACGACAATTTTTTTCAACCACCTGTTTGACCGGAAGTGACCCCAACTTTTTTTTTTAAATGTCACCCTGTACATTTCTTCTTTTTCGCCTTGAAATTCTCTATCCAACCATGTATCACAAAGTGGCATTCATTTCTTGATTCGCTGTTGAATTGCTTTTTATTCAAAAAGAATAAGTTGGCTGTGACATGAATTCCATGATATATCGACACTTGGTAGGCTTTGAAATTTAAATATCATTAGTAAACCGATATTATTCAAAATGTTTCGATATTCTGATCAATGTCTGCAGGTTGTCAATAGCTTGTTTGAGTCAAGGTGAAAACCTTCGAAAATAACTCAAGATATTGAGGAATCTAAGATAGGAATATATTTTTTCGAATTCAGCTACTCGTACAGAAACTATCTGTCTTTTATTTTCGCCATGTACCTATCACATGATCTTCCCATTTGGAATAATAAAACTAAAATTGTTCCTCCTATACGATGATCCACATTTCACTTAGTAGGCGGTGTATCTACACAAAATGTTTTATGTGTTTGACAGATAATCGATTGCATCAATAATTTTTCTTCATTTGTGTGTTGATTAAAATTGCATATTATCAATAGAGACGGAAAAAGAAACGGAAAAGTCGATATGTTACCAGATCTAGTAACCTAACCTAAGATATGTTACCAGATCTAGTAACCTAACCTAAGATATGTTACCAGATCTAGTAACCTAACCTAAGATATGTTACCAGATCTAGTAACCTAACCTAAGATATGTTACCAGATCTAGTAACCCAACCTAAGATATGTTACCAGATCTAGTAACCCAACCTAAGATATGTTACTAGATCTAGTAACCTAACCTAAGATATGTTACCAGATCTAGTAACCTAACCTAAGATATGTTACCAGATCTAGTAACCCAACCTAACATATGTTACCATCAGATCTAGTAACCCAACCTAAGATATGTTACCAGATCTGGTAACCCAACCTAAGATATGTTACCAGATCTAGTAACCCAACCTAAGATATGTTACCAGATCTGGTAACCCAACCTAAGATATGTTACCAGATCTAGTAACCCAACCTAAGATATGTTACTAGATCTAGTAACCTAACCTAAGATATGTTACCAGATCTAGTAACCCAACCTAAGATATGTTACCAGATCTAGTAACCCAACCTAAGATATGTTACTAGATCTGGTAACCTAACCTAAGATATGTTACCAGATCTAGTAACCTAACCTAAGATATGTTACCAGATCTAGTAACCCAACCTAACATATGTTACCATCAGATCTAGTAACCCAACCTAAGATATGTTACCAGATCTGGTAACCCAACCTAAGATATGTTACCAGATCTAGTAACCCAACCTAAGATATGTTACCAGATCTGGTAACCCAACCTAAGATATGTTACCAGATCTAGTCCCCCAACCTAAGATATGTTACTAGATCTAGTAACCTAACCTAAGATATGTTACCAGATCTAGTAAACCAACCTAAATAAATGTATTCAAGAAACGAAAAAGTCGATATGTTGTTAATATGCAATTTCAATCAACACACAAATGAAGAAGAAAAATTATTGATGCAATCGATTAACTGTCAAACACAAAACATTTTGTGTAGGTACACCGCCTACTAAGTGAAATAATTATGAAAAAATAGACTGATAGCCCTGTGGATCATCGTATAAGAGGAACAATTTCAGTTTTATTATTCCAAATGGGAAGATCATGTGATAGGTACATGGTGTAAATAAGAGACAGATAGTATCATGAGTTATTTTCGAAGGTTTTCACCTTGACTCAAACAAGCTATTGACAACCTGCAGACATTGATCAGAATATCAAAACATTTTGAATAATATCGGTTTACTAATGATATTTAAATTTCAAAGCCTACCAAGTGTCGATATATCATGGAATTCATGTCACAGCCAACTTATTCTTTTAGAATAAAAAGCAATTCAACATCGAATCAAGAAATAAATGCCACTTTGTGATACATGGTTGGATAGAGAATTTCAAGGCGAAAAAGATCGACTGAAGAAATGTGTTTGACAGATAATCGATTGCATCAATGATTTTTCTTCTTCATTTGTGTGTTGATTAAAATTGCATATTATCAATAGAGACGGAAAAAGAAACGGAACCATATCTAGTAACCTAACCAAAGATATGTTACCAGATCTAGTAACCTAACCTAAGATATGTTACCAGATCTAGTAACCCAACCTAAGATATGTTACCAGATCTAGTAACCTAACCTAAGATATGTTACCAGATCTAGTAACCCAACCTAAGATATGTTACCAGATCTAGTAACCCAACCTAAGATATGTTACCAGATCTAGTAACCCAACCTAAGATATGTTACCAGATCTGGTAACCCAACCTAAGATATGTTACCAGATCTAGTAACCCAACCTAAGATATGTTACCAGATCTAGTAACCTAACCTAAGATATGTTACTAGATCTAGTAACCTAACCTAAGATATGTTACTAGATCTAGTAACCTAACCTAAGATATGTTACCAGATCTAGTAACCCAACCTAAGATATGTTACTAGATCTAGTAACCTAACCTAAGATATGTTACTAGATCTAGTAACCTAACCTAAGATATGTTACCAGATCTAGTAAACCAACCTAAATAACGAAAAAGTCGATATGTTGTTAATATTCCATTTTCATACAACACACAAATGAAGAAGAAAAATTATTGATACAATCGTCGATTAACTGTCAAACACATAAAACATTTTGTGTAGGTACACCGCCTACTAAGTGAAATAATTATAAAAAAATAGACTGATAGCCCTGTGGATCATCGCATAAGAGGAACAATTTTAGTTTTATTATTCCAAACGGGAAGATCATGTGATATATAGGTACATGGCGAAAATAAAAGACAGATAGCTTCTGTACGAGTAGCTGAATTCGAAAAAATATATTCCTATCTTAGATTCCTCAATATCTTGAGTTATTTTCGAAGGTTTTCCTCTTGGCTCAAAGAAGCTTGACAACCTGCAGACATTGATCAGAATATCAAAACATTTTGAATAATACCGGTTTACTAATGATATTTGAATTTCGAAGCCTACCAAGCGTCGATATATCATCGCCGAATTCATGTCACAGCCAACTTATTCTTTTTGAATAAAAAGCAATTCAGCAGCGAATTAAGAAATAAATGCCACTTTGTGATACATGGTTGGATGGAGAATTTGAAGTCAAAAAAGATAGACTGAAGAAATGTACAGGGTGACATTCAAAAAAAAAGTTGGGGTCACTTCCGGTCATACAGGTGGTTGAAAAAATTTGTCGTCAAGTTCGTAAAGTGCGCTAGCATTTATTATATACCCCCTGTGAATTTCAGAATTTCATCTCTTCAAATAAAAAAACTACAGGCTGCTACAGTCCATAGCAATAACGCCATCGTTCACATGGGAACGTCCAAGCTTAGTGCTTGCTGCTTGAATACAGATTCCATTGTGATTTTTATAGGTTGTTTTCACACTGTCAAAGGGTCAAAGTGAACTCTCAGGCAAACAAAATATGAGAAAAAAAGGAGATACGGCCACATTTTTCTCATCTCTTGGAGCGTACGAAAGGGAATCCCTATAATGTTCGGGGAACATTGTGGGTATCTAGGGAGGATAGGGAGAGGTGGTAGGTATTGGGATTTTCTTCAACTTTCGGAGATTATAATTTCTTGGGGATACTCTGTTTGGCGAAAAATTCCAAAGCTTTGCCGTTCTATGTATAAACGAGTTTTGGTAAAGATTTGTTCGACATATTTCGTGGTTGACGACGAAAAGGTGTGCTGACTGGGTTTGTCGAGTACGTCTGAGTGATGGGAATAACATAATGAGATTGCTACATGATGATTTCTACTCATATCACGTGGAATTTATAGAAAATGATCAAATTATAGAGATGCTAGATGTACTATACGACAACTTACGGCTCATTAGGTAGTCACGCAAGCATGGAGATAATTATTGCAAGTGAAAAATCCAGTTTTTGATAATTTATTTGGATATTCCCCATTTTTCCGTTGAATCTTTGGATACTTATTTTTTGTTTTCGATGAATCTTTTCATTCAAATATAATTTTTATTTCTAGTTGTTCAACTTTATTGCTCATTATACTCCATCAAATGAATCCAGGTGGTTTGATTTCAGTTTCCTCCAATAACTTCCAAAAATTAAGGAGGTTCTAAACTTTGAAATGCCTTTCCCAATCTTAAACTAAGAAACTGACAAACACCCAGTCTATTGAAAAAATGATGGCATTCACACGCGTAGACTTTGAAAACTTCACTTTGACAATATGATTTCCCAATGAAATTCTCAGTTCCAATGGACATACACATAATATCGAAAATTGCTCGTTAAAATGCCACCCGCGAATCAAGTGAGTACTTATTTTTCAAATCGTTCATACGATACAATCAACCCTTCAGGTTACAGAAAGCTCCAGTGAAAAAAACCACGAATATTGCGAAATGTTCGAAACCATCGGATCCTCTAGCTGTGTTAGAGAACGAAATAGGAGAAGTCGCTGGTACTTGTAGATCGTTTTTGAAAGAAATCAAAGAAGGAAAAGGAAAGAGTCAAGCTAATACCAATGTTAAGTACACACAGAAGAAGGGATACGATTCTTTCGAGAAAGTAAGTACACGAACATAATCTCGACAGTTTTACCTTTATTATGATTCAAACCCTAGAACCATCCAATAACCTATACTCTAACTTAAGTCGAAGCCCTGAGGGGGCAGAAGGACGATCTAGCATTCATAGCCATCTAGTGGCTCAAGTGCAAAGGTGTATAGGTAGATTCAACAATCATACCTTGCGAGTACGTCGTGCATACAGACCCCTACGTCTATATGCTCACAGAAAAGACACCATGTCAGAATTCTGTAGACTATCGCAACACCTGTAATTCTCGAAGTGGTTTAATAACATAATCTCGACAGTTTTACCTTTATTATGGTTAAAACCCTAGAACCATCCAATAACCTATACTCTAACAACGCTCTAACTTAAGTCGAAGCCCTGAGGAGGCAGAAGGACGATCTAGCATTCATAGCCATCTAGTGGCTCAAGTACAAAGGTGAATAGGTAGATTCAACCATCATACCTTGCGAGTACGTCGTGCATACAGACCCCTACGTCTATATGCTCACAGAAAAGACAACAAGTCAGAATTCTGTAGACTATCGCAACACCTGTAATTCTCGAAGTGGTTTAATGTTCCACTATCAGATGGTGATAAACCTAGAATCTCAAGACTAAGAGATTCTAGGGAAATTTAGTGAATCGATTGTCAGCTGATGCAAAACAGACTGTCTCGACTTGCCATAAGTCTCATCAGTTGCACTGACCAGCTGACAATCGATTCACGATGGGTACCTCCATATATAATACAAGTCGAAGCCCTGGGGGGGCAGAAGGACGATCTAGCCTTCATAGCCATCTAGTGGCTCAAGTGCAAAGGCGTATAGGTAGATTCAACAATCATACCTTGCGAGTACGTCGTGCATACAGACCCCTACGTCTTCGAGAATTACAGGTGTTGCGATAGTCTACAGAATTCTGACATGGTGTCTTTTCTGTAAGCATATAGACGTAGGGGTCTGTATGCACGACGTACTCGCAAGGTATGATTGTTGAATCTACCTATACACCTTTGCACTTGAGCCACTAGATGGCTATGAAGGCTAGATCGTCCTTCTGCCCCCTCAGGGCTTCGACTTGTATTATATATGGAGGTACCCTTCGTGAATCGATTGTCAGCTGGCCAGTGCAACTGATGAGACTTATAGCAAGTCGAAACAGTCTGTCTTGCATCAGCTGACAATCGATTCACGAAATTTCCCGAGAATCTCTTAGTCTTGAGATTCTAGGTTCATCATTATACTTTAACTTCACTAGATCACTCACATCCTCTAATCACCCATCATAAACTATCACATTTTCAACTCCACTGAATCACCTACATCTTACAATCTCCGAAAATCAACCTCTGAACACACTTTATAAACATTATTACTAAATCACCCACTTCTTCCTATTTCCAAAATTCAACTCATAATCATCAAATCTAAAAACTTCTTTGTCCGGCTTGAAATTCAACCCCAAATTTTTATTCAAACTCAAAATCTCGAATGAACGTGCTCTGTCTGATGTGTGATGATGATCTTCAGTGATTGAAAACCGATTTTTTAGGTTACAGATGACATATCGAAAATTTTGGATACCCTCGAGTATTTGAATTCAGTCAAAGACAAAAACGACTCGTACTCTGACGTACTGCCATCTCTAGAAAAAAAATACCGAGAGCAAATGAAACAGTACAATGAAATCAAAACTGCAAAAAATCCACCCAAAACCTGTAATCCGAAGAAGAATAATATGAGTATCAAGAATGCTAACGTCAAGAATCCTAACGTGAACAGTACCACGAAATCTAGTTGTAGTACCATGAATAGTACTGTTAGTTCAAAAAAGTCTGACAATGAAAAAAATTTTAAAGAGAAATCGAAAAGCACACCAATTCAACTAGTGAAGAATGAAATTGCATATGGTGAGAAAACTAGAGAAAACAAAAAATCTGTCGTTCCAGCATCTCAAAATTTTAAAACTTCAATAACCGTTAAAAATATTCAGAACACCAATGCTCTCACAAAACCTACTTCTATCAAACCAGACTCAACTACAATAGGAAAAAAACCCTCCCAGTTACGAAGTCTGAAAGCTGCTGGACCAACACCTGCAAATAAAAGAATCCTCCCTATATGGTGACTATATGGTCCTAATATGTTGCTTCTACTCCCTTCACACCCTCTACATCTCATTTCAGTCCGAGCAAGAAGAGTAACATGTCCAATTCAGGATCTACGAGACAACTGATAGAACCACAACAAATCAACCTGAATCAGCAGCTCATGAGCACTAATCCTTTGTTAGCTTTGAAGCAGGAGGTCGATAAGGCAATTCAAGAACGGAAAACATTCACGGTCAGGGGCAATTTCAGGGGTATAAGAAGGGCCTTATTGAATCGGGGATGGGTCGAAAAAGTCCACTTGACCCAAAGGGAATTGATGAATACAGAGCTGAGGAAATTTTGCACTTACAGGTTGGATAGTAGCTTCAATACTGATAGTAGATAAGCTAGGGGGGTTCTGGAACAGAATGATTTCGGTAAAACGGGGTGTGTTGCATTTGGGGAAGGCGTTCTCTAAAATAAATGGGATATATTGATACAGAACCTCCTTTCTCATCTACTCCCTACCTTGTTGAACAAAATCCATATTGATCACTGAATAATGGCAATATTTTTGATTCGGAATTTTCCAGTATTCCAGAGCTTCTGAACCTGGTGAGGAATAAGGAAATAGCGGACATTTGCAGAAGACTGATCAAATCCAAATTATTGACAAGCCACCAAGTAGATCTTTACTACAGTTCCAGCTACGATGCCTACAAAGAATGTCCTGATAAAGTTAAACAGACTATGATCAACAGGATACGCTGGATTTCATTCAGTTACACCAATAAAGGAGGTAGATATAGGCAGTTCTAGAGTGAGTAGATAAAATAGAGTGGCGACAATATACCTCAACATGACTGTCGTTTCAGGAATGCCATTCGTAGTCAATTCACTGAATAACTGAAAATCGGAAGGGTATCTCACATGCATCAGTAATGAATTTGCGCCTTCGAAGTACCCATACCTGATGTTAGGTTTAGATATTTGTTATTTTCATTTCATCTACATAATCTGAGACTTACGAGTCCCAGAAGATGTATTCTGATAGTTGATATCCAAGGTACCAACATATTGTTTTGTGTCTAAAAAGCGATATATATAGTGACAAAGCGCTGACAAAGTGAAATAGAATGCGTAGAACTGAATAGACAAAACAAGACAGATGGATGCACCTCCATATTAGAGGTCTGACCAATCAAAAAGTGCCGTCAAATGGGGTAATATGAAACAAAATTTCTGAATATTTATTCGTACATTTTCACTCGCTTGAAAATACTTTGATCCGTTTTAAACGCGGCAGGTATAATCTCAGGTGGAAAAGTGAAAATTTTTGTTTGGCCTATCAAGAATCTGAAAAAATTCACAGAGACTAATTCGGTGTCGTAATGAACGAATCAGTGGTGGAAGTTGAGAAATTTTGGAAAATGGAGACGTAGTAGCCTACCGCAGTGCTCCTATTGGCAATGAGAGCGGAAAGCTGACTTTGAGCGACGATATATCGAAAACTATCTGTCCTATCGGGCTGACCATGGTCTCATTCGATTTAGCGTGTCATTTCCTACTGGAAAAGCGATGATTCGCGTGTATTTCCGTCGTTTTATGGCACTTTCGGCCGTCCGAAGATGGCTCGGTGACCATATCGTACTGAAGTCTCAGGTGGGAAAATGAAAATTTTTATCTAGCCAGTTGAAGATCTAAAAAGAATTCGCATAGGCTAATTCGATGTCGTGATGAACGAATCTGTGGTGGAAATCGGGAAATTTTGAAAAATGGAGACGTAGTAGCTTACCCAGAGTGCTCCTATTGGCAATGAAAGTGCAAAGCTGACTTTGAGCGCCGATATCTCGAAAACTATCTATCCTATCGGGCTGATCATGGTCTCATTCGATTCAGCGTGTCATTTTCTACTTGAAAAACAATAAATCGCGTATATTTTTGCCGTTTTCTGGCACTTTCGGTCGTCCGAAGAGGGCTGGGTGACTATATCGTACTGAAAGTCTCAGGTGGGAAAATGAAAATTTTTATTTGGCCTATTAAAAATCCGAAAAAATTCACATAGACTAATTCGATGTCGTGATGAACGAATCTGTGGTGGAAATCGGAGAATTTTAAGAAATGAAGACGTAGTAGCCTACCGGAGTGCTCCTATTGGCAATGAAAACGAAGAGCTGACTTTGAGCGCCGATATCTCAAAAACTATCTGTCCTATCGGGCTGATCATGGTCTCATTCGATTCAGCGTGTCATTTTCTACTTGAAAAGCAATAAATCGCGTATATTTTTGCCGTTTCCTGGCACTTTCGGTCGTCCGAAGATGACTATATCGTACTGAAGTCTCAGGTGGGAAAATGAAAATTTTTATTTAGCCTATTAAAAATCCGAAAAAATTCACATAGACTAATTCGATGTCGTGATGAACGAATCTGTGGTGAAAATCGGAGAATTTTAGGAAATGAAGCCATCAGAAACAAGTTAGTTCATCTATTCAAGGAGAGATGGCATCACTTATCAATTTTTAATTTTGTTCCATTATAACACCCAGATTCCATATTATCCCGTTTGACGGTACATCACTATTGTCGCCACTCTGTTTTATAAAGTCACTCTAGGCAGTTCCCCCACTACTGTCTCTGGGCGGAGCCAAGATAGCAGTGGAGGTGGAGGGGGTAGCTATATTAAGCGATACATCGACCATCTCTTCTAGGGCTGACTGAAGCTTCAAGAAAGTCGTTTTGGTATCACATACCGGGGGTATCGAACTTAAATCATCCGCGGAGTTACAAGTTGACGAAGAACGGTGATACGGAGGAGTTCGTGAAGGATTTCAATTTGACTGCGGCCATGTCGATGATCAAGTGGGTGAAAATGAACAGCGAGACACAACTTTGCAAGATTTTGAGCACGTCCGGCAAAATTCCTCTCCGGGTGTTCGATTTTGCCATAAATGAATGTTACAAGTTCATAAAAAAAGCGAAACACGAAGGTGAGTTGGTTGGGATTTGTTTGCAAACTGTAGGAACCATATTTTCGTTTCAGATATCGACCAAGAGATTCAGGAAGCGCTTTCTCACGAATGGAACGACTTTTTGGAATACTTTTATAAGACTGTGCACACGGGCAATCATTTCAAGCAGGTCGATGGCGTTTCCGAGAGTGATTTGGTTAGGAAAGCGACTTTCATTCTAGACAAACTCAAAGAACACTGGCCGTACCTGGAGATGGACGGTCTGATGAATATTTGGATTTTAAAACCAATGAACAGCAGTCAAGGGGTAGGAATACATATGTGCAGAACGTTGAACTACGTTTTGCAAACGATAAAAACGAATGAGAATAGGAGATACATCATACAGAAATATATAGGTGAGTGTCCAGGGAGCATTGGCTGCCACGGTTTAATAGTTTAAATTCCATGCAGAAAGACCAATGTTGATCTACAATACGAAATTCGATATAAGGCAATGGTTCTTCATCAGTACTTGCGTACCACTGACCATTTGGATGTATAAGTATAACACGTCTCATTGAAGCTTCTTTTGGATATTCTCTGAATATTTAAATTTTTCAGGCAATGTTATCTGAGATTCAGTTCACAAACTTATAACTTGAGGAAATTGCACGAGTCGATCCATCTGACCAATAACTCTGTTCAATCCAAGTATAACAGAGTTACCAGCAAGGACATCAGTTTACCATCTTATAATATGTGGGATTCTAATCAGTTCAAAAATTATTTGTCAGGTAAAAACCATATTGTCAACGCGTAAGGCCAATTTTAAAAACTCGTCTGGGTTCGTAGATATTGGTTATCCTAAAGCCTTCGCTGAAATAATCTATCCAGGAATGAAGGAAAGTATAACAGCTGCCGTTTTAATGCATCAGGACTCTATAGACCGACGGGCAGCATCTTTTGAGCTATATGGAGCTGATTTTATGGTGACAGAAGACTTCAAGTACGTTTCGACTGGTTTGTTTTTTTCATCATCGATTCTGATTTCACTAATATTCCAGACCGTGGCTGCTGGAAATAAATTCGAATCCAGCTTTACAGGCTTCCACACCAATCACAGCCAGAATGTGTCCAAATGTCTTGGAGGATGTGATCAGAGGTAACACGACTGTTTTGTTTCTTTAAGTGTCATCGTTTGATGTCCGCATCATACGGAGATTTTTTCATCATTTATATAAAGAAAGAAAACACACACTGGGCTTCGAACGTCAGAAAAACATTTTCCCGTATTTAGAACTAGTCCCTGAGGAAGTCCAGTTTAGCCTTGAGGATGCGGCACTGGCTGTAGACGTAGGGAATGCCGAACATGAGCACTGCCCTGCCTAAATGGTGGTCGGAGTCTACCCATCGAAGCTCAGAAGGACCACTTATCTTTAGACCGTGATTGCAGGAAATAGATTCGAATCCAGCTTTACAGGATTCGACACCATTCACAGCCTGAATGTGTTCGAGTGTCTTGGAGGATGTGATCAGAGGAAACACTCCGCATGATTCGGGAATTTTTTTATTATTTAAATAAAAAAAAAATGAAAAACATAACCTATACAAACAAAAACTATGTACATCTCAAGCCACCTCCATCTCAACATTATCGTTCGCCTTTCTCGCCTCCATCGCCTCTAGCTGTTCCAGCGTGAGCAAAGACACCCCCAACTGGTCTTCCCTCGTGAAAGGTTGCGCCATTTGCCTCAACCACCTCTTAGCCAACTGCACTCCCTCCTCCGTAGACAAATTGCAATAAGAGTCCTTCAAATGCTCCTGTATCCACTTGGGCAGCTTGGTCCGCTTATCTGCCCTAGAAAATCGCTTATCGGCGAAAATCATGATGCCGTAGTCGGTTTTGCCCCTGATGGCCCTGCCCACACATTGGGCGGCATGCCTCAGGGCGTCAAACGTCAAAAAGTCGTTCTCGCGTATCTGGAACTGGTCCCTGAGATAATCGAGTCTGGCCTTGAGGATGCGGCTCTGGGTGTAGACGTAGGGAATGCCGAACATAAGCACTGCCCTGCCTAGGTGGTGATCGAAGTCAACGCCTTCTGAGACTTTGCCCCTGGCGACACTCAGGAGAACTGCCCCTCTGCCGGATTCGCACGCTTTGATGTAGTACATCAGGGCGAAGCTGGTCTCCGCCGAGTCTTGGGTCTCGATGAAGAGCAGCTTGTACCTTTGTAGGCTGTCGATGACGCCCTGGTCGTACCAGCTGGCCACGGTGGATTCGAGGTAGAGGTAAGAGGTGAAGAAGCAGACTATGCCATCGGGGACGTTGGCGGCTACTTCGACGAGAAGTTGGCCGTAGTTTCGGATCACGGCGTTGTCTTCGCGGGTTTCGAATTTGGAGGATATGGCGACTTGGTCGTTGCCTGGAAAAATTGCGGGATGTGAAAACAGCGCTAGGAATGACAGGCGGGTGACAGTGGGCTGACGCCATGCCGTTAGCCGGTCAGGGTCTTATGCTTGGTACAGATGACAGCTTTTCTTTCAACTATTAGCGCTTCTGAATTCTGATTAGTCACAAAGTTCGTTTCAAGGGTAATAAGAGAAATATGTTCACATACAAATTGGACATTTGTCCAGTATAACCCTAAAACAATGAATATAAGTTGTAAGCTGTTATATCTGTACCTACCATTAGACCATTCAGGGTCTTGCTTCGCTCAAATGGAAATCACTTCTGTCAACTGTGTGTGGAAATACGCCAACATTAAATGAAGATGGCGATATATTTGCATCTTTCAAAGAAGCCAAGCAGTTGAATATGGCGGGAATTTTGAAATCGTATAGCAATCACTCAACTTCATTGAAGAAAAAATGAATATGTGGATTTTGTGGGTCATGTCATGTATGTAATTCATTGAAGACATGCCAAAGAATAATTTGATCGAATTCGAATACATTTGAAGACTATTAATTCACATAATACACAGAATAGAAAACACTTGAAAGCCTCTTTCAGCTGGGTTGTCCATACAATCATTAAGAATGAGATGCTTTTTTTACAAACTTTCATTTAGTTTTGTAATTATTATGATCCGATTCTATTCAAACTTTGAATCTGGGGATTTTTGGGGTCGGAGATTATGATTGTTTCGTCAGAATTGTGAAATTCAATGAGAGATCCAATATGGCGAACAAGTTTTGTAAGTATATGATCCGATTCTATTCAAAATTAGTATCTGAGGGTTTTTGGGGTCCGCAAAATTGGAAAATTCAAGATGGTGGCTTCAATTTGGAGGACGTGTTTTGTAATTATGATCCGATTCTATTCAAAATTCGTACCTGGGGGTTTTTGGGGTCGGAGATTGTGATTATTTCGTCAGAATTAGAAAATTCAACATGGAGGATCCAATATGTAATAATTGATATCCGATTCTATTCAAAATTGTTATCTGGGGGTTTTTGGGGTCGGCAATTATGATTCTTCTGTCAAAATTGGAAGATTGAAGATGGTGGCTCCAATAAGGCGGACGAGGTTTGTAATTATGATCCGATTATATATTCAAAATTGATATATGTTTATGTATGTTTTGTGATTATGGTCAGATTATATTCAAAATTGGTATGTGGGGACTTTTGTTGTAGACTATTTTTACAATAATTTTTAAAATTCTAAAAATTTGAAAATGAAAAAATATGAGCTTGCCGCGAATACAAAATAGGAAATGTTGCGCGGTAAGATTTTGAATCTGTTACGCCTATAATAACCTGGATCAAATATTAACAAAATTATATTCTCCTTTTAAGTGGATTTTTCAATAAGAGCTTGACTTCAAAAAGTGTTTTTTGAATTATCTTCCACAATGTTTGCGTGTTACTGTGTTTACTACTAGCAATCCATATGAGCCGAGCGAGATCCTGTATTTTTATTATCATTATTGCTGCTTACTTACCTTTGGATATGATCATCGGTAAAAGACAAGGTCTTGCCAGTGTCATCGTGAAAGAAGACATGATAACCGGATGGAAATTCAGAATTTTCGGGTACATATCCAGCGGCGATAGAGTCCCAGAGGTTATAACCACGGTCTGAAACCTGTCGAAAACCGGTTTCATGGCAATAGAAGAATCCAGACAGCTGAAGTAGAGTATGGGATTAGACACTGTCGGCGTTTTGTCATCGAACGGTTCAACTATGATGGTGAACCCTGTGGTGTAGGTGCTAACCAGTGTTGCCAGATGGGTGATGAGTATCAGGGGGCTGAAATCCGTCAGATCAGATATCTCCAGGGTTTTCAGCAATGACGCTAGACGCTCTGCACAGAACCTCAGTGGTTTCCTTTCAATACAAACTTTAGTTTGCACGTCTTTGAGGAAACCAACTGGTGATTCTTGCACTACATGCTGCACTCTCAATCTAGTTTTCAAATACTCAAGGAAGCGTTTGAGGAAGCTTATAAAATGCTCGGCATTACGAATGTTGCCAGGCACAGCCTCTTGTAGGATTTCATCTGGTAAAATTGGGTTAGAAAGTATTACATCAGTTTCTCTAGCTATATTCGCGTCTTTCAGACCATCAACTAATCTCTGATACTCGTCCTGCAAGCGTTTCTGGTCATCCTCTCGCATTTCAGCCACTGTTTTCTCTAATAACTGTATATTAGCTGTGGCTTTTTCAATGGTTCTCTTTTGGATTTTGACGCTCATAGAGTCTATGCAAACGTTATCAATGTTGTGAGCCTCATCAAAAATAACCACAGCCTCCTTAGCTAGTTCTTTAGACACCACGTCGGCTATCTTAGGGTCCAACAAGTAGTGGTAGCTGTACACTACGATATTTGCATAGGTTATGGTGAACCTAGCTAGGAAATAGGGACACCAATTGCGGTCCCTGCCGAATTGTTTCAAGTCTTCCAAGTTGTAGACGCCGTGAGGCAGCGTGGATTCTTTACCATCCAAACTAAAACCCTCATAATACTGGCATATAGGCGTCGTATCATCAGAGTTATGTCTCTCCCGGATATAGCTAGCTGTTAAGCCATGGCACTTACCGTCTACAGTCTTACCTTCACGTTCTGTACTGACTTGCGGGTGTATACAAAGGTTTTTTCTCGAAGACAGCACTAGACCTGTGAAATTCAGGGGGATACCGTGCGTTTCATAGTACTCGAAAAGCTTCTTCATTTCTTCCATGACTTTTTCGATTTCAGGCACGGTTCTCGAGCAGTAGATGAGTTTTCTGATTTGGTGAGGGTTTTCTCTCATGTAGGCGACTATCAGGGCCAATAAGGTCACCGTTTTGCCAGTGCCTGACGGCATTTCTAGCAGGCAGTGGCCCTTGGCATCGATGGCTTTCTTTAACTCGCACATGTAGGAATACTGCTCTGGGTATATGTAGTCGTATGGAAAGTACACTATTAGGCCGTCTACGCTGAGACGCATTTTGAGTATTTCAATTCACAATTATTAACAAATGAAAGAAGGAAACTCTCCTCGGCAAAAAGCTAGGTTAAGTAAACGTAAACAATAAACAAATGACAAACACAACAGAAGAAGTGGTGACCGGTAAATGCTTCTTCTTTTTTTTTAATCAATGCTATCGCAGAACACAATTCTAATATGGTGAAAACTGCATAACGAAAATCACTATAAAATGACGTTTTCTTGTTTAAAACTTGTCTTTTAGTGCTTGTAGATTACAAAAACGACAAGAATGCGAGCACAGGAGGTTTCGAACTTTTGTACCGAGAACAACCAACACCCCGTAGAAGACCAGGGGAGCTGGAAGTGGCCGGCACTCCTCTGAAGCCGGAATTTTTCAACGTTCCTTTGGAGTTACAAGAAAAATCGAGTTTCCCACCAGAATCCACCAAAAACAAGCCGATGCAGCAAGTCACTTGTATAAAAGAGTTAGGAAAGTCCATAAGACATACTTTGCATAATTTGCTGGAATTGTTGAAACAGGAAAGGTTGAAAAGGTCCAGAAGAAAACACATTGGTATAGAAACTATTTTATCATGTACCGAAATTGTTACTGAAAGCGTTGAAACGATATTATCAGATACTATGATAAAATAGAACAGATATTTACAAGCCTGTGTAGAAATCAATTTATTAAATTTAATTAAACTTATTACGTGTAAAAGATCTTATTTAGAAAAATTGTACTCTCACTTACTCAATTCGTAGACATTCATACCTATGATAAATTATGATAATCATACTTTCACATTCTCATCACTAAGAGTAGCTAAATGACGGGTTTCAATGAAAATGACAGCTTGGGCCTAGAGTTATTTTTGCCTAATATTTTTTTCTGCTCTTCTTTTGTCCTCTTTTCTTGCTCTTTCCTCAATCGCTGTCTTTCTTCATCTATTTTCCTCTGTTCCTCCACCATGGCTAACCTTTCTTCAGCCTAAAAAAATAAATCAAAATCAGTATTCTTTTTCCTTGAAATGTTCAACGTCAATTGAGGTCTTTTCTATCTTGAACGAGAGAGAGGAAAGTTCTCTCCTCTTCCATCCTTCTCTTCAATGATACCAACATAACCGCATTGAAATATAGAGAGGTCCGATAAATCTGTCCTTGTCTAACATCTAGTTTGTGCCAGTGAACTATTTTTGAATTCAGCAGAGAGTCAAAGGACCCCGCACGAAAACACGGGAAATTGGCTCTCGGTCGAATTGGCTGAAATTTTACTATGTTGTTGTTGGATGGCTCATTAGGAAAATCTGTGAGTTTAAAAAGTTTTGTATGTTTAGTTTCTGAGATATAAGCCGACAAAGTTCGTAAAAACGTCGTATCGGGGTAGGATTGACAAAGAAAAAAACTGTTTTTTCAGTATAAATAAGACAAAATAAGCTAGAAAATGTATTGATCGGAACTCAAATACATGTCTAGTTATGAACACATAAATTATAGTAAATCAGGGTGCATACGAGGCACGGTCAAAAAATTCATTTTTCGGAAAAAAAATTCGAGCACTATTCCAAAACCAATAAGTTATATTTTGGTGGGACATCATAGTTTTAGTCTATTGTAGGCTTCGAAAACGTATTTTGATTCTTGATAACTATCTCAGTTCGAGATATGAATTTTTAGAATTTTGTGTTACACCCCTTTTTGAAAACAATTGACAGCTTGTTTTTGATCACAAATAAAGGGATTGATTGATACTGTTGATTGAATGAAAGCTGATGTGACTCACTAGCGAATTCAGTTGTTCAATATTGTCTATTAGATACAGGGTGTGTTAGATTTTGTTGGAGATTATTTAACATGTTTCAATTGAATATCTCGAAAACAGTTCCGTTAATTTGGATCTCATTTTACTGACACTATTTTGAATATGTTGATTATCATATGCGAAAAGTATTTCAATTTTTTATGTTTCGTTTCTGAGATATCATTTTTACAGTATTTATTATATTACAGGTATTATAGGGTTATTACCTTGGATATTACTATCGATTCAACAGAACTTTACGGAATCTTTCGAACATTCAATTACATAATGAAACAATTAGAAATCAATAATTTGTAACTATAAACAATACTAACCACATTGAAAAACAATATGAAACTCAACAGTATGGATTCCGTAAAGTTCTGTTGAATCGATAGTAATATCCGAGGTAATAACCCTATAATACCTGTAATACTGTAAACTCAAAAATGCATATCTCAGAAACAAAACATGAAAAATTGAAAAACTTTTTGCATATGATAGAAAACATATTCAGAATAGTGTGAGTAAAATGAGATCCAAATTAACGGAACTGTTTTCGATATATTCAATTGAAACATTTTAAATAATCTTCAACAAAATCTAACACACCTTGTATCTTAATGAAGAGCAATATTGAACAACTGAATTCGCTAGTGAGTAAACTCAGCTTTCAATAAATCAACAGTATCAATCAATCCCTTTTTCTGTGATCAAAAGCAAGCTGTTCATTGTTTTCCAAAAGGGGTATAACACAAAATTCAAAGAATTCATATTTCGAACAGAGATAGTTATCAAGAATGAAAATACGTTTTCGAAGCGTACAATAGACTGAAACTATAATGTCTCACCAATATATAACTTGTTAGTTTTGGAATAGTGCTCGAATTTTTTTTTCCAAAAATGAATTTTTTGACCGTGCATGCCTCGTATGCACCCTGATTTACTATAATTTATGTGTTCATAACTAGACATGTATTTGAGTTCCGATCAATACATTTTCTAGCTTATTTTGTCTTATTTATACTGAAAAAACAGTTTTTTTCTTTGTCAATCCTACCCTGATACGACGTTTTTACGAACTTTGTCGGCTTATATCTCAGAAACTAAACATACAAAACTTTTCAAACTCACATATTTTTCTAATGAGCCATCTCACAACAACATAGTATAATTTCAGCCAATTCGACCGAGAGCCAATTTCCCGTGTTTTCGTGCGGGGTCCTTTAACGATATTAACAAATGATGTCAAAATAAGTATGATATAATTCGAAATTTCATTCAAATAATTCGAAAGGTTATTAGTCGATGACATTTATGACATAGACATGTCACATCATTATAACATCGAAAATAGTTCGGTGGCGCAGAGTTTACGTTAGACAAGGAAAGATTTATCGGATCTCTCTATATTTCAATGCGGCAACGTTGGTAGCACTGAAGAGAAAGATGGAAGAGAGGAGAACTTTCCTCTCTCTCGTTCGAAGTAGAAAAGAGCTCAATTACTTACCAATTTCTTCTGTGCTTCTTCTATTTTCCTCTGATTTTCTTCTAGAATCTTCTCAACGATTTGTTGCTTCTTTTTTTCTTCTTCCTATAAAATATAAGGAAAAAATAAGGGACTGCTACAGCTCATATTGCGTCCTTGCCCAGCTTGCATTCATAACAAGAACCTTCACAATAAAAAACACAATATGAATAAATGGAAACGAATAAATACAAAAAAAAACAATCTGATTTTATTGTGAAGGTTATTTTCATTCATACATAAAACTGAGTAGGAAAGAAAAATTAAGTTTCATTATTATATTTATACACACTCTTGTTATAATGAAAGCAAAAACTTGATTTTTCTTGGTGAGTACAAAAAACAAGGTTGTTACACCTGGATAAAACTCCAATTTTTTTTTTATTTAGGGAGTAAAAGTACTATGTCCACATTCACAGCTGGGTTTGGACCAGCATTGCATTGGATGTACAAATATATATTCCAAGTCGCAGGTGTTTGAAAATAAAAAAAGTGCACTACCCAACATCAAAACCAAAATTTTCCGAAAAATGCAAAAAATTACAGGGTGTGTCGTAAATGATAGTGCTGATAGAGTGAGCCAAAATATTGTTAGTATTTCATAAAAAAAATGTATATCTCACTTTATTATGGGGTTATTGACCTTGAAAGTTTCTGCAAGTCCATACATAAGGTGCATATGTACATACGCATCATTGTCAAACTGATCCACGATCTTAACAAAGTATTAAATACTGCCAAAATAATTTAATGACTGCAACTACCATGATGTTAGGTATATTATAATTGGAAGCAAAATGTCAAATTAGTCACCGGTCAAAAATGCCTTCATTAAACAGAAAAAAATCGTTCCATCCTAGCTGTATCAAGCATAATCACTGGACATCATTTACATATCAAATGGAGCATTAGTATCAGTTAATCTAGTTGCCCGAATTTCATTGATACCATGGAACCGGTTGAAAGTTATACATGAAATAATACTTTCAAGGTCAATTATTACTCCATAAGGAAGTATGATAGACAATTTTTTCATATAAAGTACTTATTATTTTCCCTCACTCTATCAGCCCTGACATGATCTTTCCGGACACCCTTTATAATTCGCTTCATCTTGTCATTACATTGGTCGTTTTGGTGCAGATTTGAAAAATAAAAAAATGTGACTCAAAAGGAGAATAGATTTGACAAAGCAAAATTATTGGATATACGGGATGGGGTGCAAATGAAAAAGTTGAATGGAAAATTAACACTTTTATCAATTTCCCTGAACTTCTCTGAATTTCTCTCCTTTCTAAAAATGAAAATGTTTCATTACACAGAGATTATTATAGAGATAATTATTCTAGTTAGGGTTTTAAAAATTGGTGGGCAGCTAGTATACCAAATTGCCCATTCATTGACAAAACAATTTTTGTTCTATCACTTCCGGTTCTATTGGAAACGACCCCAAGTTTTGATTTTCAAATGGGACACCTTGTATTGTATTCCATAATCGGTTACGGATTGTCATAACGAATTCATCAATAGGTACTGGGTTTGATAGGGTTATTCCAAACGATTACGCAGATATTCGCGTTCTAAGTTTCCATATGCTCAATGAGTGTGACAGAGAAAGAAGTTTTGATATTGCAGTCACACCCATTGAGCATATGGAAACTTCGAACGCAAATATCTTTGTAATCGTTTGAAATAACCCTATCAAACACCGGCATCGTTAAATTCGTCATGATGATCCCTAACCTATAGAATACAATACAGGGTGTCCCATTTGAAATTCAAAAGTTGGGGTCGTTTCCGGTGAAACTGGAAGTGATAAAATAAAAATTGTTTCATCAATTAATGAGCAATTTGGTATACTTGCTACTGACCAATTTTTAAAACCCTATCTAGAATAATGTTAAAGTTACAATGGGGAAGACCACTGAGAGAAGAAATCCGTGTTAACCTGTTTCAATCGACGAATCATGATTTACGTTTGATGTACAATCAATATTATGAGTTAAAGTTGAAGGGAATCGAATCTATATTGTTTTGACATCAGCATATTTCATTCAATTTTTCAAACAGCCAAATATGATGGTGAAGTATTAGTCCCGAACTGTAGCTATCTCTCTCTGATACCTCGTCATTCTGCAGTGTTGCAGTGTGATTGGTCAGTTCAAGGACAATAGGCGTGTTGGGACTAAGACGTCGCACCAGTCACACCAATGAATTAACAAAATTTCAAATGGCGCAGGAATTGTGTGTTTTGAAATGGACATATTCTAATTTATTATTTTCATCGTCTTAGCATGAATGACAACATTCAAAATTAATTCGCTGGTAGTTTTTCAGTATATAGTTCACGATAATGTCATTTTGAAAATTCACTGGTCTTCCCCGATTTTTTGTGCACTTCTTTTTGTTTGTAATAAGTACAAATCAGATGATTTGCCCCAAAAGTTCAATGCATTCAAAATTTCATAAACAGAAGATTTGAAAGGGATATGATAGCCACTGACACCTGGGGCTATTGAAAAATATGGAATCTTCATCAATCTTTGAAAGTTTCAGCAACAAAATCTGTTCCTGCTTTCAACAGAAAATTAGAAAATCATGTTTTCACAAATTGTCACTTTTGTTTTCGTTCATTGTCCATGGAATAAATAATAAATAACACTTTTATTCAGAAAACAAGGAGAGAAAATCCTGAAAGTTGAGAGATGAATATTCCACCTCCTTAACCGAAAATTTTGATTTTCTTTTTCCATATTCATATAAAAGATATAAGTCATTGAACCTGAATCTGAATAAAACCCCCCAAACTTGAAAAATAAGGTAGTTGAAATAACTGGACTATCTATTTCAATTTTTTTTTATACAGGGTGTATCATTTTTTCAGAGTGTAAATCAAAAAATGTCTGAGAAAATAATATCACAAAACATTTAGAAATGAAAATATGAGTAGGTTCAACTGACATGTAAATAAAACTACATCAAGAATTCCGAATTGACCATGGAAATGGCAATATTTTTATTTGTTGTTGGGTAGTGCATAAAAAAGGTTTGATAATACCTGTGCCGCTCTGTGTCTCTGTCCGCTGCTACGGTCGCCGAAAATCATCGCCTTTGCCTCACTTTTGACCACTCTCATGAAGAGACACCCTTTAGCTTACATGCTATTGGCATATTATTAAGAAGTACATAATTTTTCGGAAGAAAAATGAAGATGCTTTGTCCTACATTCTACCTAGGTGTGGACTTTGCTGTCCAATCATTTTTGGAAAATACATAACTGGTGAAATTGTGTTTTTTTTTTTTCAAGGAAAAAACTCATATAACTAGGGTAGAGATGGATGAATATGTTGCCATGTATTTATACAGACTTCAGGAAACAAACAATAGAAATTTTCCTTCTGCAGAGCTTTCCTTAATTTTTCCAAAAGCACTGGTATTGCAATGCTAATTTTCCTCCAATATCAACAATGTCCTATTTGACAGAAAATATCATATTATAATATGAAATAAATAGCCTATCAATTTCTTTCACATTCAAATATTCTTGTATGGTCATCCAAACATTCCTGCAGTTTAGGAAAATATCTACATATTTTATAAAACTGAAGAATCCACATAAATACCATATATTATCTGTATTGATAAGGGACATGTTGATAACATTATCTGTATGAGCCTAAATCCAAGTTTTATTAGTTTTGTTGTTGAATTTCATACTTTAAAACTAGATAGAAAAAAATTTCCACCTCTTTCTTCAAAGCACCATGTAATTTATTTATACATTCACTTGATTTGAAGATAAATTACATTTTCTCATAAAAATATATAACTTTTATACAAATTCCATCATAATAAATATTTAAATATTCAAAATAAATAAAAACAATCAACAGATTTTATTGAACATTGAAAATCAAGTATAAACATTTGGTTGATTGTAAATTCACTAGCCATCTATTCATAACCAAAAAAATATAAAGTTATCTGATCCAAAAACACTAATTCATGAAAAATGTAATCTTTTATTGAACCTATAAACAGTCATCATTTGCAGTGCAGTTCAAATGAAGTAAAATCTGCAGACTAACCAAAATGTTGATCTTACCTCTCTACGTCTCTCTTCTTCCCTCTGCTTCTCCCGCCTCTTTTCCAAATCCTCCATCATCTCTTTCTCCATAATCCTCTTCACTTCCTCCACTCTCTTAGCCACCTCCCTTTCAATCTCCTCCTTACGTTTCTCCAACTCCTCTTCCACCCTCTTCTTCACCAACTCCTCTATCCTCTTTGCTGTCTCTTCTTCTATCAGTCTCTGTTCGGCTTCTCGCTGTCGCCGCTGCCTTTCCATTTCTGCCAAGCGCTCCACCTCATCCATTTTCCTTGACTTGTGCTTTTTAGAGGAATGCCTTTCTTTAGGGATTATTTCTTCCGAGCCATCGCTACTGGATTTCGAGGATATTGAATGGGAACGTTTCCTGAATAATTATGCAATGATATGAACACCAAACACATTCTTTGTTTTTGCTTACCTCTGTTTGGGAGTCCTTTCTTTCACTTTTTCCACTGTCCTTTCTGTGGTTTTATAGCTGGAGCTCTTGTCTCTCGATTTACTTCGCTTGTGGTGTTTACTTTTGTGATGTTTCCTCGTAGTTGGGGATCGACTCCTGGATCTAGACCTTCCCATGTTTCCAACAAAATCGAAAAAATGTCCGTGATTCGACTGTTCCACTGATATTTGTATCACTGGTAATCACTGAGTGCTAGAGAAGGCGAAAATTCATACAGCGGCTCAAAATCTAATACAATTATTATAATTTGAATTGCCTACAAAAATTCTTCACCTTCACCACATCACAAATAATACAAGATCCGCCATGTTTCTTTTCATCAGAAAGTCACGTCGTGTCATGTCATATGTCATTTGTATTCACGAAGCAGATTCCTACAGTACAATAGTTACAGAGTTCTTCTCTCAAGCACGAACGAGTAATGTTCATTTGTACAGTTTTCTACAATTTCAGTTGTCAGAGTGGGGAAAATGAATAAAAATTGTTTGAATTAATAACTCTTTGTGTGAAAAATAAGTGAAAACACCGAAAAACCCCCTGTGAGCAAGAAGTTTCAGTGAAAAAATTTCCCAAATTGTGGATATTTTTATCAACGTATTTTTGATGCATTTCTATGTCATTGTCTGCTGAATTGTAATTTGGCGCCCCAAAGGTTATTGCCACTATTCGAGCGTGCGCACAAGCGGATTTGTGAACTTAGTCGAAAAACGTTTCTTGATGCTTTCTCTCGCCAATCTCCCAAACTCGACTTCGTTCGAGAAATCGAGAATCGCCTAAGTCATTTCTAAGTGCGATCTGTGTCGGAATGGACGTGGAGAACTCTGGAAATGACGGTGATTCGAAGCCTGTAAGTACATATTTGACGTTGTTTTTCAATAATCTTCCATCCTACCTTCACGAAATTCACGATTACGCCAAAATAATACCACTTTACTCGTGCGGCTTGCACAAAGCGAAATTTTCTAAGTCCAAAAATGGCGTCCAGAAACTAAGTCCCACGTATTGTACAGTGTTCGCGTGTATTCCGATTTATCACAAACTTGACTAAAATTAACCTCAAAAAAATAAATTGAAAATATTTTTTTAATGAATTTTGTCGCCCTAGACTAAAGAACATGATACTAACCATGTGAATGGAGTGAATGGCTACTCTGACAAACACAAGAGTCACAAATCCGAACATAAGGACAAACATAGGGACAAAGACAAAGATAGGAGCAAAAGCAAGGACCACAAGAGTTCCAGTAGGGACAAAGACAAGCATCACTCTAGCTCCAAGGACAAGGACCGTCACAGCAGCTCCCACAAGTCTTCTAGCAAGGACAAGGACCGCAGTGACCGAGACAAAAACAGGCATAGGGACAAAGATAGGGACGAGAAAAAATCAAGTTCATCCAAGGACAAGGATAGGGACCACAAGAGTTCCCAGGATAAGGTCAAATCCAGCAGTTCCAAGGATAGGGACCATGAAAAGGATAAAGAGAGGAGGGATAAAGATAAGGAAAAGGACAAATATAAACATAGTTCCTCCAGGGATAAGGACAAAGATAGGCATAGTAGTTCCAAAGATAAGTATAGGGATAAGGATAAGCATCATTCCAGTTCCAAGGATAAAGATAGGAAGGACAAGGACAAGGATAGAAAATCTGAAAAGGAGAAAAATGCAGGTAATGAAATATGTTTGTGGATTCTCAATGTTCAAAATACTTGAACTAGCTTTTCTGCAAATTGTAAGCAGCTTTCATTTCAACCAAATTATGTGGAGTTATAAACATTTTTCATGTTGGCTTTCATGGCAGTATCTGATTCTGTGAAAATATTCAAGGTACTTACATTTTTGCATATCTGTGAGACTACTATGGACATAGTTTATTTGAATTTGAACAATGTTTTCACAATATTTCCACAAAAATATAACTCTAACCAAGCACAGGTAAAAACAATTGCCAATCATAAACAAGTGAATTTTCATTGCCTACTTGTTTGAATCTAAACTCTTCTTCTATTTTTGGTTTCTTGCAAATTAAATTATCTTTGTTCATCATTATCAGAACTACTAATTTTTCTGTTCCATGCATAAAAAAATATACCAAAAAGGACTTCTGAAAGGTGAATCAAATTATAATCATTTATAATTTCTTCATAGTGAAAGAAAATTTGTGTTGACCTTTTGGAAATCTGCTAAAGTCTAAATTTCTTAGTGTTCCATGAACAAGAGTTGCAATTTTTCAGCATTAATTTAAAATATAGACTTGAGTACAAAACATATGATGAATGCATGATTGGATAATATAAGAAGGCTATAAGGAGAAAGTGAGGAGTAAGTATTAGATGATATGATTCATTACTCTCATTAGTCATTGCACCTGATGAGAGATTGTTAATTAATTCCTGTTATTCCATATAATATTATTTGTTCTGATTACTTCAACTTGGCTGTATAATCATTACCATTTTTTTGTTTAAAACTTTTGGGTTCTTAATCATCATCTGATGACGTTGTGGGTGACTAATCATAACTCCAAGAACCTTTGAAAATTGAATGAACTTACTACAAAATAATAACATATAGATGAACTGCATATTCTATAGTAGGTAGCAATTTGGGTAGATGCATTTTTTATGGACTGGTAGGTGCATTGAGATTGCATGTGAAACAATCTCTTACAATCTCCAGTAGAGCTAGTTTATGTCATTTCCATCAGAATGCTGTCATAATATCAGACTTTGATTGAACTGTTCAAAATTATTAGTGGCAATACTACCTTTTTCTTGTTAAAGTTGTAAAAATGATGTTAAGCACCAATGGAACTTCTCATTACCAGAAAAAAACACTAGGTAATGTATTGAAAATTAACTAAGGCAGAAACTGAATATGAAAAATAGCTCATGCTGCTAATAGTGACCTTAAAATGGCAAACAACTTACAACTTCTTGTTATATTTTGAAAAGGCTGGCACACAATGATAATTTCCAGTGCTACACTTTGCATTAATTATTACAGAAGTTGAAAAAATTAAACAAGACCCAGAACCATTACCCCAAATTCCTAAATTCGAGGTTCCCCCAGTTAAAGAGGAGAACAGCACTGACGATGATGAAGATAAGTTAGTAATCAAGGACGAATCTATGAGCCAAGAAGAGGCAGACAATGATCAGGTACATGAAATTGTTTCATTCATTCCAAATTTATCATTTTCTCATTCTCAAATTTTCCCTACAGAATGTATCAGCTACCAGCAGCTGTGACTACAATCTTTCACAGTTCAAAAAAGATGAATCTCAGTTTGAACAATCAGAAGAGGAAGAGAAATCACAGGACCCCATCAAAACTGAGCCTCAAGATGAAGAAAGTGAAGAAGATGTACCATTGGTGAGAAAAATTAGTAGGATTTTTGCAAAAACTTGTGATATTCCTTCTTTTTTCAGGCTGCTCGTGCTAGCAACACCAAAAGAAAAATAGAATCCGATGATGAAGAAGATATTCCACTGAGCGCCAGGAAAAAACCCAAATTAGAGAAACCGGAAAAAAAGAAAAAGAAGAAGAAGCGCGACTTGGATGAAGAAGAAGAGGAGTATAATGACTACAAACCAGAAAAGAAAATCAAGAAGGAAAAGCACATAAAGAAGGAGCCTGTGAAAGAAAGCCCTAAGAAAGGAGGAAAGAAAAAGAAGGAAGAAGAGGAACCAGAAGTCTGGAAATGGTGAGTGAATATTCAAAAATGTTCATTATTTTTTTTATTGGTAGTGTTTGGAAAATAATTGAAACCACTAGCATATTTTACTCATTTCAAATTTTGTGCTCAAGTTTGGTAACTTTTTGTATTGAAAGGTTGGCGACCCCGTGGTGTGACGTAATCAAAATGGCCGCCTAACCCTAGATAATGTGGCAATTTATTTAGTTTTAGTTTATCAATATTCTTGTACATTTGTTATGAACAGAGCTCTAATAATCAACCTCAGAAGCTCAATTTTTAAACAGAGTTCAAGTTCAATTTATTCTCCACGATTTTTAACCAACAAAGGCGTATTTTTCAAGGTTAGGTTGAAAAGAGATGAGGATCACAAATTTGTGCAAAATACTAAAAAGCTTTATGAAAATGATAGTTTTAGGTATGGTTTGGAAGAATTGAGACAAACTAATGCTATTTTGGAAAGGTATTGTATTATATAATTCATTACCTTATGATTTGAAACATATTGATGATGAAACAAGATTCAGAGTCAATATGAAAAAATATATACTCATGACACTATATAAACGGAGCAATTTATTCTCATTTGAATACTTGGAATGATTTAATTTTAATTATTATGTTATATTGACATATCTTGTTGATTATTTTTTTATTGTTATACAGGGTGGGCCACCAGTAACGCCTCGGTCTCTAGAAGGCTAACCACTCATCTTGGAATTCTTCCTCTCTAGGAAGTTGCATGTCAACATAGGCTACCATTTGAAATTATTTCGAAACATACAGTGTGTCCCCAAAAACCATAAAACACTGAAGTTAAACTTTTTTCTATCGAACACCCTATATATTATTTCATTTTGAGATTCTCCCTGATGAGCTGATTTCAACGACCCATCATACTTGGGGTCTAGCAGTTATAATTACTGAAATATAGGGTGTGAAAAATCGAGATTTTCCAAGTTCAAGAATTTTTTTTGTCGAAACTATTCATAATTGGTCAAAACGGCTTACATGTCCCTATCTCAACTTTTGATTAACTATCTACTGATATTTAATTGGGACATATACCGGGTGATCAAGATTCTGAATTCTGCACCACCCTGTATTTGTTTCAATTAAATATCAGTAGATAGTTGATCAAAAGTTGAGATAGGGACATGTGAGCCGTTTTGACCAATTATGAATGGTTTAGACACAAAAAATTCTTGAACTTGGAAAATCTCGATTTCTCACACCCTATATCTCAGTAATTATAACTGCTAGACCCCAAGTATAATGGATTGTTGAAATCAGCTCACCAGGGAGAATCTCAAAATGAAATAATATATTGGGTGTTCGATTGAAGAAAGTTCAACTTCAGTGTTTTGTGATTTTTGGGGACATCCTGTATGTTTCAAAATAATTTCAAATGGTAGCCTATGTTGACATGCAACTTCCTAGAGAGGAAGAATTCCAAGAAGATAAGTGGTTAGCCTTCTAGAGACCGAGGCGTTACTGGTGGCCCACCCTGTATATATCATATGTTTATGTATCCCTATTATAAACAAATATGTTTCTTGGGGTAATAATTGATAAACAAAACCTTGAACTGTCAAAATTTGACGAGTGGTTGTAACTTTTCATCTCTAAAAGCATAGCCGCCTTTTCCATTTTCGGTAATTGTATTGAATATTCGGAAAAAGAAACTGTGAATTTTAGTCATTGAAACATTTGAAAATCGAAATTTGTGATAGCTCATAGTTTTTGGGCTATCCGAAGGTAACAAAAAATGAAATAAAAAATCCAGGTCCGTATTTAAAAAAAGTAAGTTGATGATGGTTTCTGGAAGACGAAACGTCAGATTTGAAATTTGAAAACGCCATGTTGTAGGGAAGAAAAAGTGGCCTTGATGAAGTGTTATTCATATTGATTAATTTCTTCAAATAACGCCAGAAAAAAATAAAAACGATTTTATGGAATTTCGATTTTTTTCGGATATCTCCGAAAGTATTCGGAATTTTCCAAGTTTCAGAACGGCATTTTGTTAGGCATGAAATTGCGCAACTTTGCCATGATTTAACATTATAGGGATTCCCTTTCGTGCGCTCCAAGCGAAGAAAAAAATTGCACCTCATTTAACCAACTTCTCTTGATAGAAATATGGCATTTCGTTTTTCCAAGACCTTTTTTTGCAACTTTTTCCCAGGTGGGAGGAAGAAAAAAAAGAGGACGGGGTCAAGTGGACCTTCCTGGAGCACAAGGGCCCCGTTTTCGCGCCCCCCTACGAGCCTATTCCGACAAGCGTCAAGTTCTACTATGACGGCAAAGAATTGCTGCTGTCAGAACAGGCAGAGGAGGTGGCAGGTTTCTATGCCAAAATGTTGGACCATGACTACACCACCAAAGAGGTGTTCAACAAGAACTTCTTCAAAGACTGGCGCAAGGTAAGGGAAAAACAAGTTTTTCTGCAACCGACGCAAAAGTCGTCCATTTTGATACCAAAATTAGCTCTTATATTGACGTTTCTATTACACAAAAATAGGTATGTTGTTAGGCAACTTATTTAGTTCCTAGGAGCTAAAGTTGAATTTTAGTTCCTAGGAGCTAAAGTTGAACTTTAGCTCCTAGGAACTAAAAAGGATGTACTGGATGTCATCAAGAATAAACAACATTGTGACGGTTGGTTATTTGGGTTGAGACGCATACCTGATTTGTTTCCGATTTCAGCAAATTTGGCATTTCATACCCATGCTGGTGATATAAATACACCTTATTATAGTTTAGTATTGGAATTATAAACATCTCAGTTAAGTATTTTTGTTTTGATCAGGGACGCCTTCAAGATTTAAATACTTGCTTGATCTGTATTTCATTCATTATTCTCGGGATGGATAACTTGCTTTTGAATAATCACGGCAAGCAATAGTTTTTTTGTCTCAAACAACGATATTGTTTAGCTTCATTTGATTATCAAGTCAAACACAGTGTAGTATGGAGAGGAATAAAAATAATCACTATTATCATTGTTGATATGCTCACTAACCTAACATTTTCCACGTCTTGTTCCTATAGCTGGCACTGGCGCGGTATTCGCCATGAGAGCACCTGGTCCATACACAAATATGTCACTCTGTAGTTGTATTTATTTTGAAACTACAATTCGAACATCTTTGAAAATTGAATAAACCTGCTGTTAATGCAGGTAGAATATTCTCACCACATGGAGTATTTGTCAATATTGTTGCATTGCATACATATGGCACGGCATTGGTGGTTACTTCACATGTTTATTTGAGTTAATTGTTTCGGTTGCAGAAAAAATAGCATGTTTCATTCGGATCAAAAGTGACTTTGTTCGACTCGCAAATTTTGCTTTCGCTCGGCTTCGCTAAACGCTCCGCCTCGCAAATGCAAAATTCGCTTGTCAAACAAAGTGTCACGTTTGATCCTAATAAAACAATCTACTATTTTTTTGATTGCTTGATTGTTTTTATACTGTATTCCAGGTGATGACAGAAAAAGAAAGAGCTCTAATTGTTGATTTGAAAAAGTGTAATTTCAAGAAAATGCAGGCCTATTTTCTGGATCTGTCTGAGAAGAACAAGAGCAAAAGCAAGGAGGAAAAGCTTGCACTCAAAGCAAAGAACGAGGAAATGGTGAAAGAATACGGGTTCTGTAAGATTGATGGACATACAGAGAAAATCGGGAATTTCAGAATTGAACCTCCTGGTTTGTTCAGAGGTAATAAAAAAATCGGTTTTCTATGAGTATTTCATATTTATTAGTTGATTGTTCAGTATCCTCAAATTAAATGAACTATTCATCATTTTTCAGGGTAAGCTAAATTAAACACTTGAAGGAATATTTGAACTAAATAACTGTCCTAACCTAACCACATCTATATATTTCTCCATTTCACATTGTATATTTCAAAACTATTTCCATGAAAATATCTTCAAAGCATTGATTTTGTCATAAAAATCTATCCTCAGGTACATGAATCAGTCTCATTCTCTTTTTTAAATTATACTTTTCCATCTAATGTGTTCAAAGTCAGCCCATCCTGTATATTGAAATGGGCCTGTGGATTGATTTTCTTTCATTGTTAACATAACTACTGACGTCACAAATTGTCTGACTATTACTGATAACTCAGAATTGCAAAAAATTCATTATTTTTCTCTATTTGCCAGAAATATTTGTTTTCTACATTTACAGTAGAAAAATTTCCTCGGGAACATACAGGGTTCCGCCGATTGCATAAGGATAGTATTGCTATTCCCTAAACAGTAGGAAAGTTGGTAAAATTAAACGAAAGTTGTGTAATTTGAATCTTCTATGCAACATTTTGAAATTTTAGGAAATTTCAACCTTTCCTGAGATATAAAAATGCTGAATATCACTGATTTCGTTTTTATTCATTTTCTCGGTCAATATTAGAGGAACAAATTTGAACCTTCGTGTAAACAGGTGATTAATCATGACAAAAAAGTTGGAATTGTCAGAAATAGTATTTTTTCATTAGTTATTATCCACATTATTACACGAAACAGCGGCAAAAAACAGTAAAAAAAAATGTTTTTCTGGTTATCACTCCTTACAATTGAACTGCCCTACATTTTCTACAATCTAAACATATGCTGATGCCCTGAGATTCCATCCAGAGAAGAACCATTGGTTGGAGGGTGATGCCACACTCACTACTCCTTTGACCTCCTTAGAACACCGTAGAAAACTCCGCGACCTTTCACTTTTCTATAGATATTTCCACGGGAAATGTTCTTCAGAAATCTCTGCTATAATTCCATCACTAACAATACCAGTCAGACAAACTCGACAGGCCCATTCAGCACATCCTTTCGTTGTTAACCTTGAAAAACTCGTCCGTCTATTGAACGGGAGAAGATTGGAATTATTTCATCGTCTTTATTATTTGCCAAGATAATGTCCAAAACTTATCCCAAATATAGCAAATACCGTTCTATACTCTCACATCCTTAGTAAAATGAACTATCTCATAAATATTTGGGGATCATGTTCAAACCTGAATCAAACCTGAGTGAATGAATTTATTTATTTATTTATTTAATGAAAATGGGATACAAACAGGCAGAAGCCCAACACTGCATCCACTAGTTACACTGAATACTCGGATGCCTACATTTTACAAAGTTAATACATATCACAATAATATTGAATATTCAGTACCTGAAGATAAAACAAAAATAAACTCCGAATTTATGGTTTTTAATAAGTGCCCTGAACTGATTCAATGATGTACAATGTATATTCACGTTGCTGCAATATTTATTAAAATTATCACTCATTCTACTTATTGGCGAGTTCAGTCCCAAATTGGTATGACAAAAATTGACATTCAAAAAATATTTTAAGTCTTGTGGGTCTAGACTGTACATGGAATGATATGAGAGATAACAACAAAGAAGAGCTAAAATGATTCCTCATTATTTTATGGATGAATAATAAATCAGACATAATTATAATTCTACGTTGCTCCAAGGTTACAAGTCCAAAAGAACGTCTGGTTTGGTTGATACTCTCTACAACAAATGAATTGTTCACTCTTAAAGTTCAGAAATCTCACAAAATTATTTTGAACTCTCTTCAATCGGACTTTGTGGTTGGTATAAAGGACTCCAAATTACACTTGCAAAACATAATCTGCTATATACGTAGGCATAATATAATGTTTTGATTGAATTTTGAGACCGAAAATATTTACAAGTTCTTTTAATAAAATCATATCATGATGTACTTTTCATGAGCTTTTCGTTTTGTTTATTTCAATAATTATAATTTCATTCAATAACCCATGAATAATCTCATATCAGATATGAATCTGTCTGATTATTCATGTTATTTCATTGTAAATGAGATGCATATATTAATGTTTATAGCAAAGAATGAAATAAATATTATTATTATTAACTTATAACCTGCCAAAGTTGAAAAAAAATACCGAATACCTTCTCTACCTACCTAGGAATTTCTTTTCGTTTTTCTAGGTAGAGGAGAGCACCCGAAGATGGGCAAACTGAAGCGGCGCGTCGAAGCCGAGGACATCATCATCAATTGCAGCAAGGACTCGAACATACCGAAAGCGCCGCCCGGCCACAAGTGGAAGGAGGTGCGGCACGTGAACACGGTCACGTGGCTCGCCTCGTGGACGGAGAACGTCCAGAACCAGGTCAAGTACATCATGTTGAATCCGAGCTCTAAGCTCAAGGGGGAGAAGGATTGGCAGAAGTACGAGACGGCGAGAAGGTAAAGAAAAAACAAGAATGATTTGCTTTTCTTAACGGAGAAGATTTTTTTTAAGGACGTTATCGAACTTTCAGAAGACTTATTTGGGATTCTCAAGATGGGAACTTGAGTATTTTCGAGGACTTCCGGTGTTTGAAATACTTATTGGGAACTTGAGACACTTGAACTCTTCAATAATCTAATTTTTGATATGTTTATAGACTTACTCGAGCGTTTTAAAGGACTTTTTTAATGATCTAAGAAGACTGCTCAATATTTTTGAAGAACTCATCAGAGGATAGATCTTCTCAAAGTCAAAGAACTTTATCAAACTTAAAAGAACTTATTTTTAAGACAGATACTGCTCAAACTTCTAAGAAGACCTACTCAAGATTTTTTGAAAAACTCATTAGAGGATAGATTTTTTCAATCTTTTTAAAAGACCTACTGGAGGAACATTTTGAAGGACTTTCTCAAATTTTCATTTTTGAAGAACTCATTAAAGGATATAAGTCAAAGAACATTACCAAACTTTTCAAGAAGACTTATTTGGGCTTCTCAAGATGGAAACTTGAACATTTTCGAGGACTTTAGATGTTTGAAATACTTATTGGGAACTTGAGACACCTGAGCTCTTCAATAATCTCATTTTTGATATGTTTATGAGACTTACTCAAGCGTTTTAAAGGACTTTTTTAATGGTCTAAGAAGACTGCTCAATATTTTTGAAGAACTCATTAGAGAACAGATCTTCTCAAAGTCAAAGGACGTTATCAAACGTTTTAAAAAACTTATTTTGGTTTTTCAAGACGGATATTTCTCAATCTTCTAGAAAGACCTACTCAAGATTTTTGAAAAACTCATTAGAGAATAGATTTTTTCAATCTCTTTTAAAGACCTACTGGAGGAACATTTTGAAGGACTTTCTCAAATTTTCATTTTTGAAGAACTCATTGAAGAATATAAGTCCAAGAACATTATCAAACTTTTTAAGAATACTTATTTAGGCTTCTCAAGATGGAAACTTGAACATTTTCGAGGACTTTAGATGTTTGAAATACTTATTGGGAACTTGAGACACCTGAGCTCTTCAATAATCTCATTTTTGATATGTTTATAAGACTTACTCGAGCGTTTTAAAGGACTTTTTTGATGGTCTAAGAAGACTACTCAATATTTTTGAAGAACTCATTAGAGAACAGATCTTCTAAAAGTCAAAGGACGTTATCAAACGTTTTAAAAAACTTATTTTGGTTTTTCAAGACGGATATTTCTCAATCTTCTAGAAAGACCTACTCAAGATTTTTGAAAAACTCATTAGAGAATAGATTTTTTCAATCTCTTTTAAAGACCTACTGGAGGAAAATTTTGAAGGACTTTCTCAAATTTTCATTTTTGAAGAACTCATTAAAGGATATAAGTCCAAGAACATCACCAAACTTTTTAAGAAGACTTATTTGGGCTTCTCAAGATGGAAACTTGAACATTTTCGAAGACTTTAGATGTTTGAAATACTTATTGGGCACTTGAGACGCCTGATCTCTTCAATAATCTCATTTTTGATATGTTTATAAGACTTACTCGAGCGTTTTAAAGGACTTTTTTGATGGTCTAAGAAGACTACTCAATATTTTTGAAGAACTCATTAGAGAACAGATCTTCTAAAAGTCAAAGGACGTTATCAAACGTTTTAAAAAACTTATTTTGGTTTTTCAAGACGGATATTTCTCAATCTTCTAGAAAGACCTACTCAAGATTTTTGAAAAACTCATTAGAGAATAGATTTTTTAAATCTCTTTTAAAGACCTACTGGAGGAACATTTTGAAGGACTTTCTCAAATTTTCATTTTTGAAGAACTCATTAAAGGATATAAGTCCAAGAACATTACCAAACTTTTTAAGAAGACTTATTTGGGCTTCTCAAGATGGAAACTTGAACATTTTCGAGGACTTTAGATGTTTGAAATACTTATTGGGAACTTGAGACACCTGAGCTCTTCAATAATCTCATTTTTGATATGTTTATAAGACTTACTCGAGCGTTTTAAAGGACTTTTTTAATGGTCTAAGAAGACTGCTCAATATTTTTGAAGAACTCATTAGAGTATAGATCTTCTCAAAGTCAAAGGACGTTATCAAACTTTTTAAAGAACTTATTTTGGTTTTTCATGACGGATACTTCTGAAACTTCTAAGAAGACCTACTCAAGATTTTTGAAAAACTCAGAAGATATATTTTTTAAATCTTTTTGAAAGACCTACTAGAGGAACATTTTGAAGGACTTTCTCAAATTTTCATTTTTGAAGAACTCATTAAAGGATATAAGTCCAAGAACATTACCAAACTTTTTAAGAAGACTTATTTGGGCTTCTCAAGATGGAAACTTGAACATTTTCGAGGACTTTAGATGTTTGAAATACTTATTGGGAACTTGAGACACCTGAGCTCTTCAATAATCTCATTTTTGATATGTTTATAAGACTTACTCGAGCGTTTTAAAAGACTTTTTTAATGGTCTAAGAAGACTACTCAATGTTTTTGAAGAACTCATTAGAGTATAGATCTTCTCAAAGTCAAAGGACGTTATCAAACTTTTTAAAGAACTTATTTTGGTTTTTCATGACGGATACTTCTGAAACTTCTAAGAAGACCTACTCAAGATTTTTGAAAAACTCATTAGAAGATATATTTTTTAAATCTTTTTGAAAGACCTACTAGAGGAACATTTTGAAGGACTTTCTCAAATTTTCATTTTTGAAGAACTCATTAAAGGATATAAGTCCAAGAACATTACCAAACTTTTTAAGAAGACTTATTTGGGCTTCTCAAGATGGAAACTTGAACATTTTCGAGGACTTTAGATGTTTGAAATACTTATTGGGAACTTGAGACACCTGAGCTCTTCAATAATCTCATTTTTGATATGTTTATAAGACTTACTCGAGCGTTTTAAAAGACTTTTTTAATGGTCTAAGAAGACTACTCAATGTTTTTGAAGAACTCATTAGAGTATAGATCTTCTCAAAGTCAAAGGACGTTATCAAACTTTTTAAAGAACTTATTTTGGTTTTTCATGACGGATACTTCTGAAACTTCTAAGAAGACCTACTCAAGATTTTTGAAAAACTCATTAGAAGATATATTTTTTAAATCTTTTTGAAAGACCTACTAGAGGAACATTTTGAAGGACTTTCTCAAATTTTCATTTTTGAAGAACTCATTAAAGGATATAAGTCCAAGAACATCACCAAACTTTTTAAGAAGACTTATTTGGGCTTCTCAAGATGGAAACTTGAACATTTTCGAAGACTTTAGATGTTTGAAATACTTATTGGGCACTTGAGACGCCTGATCTCTTCAATAATCTCATTTTTGATATGTTTATAAGACTTACTCGAGCGTTTTAAAGGACTTTTTTGATGGTCTAAGAAGACTACTCAATATTTTTGAAGAACTCATTAGAGAACAGATCTTCTAAAAGTCAAAGGACGTTATCAAACGTTTTAAAAAACTTATTTTGGTTTTTCAAGACGGATATTTCTCAATCTTCTAGAAAGACCTACTCAAGATTTTTGAAAAACTCATTAGAGAATAGATTTTTTAAATCTCTTTTAAAGACCTACTGGAGGAACATTTTGAAGGACTTTCTCAAATTTTCATTTTTGAAGAACTCATTAAAGGATATAAGTCCAAGAACATTACCAAACTTTTTAAGAAGACTTATTTGGGCTTCTCAAGATGGAAACTTGAACATTTTCGAGGACTTTAGATGTTTGAAATACTTATTGGGAACTTGAGACACCTGAGCTCTTCAATAATCTCATTTTTGATATGTTTATAAGACTTACTCGAGCGTTTTAAAGGACTTTTTTAATGGTCTAAGAAGACTGCTCAATATTTTTGAAGAACTCATTAGAGTATAGATCTTCTCAAAGTCAAAGGACGTTATCAAACTTTTTAAAGAACTTATTTTGGTTTTTCATGACGGATACTTCTGAAACTTCTAAGAAGACCTACTCAAGATTTTTGAAAAACTCATTAGAAGATATATTTTTTAAATCTTTCTGAAAGACCTACTAGAGGAACATTTTGAAGGACTTTCTCAAATTTTCATTTTTGAAGAACTCATTAAAGGATATAAGTCCGAGAACATTACCAAACTTTTTAAGAAGACTTATTTGGGCTTCTCAAGATGGAAACTTGAACATTTTCGAGGACTTTAGATGTTTGAAATACTTATTGGGAACTTGAGACACCTGAGCTCTTCAATAATCTCATTTTTGATATGTTTATAAGACTTACTCGAGCGTTTTAAAGGACTTTTTTAATGGTCTAAGAAGACTGCTCAATATTTTTGAAGAACTCATTAGAGTATAGATCTTCTCAAAGTCAAAGGACGTTATCAAACTTTTTAAAGAACTTATTTTGGTTTTTCATGACGGATACTTCTGAAACTTCTAAGAAGACCTACTCAAGATTTTTGAAAAACTCATTAGAAGATATATTTTTTAAATCTTTTTGAAAGACCTACTAGAGGAACATTTTGAAGGACTTTCTCAAATTTTCATTTTTGAAGAACTCATTAAAGGATATAAGTCCAAGAACATTACCAAACTTTTTAAGAAGACTTATTTGGGCTTCTCAAGATGGAAACTTGAACATTTTCGAGGACTTTAGATGTTTGAAATACTTATTGGGAACTTGAGACACCTGAGCTCTTCAATAATCTCATTTTTGATATGTTTATAAGACTTACTCGAGCGTTTTAAAGGACTTTTTTAATGGTCTAAGAAGACTACTCAATATTTTTGAAGAACTCATTAGAGGATAGATCTTCTCAAAGTCAAAGGACGTTATCAAACTTTTTAAAGAACTTATTTTGGTTTTTCATGACGGATACTTCTCAAACTTCTAAGAAGACCTACTCAAGATTTTTGAAAAACTCATTAGAGGATAGATTTTTTCAATCTTTTTAAAAGACCTACTGGAAGAACATTTTGAAGGACTTTCTCAAATTTTTATTTTTGAAGATCTCAGAGGATATAAGTCAAAGAACATAACCAAACTTTAAAGAAGACTTCTCTGGATTTCTCAAGTCGGATACTTCTCAAACTTTTAAGAAGACCTACTCAAGATTTTTGAAGAACTCATTAGAGAATAGATTCTTTTGAAGTCTTCTATAGGACATTATCAAAATCTTTTTTAGAACACTCATTTGGGATCCTCACAGGCGGATACTTCAAAGCTTTCTCAATGGCTGTTTTGTTTAAAAAACTTATTGTGATTTTAAGATTCCTAGCCACCTGAGCTTTTCAAAGATGTCATTTTGACATGCTTGTTTTCTCAAGATTTTTGAAGAACTGATTAGAGATGACTGAGTGTTTCAAATAACTTACTCTTTTTGAAAGGCTTACTTGTCTACTCACTACAATACTTCAACTTTTTGAAATACTTGAAAGGTTTAGAAGATTATCTTGAAGTTGTTTTGTACACTCAGTTGCCTTTTAAAAGGCATCATCCTATTTTTTAGAAGACTTCAAGCAGCACTCAACCTGATGGCACTATCGGACTTCTCAGCTGTTCAAAACACTCTTGAGCTTTTGAGAAAAATTTTATGAGTTGTACAAAGGACTCAAACTCACCCATTTGGATTTTCTGAATATCTAACTTAGGGGACTTGACTTATTTTCTTGGTGTTAAGAAGACTTTCTTGGACACTTGAACTGTTTTGAAAGACTTGAGCTATTAAGGAGGATTTCTTAGGGATTTGAGCTGTTCAGAAGACCTGCTTTTAAGAAATATGAGATTTTCCAAGGACCTTTAGAGCTCTTGTTCAAAACACTCTTAAGCTTTCAAGAAGACTTATATGACTTTCAAAACGGACCCATTTGAATTTTTCTGGATGTCTTATTCATGAGCTTTCTAGAAGACTATTGGAGGCTGGAAAGGATCACTTGAGGCTTTATTCTTGCCTCTTGAAGAACCAGGTAGGGCGATGAAATTAGCGTTTCCACTCATTTTTCCAGGTTGCACAAGTCCATCAACAAGATCCGCTCGGAGTACCAGCAAGACTGGAAGTCCAAAGAGATGAAAATCAGGCAGCGAGCCGTGGCCCTGTACTTCATCGACAAACTGGCCCTCAGGGCTGGTAACGAGAAGGACGAAGACCAAGCCGACACGGTCGGTTGCTGTTCCCTTCGCGTGGAACACATCCAACTTCTCGAGAAGAAAGACGACAAGGAATACGTGGTTGTTTTCGACTTTCTCGGTAAAGATTCCATCAGGTACTACAACGAGGTGCCGGTGGAGAAGCGAGTGTTCAAGAATCTGCAGCTGTTTATGGAGAACAAGAAGGAGGGCGACGATCTGTTCGATCGGCTCAATACTACCATCATGAACAAGCACTTGAACGAGCTGATGGAAGGTAATAATTTAGACTAAATAATAAAAGAAAAGCACCGCGATTCATTCATAAATAATTGAAAAATGTATGTCGACAATCCTAAACGTCAAACACGGATTGATGAATTGAATCGCTAATGGTGGGGATAATAGCGTGATTCATTCATAAATCATTAAGGAGTATATGCAAACAATCCTAAACGCAAAACACGGATAAATGAATGGAATGGTGTATGGTGGGGATACCATTGTGCTAGAGAATTGATATTCTTCATAGATATATTTCATATATCTAATAAATCGGGATTTATATAAATGTGTGTATGTGCATACATAAAAAATGAACTCTCATGTTACATTTATACATCATTTTGTAATGTCTAATTGGGATATTCATAATTTCATAAACACGCTTTTTATTACTGAAACACCGAATCCTGATCACATGACAGCCGAAAATTCATTTATAACAACAAAACGTTAAATGACATTTAAAACTACGAAAATTGCTCGTTCACTACGAAAATTTGCCGCCATGTTCAACTTTTAATAATGAATATTTTTTATTTTATGTACCTTATGATAAATAATAGGTTTATGATTGTTAGTGTATTTCTGACAATTATGCTGTTATGGGCGTATTATCATGTTATAAAGGTACTTATGCAGAGATGTATAAGATGTTTTAACCGAAAAATCCTCTAGAATTATCGATTTTGTAGCGATTCTACAGAGTTTCTTAAAATGTGATGTCACAAGTTTGTTATTGCATCAATTGAGAAAATTATTCTAACAAGAATGCTTCTGACAGTTTTCTCTCTGACAGCAATCTGCACCCTTCGTTTATATGTCCAATTCGCGGTCACGTGACTAAAAAATCACTGGCATCTCTGATGGAATTGCCGAATTGAGCTTGTGTAGAGGTGTTCCCAGATGATCATGTTTTGGAGTCCATATCAAACTTTATTCCATTATCATATATCATATAAACCTTCAAGTACAGTTCACTATCTATTGAAACTCAAACATATTGGTCCTTCGAGCCGGATCTATTCAAATCAAACTCAAAACTGCCAAGTTCTTTACAAAGGATATAGAGCAGCACTCAAGACTATACCTGGAGTAGTTGGATCTTTCACAGGTAGCAACAAGCGAATGAAAACGCTTCTGACAGCAAATCCTTGGCATCCCGTATGGGATTGCCGAATTTGGCTCGTGTAGACGTGTTCTAGATGACATTTTCATGTTTTCCTTCAAGGTTTAACGGCCAAGGTGTTCCGTACGTACAACGCTTCGTGGACGCTGCAACAACAGCTAGATTTGTTGACCAACGAAGACGACAATTTGGCGGAGAAAGTTTTGAGCTACAACAGGGCGAATAGAGCGGTGGCTATACTTTGTAACCATCAAAGGTCGGTGCCCAAGGGGCACGAAAAGTCGATGGAGAAGCTCAAGGAGAAGATCGACGCCAAGCGGGATTCCATCAAGGACGCCGAGCGACAGGTAATGTATATATATTGAAAGGAAGAGTTTACATGTTCGCTGATGACATTACATTGATTTATTCCGCGTACTAAATCCAACAAATCAGGAATGCAATTGAAAGTGACTTGATTATTTTATCTTCATGGTTGTCCTATAATAAATTGAGTATAAATTACAGCAAATCAGCATTCATGTTTATCTCTAAACGACGCCTCTCAAGTGAACTGAAATTTGATATCAAATTTAATAATGAAATCATCAAGTATTCTACAGCCATCAAATTCCTTGGGATATTCCTTGATGAACATTGTCATGGTTCAAACATATTGAATCGATCAGAAAGAAAATATCTCCAGTGATCGGAGTACTCTACAGGATCAGACACCAATTCACTTTGAAATACTTGAAATGTATATATTTTTCCTTGGTTTATTCAAGATTACAATACTTGATTTCAGTTCAGATATTTACTCCATTTACAAATTCAAAATTTTAAATTTCATCCATTCCGTCAAATATAATTATAAACATTCAAATCTGAATTTTGAAGTCAATAGTCATAAACACAAACACATAACCAGACAATAAGATATGTTAACTCTCATCAAAATTAAATCAGATATGGGTAAAAGATCTCTATTTTTTACAAAGGAACAATTCTCTATAATGAATTACCTGCCAGACTGAAGAAAAAATTAAGTGTTGAGAAATTCAAAAAAGAACTGAAAAAATACTTATGTCTTTGATTCTCTTATATCATCCTAAATCAATTCAAGAACTTATATTCAACAGTCTCTAGAAGAAACAACATTATATGTACTATGTATATGATTTAAAAATGATTATCTGATTATCTACTGATCAAAGCTGGCACACTTTCAACAGTCAATACTACATGAATAATCTTATATAACTCACAACAGAAAAATTCTGTAAGGGGATTCTTTCTTTTATCGTAAAAATTGAAAATGTGTACGAGGTAACCTTCACAAACTCGATTTTCAGGTGAAAGACGCCGTCAGAGACGCGAAACACGGCAGCGTCAAAGAAAAATTGATCGCCGACAAAAAGAAGAAAATGTTGCAGCGGCTCAAAGAGCAGCTGGTGAAGCTCGAAATCCAAGAAACCGATCGCGACGAGAACAAAACCATCGCTTTGGGCACCTCGAAGCTGAACTATCTCGATCCGCGGATTTCTGTGGCTTGGTGCAAAAAGTACGACGTGCCGATCGAGAAGATCTACAACAAGACGCAACGCGACAAGTTCCGGTGGGCCATCGATATGGCGGGGCCAGACTATCGGTTCTGAGTCTCCTGGCTTTCTGAGGCATCACAAACACATCAACGGTTCGGGGTTTGGCTGGTAGGCCAGCGCGAGATTGTACAGGTATCGGCGTCGGGCTAGGGGGTTTCTGATTGAAATCCACAGATTTCTGATCTATTCATGGACTTTTGATGAAAAATTATATTTTACATGCTTAAAATAATTATGATGGCGATTGCGTTATGATTGTTTTCGGAATTCGTCGTATCGGTCGTATTTATCCCACACCTGACACCATTTTTTCTAAGAGGTTCTATCGCCATTGCGATCATCAATTCATCATAATAAGTATGAACATTGACAGAAAATTCAAGGATATTCAAGATTTTCGATATGGAGTAGTATGAACATAATGAACATTCAGTGTACACAGAGAAGTGTACAAAAAACGGCCAATGCTGTGATTCCTGAATCATTCGAGATCGGATTCTGCAATTTGGTAGGTAGCAAATACATTATAATAACATGTTCATTTTTAAATTTTGTAAGGGTTGTGTCTTGTCTCACACCTGATACCATTGTGATCATCAACAATTCATCACAAATAAACACATTGGCAGAAATTTCGAGGATATTGAATGTTTTCGTTTTATTACCCGTGTTTCTATTTTTTTTAGTATAGTTGAAAAGATTCATCCTCTGAAAAAAACTTGAAATTTTTTGTATCCCACACCTGACACCATTTCTGCAGAATGGTCCCTCTGCTGTTGTGTGGCATTTTTTCTTGAAAATTTTTGCATGAGATAAATCATCCTACAAAAATTTTGTAATTTTTTATTCGGGTCATTTGAACAACCGGTTCCAAATTCCTAATAGTATCAGATCTCTGTGGGGTTTCAAATTAAAAAAAAAATCGCAATATATTTTAGCAACATAAAATAGTGATTTGCATTGTTTAAAAAGGTTCTTTTCAGCATGTGGCTTACCAGACGAATTTTGCAATCAGAAAATCTAGATCCCTATTTTAAGTCTAAATTAAATCAATTATTTAGTGATGTTTCAAATTTTATTTTAGTGAATGATTTATGTATGTGCGATAGATATTTAATATCTCTGTACAAATAATTACTGAAAAGTGAATTAAATTGAGGACTACTGCATTTTCTTCAATTTTGGACCGACCACGAGCAAAAACTAAAGCAATTCTTAAAAAAATATATCTTGTGATGATTCAGAGTTGAATTTGATGTAGTTTCGGAACTTCCAGTAATTTCCCAATTTTGATTGTAATGAGTATTTTTTATTTATGAAAGTTGGGGTGTGTTAGTTTGGTAATATCATTTTATGTCCCGATGACCAATGTTCAGTTGTTCACACTGTTGTCATGACAGAAATGTAGTATTCGGTCTGTATATTACAGATTTTATTTAATAAAAAGAATGTCAAAAGGCCTAACTTTTTTTTCAATGTTCATCCATTGTTGTTGAAAACGAAAATCCAGGGTGAATCTCTCTTTCCACCCAAAGTTCTACACTTGCAATTCTGACCTCACATCTGTACAAATTTCAGGCGTATTTGTCTTTTTTTTCGATTTTTATTCAATTTTCAAGCTCAAATTTCTTGTTTATTAGTCTGATATTATATTAAAATATTCGTTAAGCAATATTTCATTGATTTGCTGAATACTCAGATCAACAAAGGGTCTTTTGTTGATCTGAGGCTGAATATATCAACTCATTTCAACACCTCGTATAGATAGGAACATGAACGAATATATCTTTAAATTTCTGTTCATTACACCCCGTATACCTACTATCCATATCGGAATTAGTCGTACTTGTCGTACTCGTTCGGGAATAGATATCGGTTGAAAGAATGACGTAACTGATTAGTCATTCGAATGATATGAATCAAACCAATCAGCAGTCTCGTTCTAGACTTCATCGCGTGCGGTGTATTAAAGTGATTTTAAAAAAAGAACTCGGAAGTGTTTGAGAGTGGAAATTTGGAATTAATATTCGGTTCAGTGATAAGTGTATTTTCATTTGGGTGTGTGAAAGTTGTATTATTTCAAGATGGTAAGTGTTTTTGTATAATATATATGTATACGGAGGCATTCATCGCATGTGGTTAGTATTTTGCTTCCGTATATTTCCATATAACGATAAAACAAATGCGAAAATAATCGCAATTTTGTATGACAACACAAATATTCAAAAATTTCGTATTTATTTTGGATGGAATAATTCTATTTGTTATCTTATACAGAGGTACTTAAAATAGGTATTGAAATGAGTTGCAGAAACATTCGCCATTTTGTAGACATTTATTTATAGGTATACGAAACAATTCGAAATTTTCATACCATTCTTCAACACATGAATTTTAATGTAATCTTACCTAAGAATCGAAGTTTGAATGACAACACATCGTATCGAAATTCAAAATGTTGAAAACAATGTATACTTCGGTACTAATAGCCATATATACAGGGTATGTCACGACGAGCTTACATTATCGTTATATCGAGAATCAGTCGGGAGAAATCCATGAAAATGTGCATGCTCATATTTCAGAATACGCTCTGCTCTTCATTTGAAATATTTTCGACAATGCAGTGATGTTTCAAATTTTATTTCAGTGAATGATTTATGTATGTGCGATAGATATTTAATATCTCTGTTCCATAATTACTGAAAAGTGAATTTAATTGAGGACTACTGCATTTTGAATTTGATGTAGTGTCGAAACTTCCAGTTTCCCAATTTTGATTGTAATGAGTATTTTTTATTCATGAAAGTTGGGGTGTGTTAGTTTGGTAATATCTTTTTATGTCCCGATGACCAATGTTCGGTTGTTCACACTGTTGTCATGACAGAAATGTAGTATTCGGTCTGTATATTACAGATTTTATTTAATAAAAAGAATGTCAAAAGGCCTAACTCTTTTTTCATTGGTCATCCATCGTTTTCAAAATAAAAACCTTTTTTTGAGTTTTGTGGGCGAGAGATATAAATGTTTGCTCATCGACCAACATTTTTTCTGCCTGTCAGACAGACAATGGTCCTAGTTTATGAAAGCTTATTTGTTTCAATAGAATATTTGTTGAAATGCATAATTTCAGGTTGAAGTAGTTGATGGTTATTCTTCATTTGTTCGATTTTGGTGTTCCATTTTGCACTTCTATAAGAGATGGAGCCGGTGGAGGTATGTAATAGTAAATAGTATATTACATAACAAGAGTTGTAAAAAGTAATTCATGGAAAGTGACATTTTATAACCTGTCAACAGAGATGAAATGTCACTTTCTTTCCGTCACAGAAAAACAGATTTTTGTACACTGTTCGAAAATGAGTGGAACAAATTGGATGAAATTTGACAAAAGTGCATTTTACATGCTTTCGGTAATCAACGAAACTCAGAATAAATTGCAGTAGGGTAGAAACCACACCCTCGTCCCATAACATTTTTTACAGAACATTCTTAGGGGTGGTAATACGTTCTCTAAATTTCTGAGCGAGATGACTGATGAATTATTTTCATTTTGTCACCCTTGTGAAAATATTTTCATAATAATGCTAGTCTAAGTTTAATATCTATAATGAAAAATTTTGTTGGCAGTGGAAATAGGCAGAACATCTTATTTTTAAATTCTAGTTCAATATGACTCCCACCTTCATCAATATAAATGTCAATTCGTTTGTTTCCACTGCCAAATAATTTTGAAATATAGTTTTATCAAAATTTTACTAGGAATATTTGTTAGCATTATTTGAGAAAACATTTTGTTCCTTCCATGCTCAAAAAAAATTAAGAACCCGATTACCACGACCCCTAAGATGTTCTGAAAAAAATGTCAGGGGGTGAGGGTGGTTTCAACCCTTCTACAAATTCATTCACGTTTCTTTGATTACTGAAAGAAGGTTTATCCTCTGAAATGCACTTTCGTCAAATTTCATCCAATTGTTTTCACTCATTCTTGAACAGCGAACAAAAATTGATATATTTTTTTATGTGAACTTTGAACTCGTCTCACGGACAAACGGTACATATTACACGTGCATGGTAGCTCTGTGTCCAGCAATTTTGGGACACCCTGTATAATGACCTCTCGGTCAGTTTCGTTTCGTTGCCCTGCCGGTTTTGTAAATATCGAATATATATACAGAAGGAAAATATCCTTTCTGCGTAAAAAAAGACTACGTTTTCTAAAAAATCTGACCTAACAAACTAAAGAATTTCGACGAATACTATTGAATGGCACCCATAGAAAATCCAGGGTGAATCTCTCTTTCCACCCAAAGTTCTACACTAGCAATTCTGACCTCACATCTGTACAATTTTCAGGCGTATTTGTCTTTTTTTCGATTTTTATTCAATTTTCAAGCTCAAATTTCTTGTTAATTAGTCTGATATTATGTTAAAATATTCGTTAAGCTATATTTCATTGATTTGCTGAATATATATCAACTCATTTCAAAGACACCTCGTATAGATAAAAACATGAACGAATATATCTTTAAATTTCTGTTCATTACACCCCGTATACCTACTATCGATATCGGAATTAGTCGTACTTGTCGTACTCGTTCGGGAATAGATATCGGTTGAAAGAATGACGTAACTGGTTAGTCATTCGAATGATATGAATCAAACCAATCAGCAGTCTCGTTCTAGACTTCATCGCGTGCGGTGTATTGAAGTGATTATTAAAAAAGAACTCGGAAGTGTTTAAGAGTGGAAAATTGGAATTCATATTCGGTTCAGTGATGAGTGTATTTTCATTTGGGTGTGTGAAAGTTGTATTTTTTCAAGATGGTAAGTGTTTTTGTATAATATATATGTATATGGAGGCATTCATCGCATGTGGTTAGTATTTTGCTTCTGTATATTTCCATGTATAACGATAAAGCAAATTTGAAATTCGCTTTCTTTACCTATTTATACAGAGGATCTAGATGGATATTAATATAACAATTTTGTTATGAGTTAACACAAATATTTTGAAATTTCATTTTTATTTAGGACGGAATAATTCAATTTGTTAACTCATATAGAGGTACTAAAAATAGGTATTGAAATGAGTTGCAAAAACATTCGAAATTTTGTAGAAATTCATTCATATATATATATATAACTGTTTATATATACAGGGTGAGTCGGGAAGAACGCACCAGGTGTGTATTGTACACGTAAAAATAATTTGAAAAAAACCATATGTTCTGATACGATTCTCATTTTTTTTCATGTCAAATTTGAATATATTTGTGGCATTTTATAAGACTTTAACTGTACAAACTCGATTCTTTCATCTTTTTTGTTGTTATGAGTGTTATATGACATGTGTTTTCGTGTCAGTGTCAGTGTGTTTGACGCGTTTATTTTCTTTGTACGATTAAAGTCTTATAAAATGCCACACATCAATCCAAATTTAGATTGAAAACAAATGAGAATCGTATAAAAACATATGGGTTCTTTAAAATAATTTATACCTGTATACAGGGTGTTTCAAAAAAACCTGATCTCCTTGCTGAGGTAGGTAGAAAACAATATTATTTATAGATATTATTCAAACTTCGATTCATGGGTAAGATTCCATTAAATTTCATGTGTTGAAGAATAGTATACAAATTTCGAATAGTTATACAGGGTGTTCCAAAATTACCTGACCCCCTTACTAGGGTAGGTAGAACACTGCAAAATAAGTTGGGTTTGCTCTGTGAAAAAATGTCGTAACGGCATCCGTTTTCATGATACAAGGTGTTGAAAAAATTATTTGTTTACACATTTTTCACGATTATGTCGAAACTACTGGCAACATTGTAATGAAATTTTGTATGGATGTTTTTTCGGAATCTAACACATCACATGAATTTGTTTCTATATCTGACTCTCATAGAGGGCGCTAGTTACAGAGGTCATACCGAGTACCTATAGTTTAGAGCATAACTTTTTTGAGGTTAGATTTTTCAATCCAAATATGATATGAACTTGAACATCATTCAATTCAACACCAAATAGGTACTCTTGGTGAAACTCGATACTATTTTCCGTTTTCGGAATATTTCGATTTGAAAATAATGGAGTAGTAATGATGCTGGTATAAAATGAATTTTATTGAGTTCAATTGCCTATTTATTCAGATTCAAAAACAATACAATTATTTTTGTGTTGAAGGTACCTATTGATGGAATGAAGAATCATGAGTAGAAAATTGAGAGATATTTGACTAGAAACATGAAATATTGAATCGATCAGTTAGAGTAAGTGTTCAAAATGTCCTACGTTTCGAGGAATTCACGATTCTATATTCTTTTCTTAAGAATGTATTATTCTTCTAAACTGTTGAGGATCAGCTGTTATGTAGTTTAAGTGATATCCAATTATGTATTACAACTCTTGACGTGAATTTACATATGAAGCATAGACTTTCTGCTCAAGAAACAACAAAACTG